GGCCACTCTGTTAACCATGTGCGCTCGACATCGAAGCATCTTGTCAACCCGCACAAACCAATCACAACCAGCGCCCACCCCAAGGCAATCAATCAAGTTTGAGGCCCATAATTGACTTGATTGCCATATCGCGATGCCATAGTGCTCTCGCAACGTGCGTAAGGGGTCCTGGGTCTTGGGTCCGTACCCACCTCCAGGTGAGGCGAAGGTGCGTAGCAGAAAGTCTAAACGGCCGCTGAAGAAGCCTAGACAAATGACAGACGTCCTAGATTGCGGGAAAGCGGGTTGTTACCCCTGACTCGGTAAACTCTAACGGTTGCATCGGATGGTGGTAGGGATGGCCTAGATATCGGTAAATGCGCCGGTGGATGGGGGGGATTAGTGATAAATCCTGCTGTTGGGCACCGAGGGCTTTTGTTGTTTTATGAGAAAGGGCCCGGCTCAGAGATTCTCTCGTTTCTGCGGGTGTGGGACAAAGCATCATGGCTGCCTTCACTCGATGTGCGACCTTTTTTCTCCTCGCCGGCGCAAGTCTGGCAGCGCAGACGAGGAGATACAACTTCACCATCACTAACAAGTGGGACACCGGGGATGGCCATGGCAGGCCTGTCTTTGCCATCAACAATGAGACACCCGGCCCGCTCATTGTAGCGGATGAGGGAGATGAGATTGAGGTATTTCTTGACAACCAATTGGCGTTCGAGACAACTATGCACTGGTAAGTTGTTGAAGTTCTCACGGATCTTGATTTCGCAAAGGACTGTGGTTTAACACTGAGTAGGCATGGAATCTACCAAATTGACAAGCCTTGGAATGACGGAGTTCCGGGAGTGACCCAGTATTCCATTCAACCACGCGACACCTACACGTATCGCTTCACCGTTCAGCAACAATATGGGAGCTACTTCTACCATGGTCACTTTGGACCAGCCTTCGCAGATGGCATGCGAGGTCCCATCTGGATTGCACCTGCACCATGGAGACCAAGACCCTATGAGCTCATCTCGTCGTCGCCCTCAGACATTGAAGGCATGAAGCTTGCGGAGAAGAATCCTCACCACGTCGTTATCAGCGATTGGAACGCTGAGCCGATGGACATCCTCCTGATTATGTACCGCGATACTGGCGTAGTTCCGTGGTGCAGCAACTCGATTGTTTTGAATGGCAAAGGCCGAACCACATGCCACTCAAAAGAGTTGCTGGAGTCTGTCGGTGGGCCTAACCGGGACTCTTTGGGCTGCCTCCCGCAGGATCGACAAGCAGAGTTCACAAACCCGCAGGTTTGCCAGGAGACATTTGCTGATCTCGAAGTCTTCGAGGCAAAGCCTGGTGAGGAGTGGATGTGGATCAACTGGATTCACTCTGGGGCGCATCACGAGCTGCAGATTAGCGTCGACGAGCATGAGTTCTACGTCGTCGCGGCAGATGGAGAGTTTGTTCACCCGCAAAAGGTTCATGCTGCCAATTGCAATCTTGGTGAGCGCATTAGGTATGCAAACTTCCATGAATGCTTCACAATCGCAAGAGCTGACAGAAAATAGCATTCTCATTCGCTTGAACCAGAAGCCTGGCGACTACGCCATCAGAGTCACCTCACTCCGGAGAGAGCAGATCATTCAAGGCCTCGGCATTCTTCGATACCCTGGGCAGAATGCCGAAGGCAAGCAAAAGGTGCCTGAGACTAAGCCATGGGTTCATCTCAACGGAACGCTCATCTCGCCGTCTTCGGTGTACATGGACGAGACGAAGCTCGCCCCTTACCCTGCCCGCCCCCCGCCAGCCAAGTCCGACAACACCGTCAGGTTCTTTGTCAACATGACGGGCCCCAGCAGCTGGGCACTGAACATCGGGCCTCATCAGGCATTCCGCCAGCAACTGCCGCCCCTGCTGTGGGACGAGGAGTCCCGTGGTGTAACGACATATGGCGATGATGTACACGGGGGCTCATTGCTCAATGGCACCGTGGTCGATATCATCTTCGAGAACGGTGCCAATGTCACTTCGCAGCACCCCTTCCATAAGCATAACAACAAGGCCTTCATCATCGGCACCGGTAGTGGCGGCTTCCCCTGGGCCACTGTCGAAGACGCTATCCGAGATGGAGGTATGGCGAAACACTTTAACCTAATTGATCCTCCCAATCGTGATGGCTGCAGATTGGGCAACAGCACCGGTGACTGGACGGTTATTCGATACGAGATCTCTTTCCCTGCGGCGAGCATGCTTCATTGCCATATGATCCACCATTTCGCCGTAAGTGCCTCATCTGCCTCGCTAATAATGAAACTGTCCACAGGTGCTAACATGAATCAGGCCGGACAGCAGGTTGTCCTCCTAGAAGGCGTTGAGAGCATGGCCAAGATTCCCGCAGAGATGAAGGACAGAGTGCACTCAGATTTCCGGGCCCCTCTTCGTTACGGCCCGTTGGACTAGACACCAAAACAAAGACAAGCTCACGTCAACCGAAGGAAAAAAAGAGCAAACTTTCAATACGCGCAGAGTTTTCATGATGGTGGTGGCCCGTACTCTGTTACATCGCCTCGCCTAGGCAGACCATCTCAGGATTGGTGCGTGGGTTAGGTTAAGACACCCGGACTCCGACCGCGCCGCGTGGTGGGCAGAAGTTTGAGTTTACCGCGGTGTTACAAATGTGATTTAGCCGCGGTGCAGTAGGGAAGAAGCCTGATTTGACGTCTTTAATGGAACGATTTACGACAGTCTAAAACATTTCAGCTGGCCTTCTTACGTATTCTCGAAGCCCCTGCCTCCCCCACGGGCCACGACTAAGAAATATTGAAGGAACCCTATCCCCAGCCGCTCCCGAAACCTAGTGCGGATAAACGTCTAATGATTCAAGGAAAAACAGGACACGGTAGTGTCTCTAACCCCCAGGTTCGATGCTTGGTTGACTCGATGAAAATGCCTGTGGCCTAGAATCTCTAGTCGATACATTCTGGATGGCACGGTCGCCTTGAACAGATAATTGCCTATAAGCCTCTGCAGCAATGGAATTATCACAGGAGTCAGGAGAAACTCCAAGCATTCCGATATGGTGAGCCAGACGGGTCGCTAGTTGTATCTTTGCAACACCCCTTCAGTGCGATTGCTCAACTCTCGCGGGCATCGACGATCTATGAGGCTAGGTATTTTTGAAATGTTTCATGCCTCAAGGCCAAGAAAACCTGTGAAGCCGGCACAAATTCCCGAATGGGAAGTGATACCTCGGCTGCATTGTTTCGGTTGTTGTTCAGTTCTTTAGGTTAGGTTTAGGACTTAAAGTCCGACTCCCTCGTACAGAGCTTCATCAGACTGCAAGGAACATACTTTTGTTCTACTACATAGCTCAACACGTCTCAGATTCCCAGCATACTCATTCTTCCATCGATGACTCGGAACGCTTCCTGACCTTTTCGATAATCGGCGTCAACGGGTTGTTTTTCACCCACTCGGGTAGTTCAAGAATGTCGGTATCCTCCACTGTAGTGCTTGGCTTACAGAGGTAGTCCATGTATTCCCCAGCTTGCTCCGACTCCCAAGCAAACCCTGAATTCTTTGCTGCGATGGCAAATGCATCTAGCTTGATCACAGGCTTCTTGATCATTGCGTCAGCGCCGCGTTCTAATAGGAACTCAGTAACATCCCACATTTGGTACTCGACAGCGGCCGTTAATGGCGTGCCTGCACCAAACGTGACGGAATTGACATCCGTTCCGTAGCGTATCAGCAAAGCCATGAACTTGCGCCAATCAAGGTCAGTGTCTTCTGTTTCTCCTTGGCTGTCTGCTGGAGCGTAAGAAACAAGACGTTGGTGTCGAAGACGCACTACCCGCTGTAGTGGTCGAGCATACTGTGGGTTGGCCCCATGTTCGAGTAGCATCTTAACGACATTGAACTTTCCTTTCTCGACGGCGTGATCCAGAGCCAACCCCGATGTCCGGTCCATGGGGGGCGCTGCCTTGTATCCCCAACTGAAGATCCGATTATCTAGAAACCTTCCTAGATCTGGATCGGCACCATTCTCCAAGAGCAGTCGAGTTATTCCCTCGTTATCGAGACAGTGCGTTAGAGACACGCCGAACGAGCCATTATCGCTGGGAATTTGCTGGTTAGGATGGTATCCGTGCTGGATGCATAACTCAAGAATGGGAAATGAGCGCAGGCGGCATGCGTGAATTATGACTGCGGCGTGAGGACGCGCTCCAGCTTCGAGTAGATATTGCACTACGTCAGGCTGGTTGCCCTTCGCAGCGCAAGCCAGACCATTCTGCATGCTGATGGGTGAAAGCAACCCCTCAGAGACCCGTCGATGGACCTCATCCATGGAACCTTCCTCACATGCCATCAAAAAAGGCCTTAGATCCATGTTGGGGTGATGGCATGGCCTCTTTGTGTCGAGCCAATGGCTCGATTTCGGGAGTGGTGATGGCAAAGGTGGCAAGTTGAGATCTTTGAAGTATCCTTCGAGTTCACGGCGGAGGGGCAGCCGTTTAGCCTCCCATCGCTCTTCTTTCCGAGACAGCATTCCCTCCATGATCTCTTCATCTTCTTGGCCCCAGTCTGTACCAGTTTGCCTGCGCTTGACGAGTTGGTCAAGACGAGCCTCTTCCTCTTCGTCATGTTCCAAAACGGTTTGAACAAATGCCGTGAAAGCTTCGCGAGTGTACTTTCTAGTAGGAGGGTTACCGCGGCGGGGTTGGCGATGACGCGAGTAATACATGTGCGGTGGCTGAATTAACTGGATGGGATTTTCGTTACTTTCATTCTGCCTTCTGCAAAGGTCGGGCGTCTCTGTGGAATTTCTATCACATCTTTGACCACATGTTTGCCAAGAATTCAGGATCATCAGCCGAAATGAAGTTAATGTTGGTCGTTGACAAACATTTCAAAGGTACCAAGGGACGTGCACAGATCCCGGCACAATCATCGTCGAATCAACTTCCCGAGTTAGTTGCATGTTGCGTTTGCCCCGTTCCGCGCCCCCGACTTGCAGATTTGTGCCAGGGCAGACAGCAGCTAAAGGCTGCCAAAGTCGGGCAACTTTGATACGGAGAGCACCGCCCTCCTTTCTGCTTCGCTACCGCGCTTACGCTGCTGTTTGACCCAAACGAAAGACGGCAGTCGCGATTCACACCAGAATCCTCTTTCGAGCTCTCGATTACTTTGAGTGCAAGCATGCCAGGCCTTAAGACCCTTTTGAAAGAACTCGGATTCAGCGCTAGGCATTTATGCGACGTCCCATCGCAACTATGAATGTGCCTTTCTGTTGATCTATAGGTCACTGACACAGGGATGCATGTCGAGCTTTCATGAGAATGTTGTGGATGGCGTTGCCTTCAGACTCAACGTTGACTTTTAGGCGGCTGTATGCAACTCTCATTCTTCGATTCAAGCCTTCAGCTCAATCACAGAGACCCAGTTCCACATGAATCTACTCAGACGTACAAATGCCTCAGAGCAGTCCACAGGGACGACATGACTGCAGGTTATGACACAGCATCATGCGTGAAACACATGGGAGAGAACTAGGTTTGCGCGGGCTCCGTGGGATTATAAAAGCTGCGCCCACACTACGACTCAGATGCGCCTCTGTACGGGGAAGAAGGTTTGGGAGAGAGTGGGATCAAATGTAAGCATGCTCGCTCGCATATGCTGTGCTAGATTCCACATCTGCCCCCCAATAAATCTATTGAGCGAAAAACGGCTGTCTCGGGCCAATATTGTGGTCAGTCTAGCGCTACAAGCAGCCATAGAAAGTGAGAGGAGTATGAGTCGAGGACGATCATGATTTTCCGTCCGTAAGATCTAAAACCGAATAAGAGACTCAAAGGGGCCCAGTAACAATCCATCATCAAAAGAGTGATGAAATTTGCGCATGCGGGTGTGTCTCATATTGGCCGAATGTAAGACGGGTGGATCAGCGATTGATGGTGCCTTGAGGCTTCTGAGAGGCCGCTTTAGGTAATCGGTGAAAACCAGACAAGACGGATGCGTCCCAATCTCGCACTGACTTTCCGGTCTCATGATATCATCTCAAAGGAACACTCAAAGCTTCATCGGCGAAATGCAGTCTAGCATAGCAGCGATGAAAAGCGACACCATGACATGTCGACATCTTGGGATGTAAGCGTGGAAGGGTCTCGCCCGACACCCCGACGTGCTGGGCAGATCTTGATCGTACTTTTTGCGGATATATCGAAATTTATGCACGAGTGTCTCATTTCACCTCAGTTGTGATAGTAAACGGCACGACCTTTTGCCTGCTGGCAATGCCATCATGAGACCCTCAACCACGCATAATTACCACATACGACCATACCCATTGGAAAACTCGGGATCCCGTCCGCTCTCCCATAGATAAGCCAATGAGGGCTGGAGTAGTAGTCGGGTCGGTGACGACCGGCGAATGCCCGGTGTTGTATGTTATTTTTGTGTTTTGCCGTCTGGTAGCGAGTATCGTGATGGCGGTTGGTGACGAGCAGCTTGGCCCAGCAAAGCTACTGTGTGTGGTCAAGACAATGATGGTTATCGGTTCATGATTTGTCAAATCCACTCGTAGGCTCACGCCGAAACACGAACGCGCCAGAAGGTTATAGATCGACATCAAGTCGATGACAACTGCCCAGCATATCGGAGGTGATCTACTTTCCAGACATACGACTTCTCAGTGGCATGAGACCTCATAAGATGGACAGCATCGACCCTGATTTTAACAGCTTCGACCCTTTTGCGCCTTCCCGCTGCCCCTTCCGTCGGCCCGTGGCATGGTTCTCAGCCAGTGGTATCTCGGGCCAGCCACACATTTTGCACCCGAGACACGAGACAGCACTAAACTCAGCGCAGCTGTCCTTACGTCCGACTACAGACCCTGAAGATGATCTTCCTCTGACATTGACCGTTTCCGAAGACCTCTGACGTCCAGACCTAACCCTGTGTAACCTGCAGTGGCGCTTACCATCACTCGCTCCGCTGTAGCATGTCTTGGCGATCGGGATTCTCCTCGTTAATTGACATCAACGGAAAGAAGGTCATCTGATCCCCGCCTGCATACGGTAAAGATCTCACAACTTCGATATAGGAACGTCCGTGATCTTCCTGCATTTAAATTGTGGCCATGGCGCCTTCTGCGACTGCACAATAGCCACCGGTCGCGGGATTCGACCTCGACAAATCATGGAGGTACATCATCGAATCAACGACGAGCTTCTGAAGCTCATTCTGACAAAACTCCACCGTCTGGAGAATCGTTTCACAGATATTGACAGCCGTCTGAGTACGATCGAGTTCTCCATTGTTCCGGCACCCCGCAGCAGCACTCCTATTGCCAGCAGCGTAGTATCCCCTCGCTGCTCTTGCCATATCCCTCAGCCCGTCTTCCAAAGTTTTCAAGTAGACTGGGAGAGACATGCTACACCTTCAGCTTACAAAGCGTCCGTCGACAAACTTCGACACCGATTTGGGCTCGATGAACAGTCACAGCACGCCCCCGAAGACATAGGCGTGGCAAGTACATGCGATAGCCGCAGCGAAATGGGGACCGGCGATGTCTTCGTCAACAACTACGACAACTACTCCATGTCTATCTATCCGTCACGGCCGGGATCCACCTGCAACTTCGGATATCGTGTCAGCGATCCCAGAGACCTCCGAGATCTTCGAGACCTTAGTTTTAGAGACCTCAGAGATCTCAGGGACTTAAGGGAATTCAGAGATCTACGAGGCATGAGAGAACTGAGGGAGTTGCGACAGCAATTCGATATTCCGGAACTCCCATCATGGAGATACGAAGATATGCCAATTGCGGAAGAATGCATCAACAGCACTCGTCCCAGCAGTCGCAGGACAAGCATCAGCTCACCTTACCGCACCTTCTCGACTCGCAAAAGTACTTCAAGCACTGCGAGGACATCCATGATGTCTGCAAGCATCGGAAGGCCCTCCACCTCGGGCTCAATCAGCAAGATCAAAGGTTCTATCAAGCGGGTGAGAGCCGCCAGCGTCCCAAGGCAGAGACACAGACCTGCGACTCGAGAAACATACAACACAAGCGCAAACCATACCAAAGATGATTTGGCTATCCGGCAGCCGCGCTCTACAGTGCAAGAGCAAGATCCTGAGCGTTTCACTATTACAATGCAAAAGAGTGCGAAAGCATGCATTTTCTTCGTGCCGAACATGATCTCAGGCCTTGGGAAAAGAATGATGAATCAACAATTGAAGATGCTCGATACCACTGCTTAATTATTTCCTTTGTTAATGGTTGCTGGTCAGTCAAATGTAATCCAACAATACTCCTAATTAGATAATGTCTGCGAGACCTGGTCCGAACAATAATATTAATGATTTAATGAAGTCTGAATTATCAATGTTATCCCATAACACTTAGTACGATTGTGGCAACCTTGTCAGGCATGCTCATGAAAGGACTGTGAGACCCAGGTAGTCTGTGCTTTTTGACGGCGATTCCCTCGTCTTCTACCTTCTTGATCATCATCTCTTGAACGACGGTAGGCAGAGCTTGATCGTTTTCACAAATGATGTAGGTCAGCGGGACTACCCTCCAGGCTGCTTTGGAGCAGGAGATTGGTGTGTATTGAGCCTTGTGTCCGTGAGTAACCATCAAATCCTTAGCTGCCTCTGCTTCCTCGATCGGGATGTCGTTGTACAACAAGCCAATGGGGTCGGTCCAAGTCATTGTGCCATCAGGTTGTGGGAGAAGAAATGGTGGCAGTGAACCGCCAAATATCCCTGCAAGCGAGGTGTTCTCAGGGGGTATGAAAGCCGTCATGTAAATGATGTCGGCCACTCCCCCTTTACTGGAGTCGGGTGTGATGGCAAAATCAGCCAAAGCTGCCGTTGCGATAACTCCCCCATAAGAGTGGGCAATGACTGTGAGATGGGTCCCAGCTAAAGCTTCCCTCTCAACGATACTCCTGATCGAATTGACGTCATCTTCAAGTGTTTTGTTGGGTGGAACGGCGTTGTTGTTCGTTGGCAGCTGTTCACAAATGACTCTAACGCCCCCAGTCTCAAGTCGATCGATCAGTTTCTGGTAGTGCTGTGGGACATGCCAAGCTCCCGTGACCAACAGAACAGCCTTCGATGGCGTCGGCATGATGGAGACTTTCGAAGGGACGAAGAGGAACGTGTGTGAGTTGAGACGAGGGCAACGTCGAATGTCACTGTAGCATCTACCCCACGTACTTATATCTTCGTCTCCTTTCAAAAGTTGCTGCCTGGTCACACCGCCTTTGACATAATAACTTGAAACGTTTCGATTTGAATCGTCGAATGGACTAAGCCAGTAATGTCTTCAGCTCAGACGACGGCGCGCTCAGCTTGGCTAAGAAACGGGCTAGCTTGCTGACTTTGGCAGTCCTGGGGCTTGGAAATTTAGCCATTTGGCTTATATGTTTCAAGCCTCAAGGCAAAGCTGAGATAGAGAAAGGAATTTTGCATCTTTCATTTATTCTCGAGGACAAATTGCATGTGAGGGTTTGCGGCTTCATTGCTCAGCTGAAATGCATGCACTGTTTCTGTATTGCACTTTTGGTAAGAGTGCCAACAAAAGCAAGAGGCCCAAGCCATAATCAACTGTCTAAAAAAGCTTGAATAATGCAGTGTTACTCAACATCCTCCTTACTGTCGCTGTCGTCCGTCTCAATTTTGACCCAATCGAGTCCCCCTCCTCTCGTGAACCAATCATCATTGCCAGCCTTCTTGAATCCGTCCACAATCTCCATGGCGCTGGTCCGGAACTCTTCGATGGGAGATTCTGCCCATTCGCTCAGCATGGCCTTCAGACCAGCTACAACATCCGGGTCCTTGGCAACAAATGGGCGCCCCTTGTCCAGCAGGAACGCTGCAAGCTCAACCCGGAGCTGATCTGGCAAGGAAGGACTGTCAAGATCGACGCCGTTAAGACTACCCAAGCGATTAGCTAGGTGAAACATGCGGCGCCTCCGATCGCGACAGGGTTTCATGGACTTCGTTTTGAAGTACTCCCACTTCTTGTGGTACGGTCCCTTCATTTGTGCCAACTCCTCGATTAGTCGCATGACGTCTTTCATGAAGATTTCCTCCTCGTCATCATTCACTGGGAACACGACCAAGGCCGACTTCAACCGGAAGGTGTCCGGGAGTCTGGCCGGCTCACGTTTGAGGTCCTTTTGCCATTCCAGAGTCCGCAACTTGGCGATTTTGGCGATGACCTCCTCGAGTATAGGCAGTGTAATAAGCTTCCAGCGTGCTAGTGATTCGACATTGTCTTCATTGTTCTCCATCGGGGTCATGCTTCGGAAGACTTCTTCGAGGAAGTCAACATCGCCGCTCCTGACGAGGGAGTCAAAGAGTTCTCGTGCAAACTGTTGAAGAACTTCCACCGTAACGTAGCCTGAGGAGTCGGGCGCTGTTCGGTTGATGGGATGATGCATTCGGGTTAGCAGGGAAAAAGCCCCAGTCTGCCGTAATACTGCAGTATCTTTGCCAAATGCGGAAAGCCAATGCTCTCCAGCGTTAGATTCCGAAAGTCCTGTATCCCTTCTGACTTTCTTGCTGATGGCAGCTATACCCGGCGGCGGGCAGATTTGCGTCAACACACTGTCCATGATCATCCCAAAGACAGAATGTGTGAGGAATTCCGGATTTCTTCCGAACAACGCAAGCATCCCCGCATCCACAGGTGTATTGAACAGCTTCTCCTCGGTGGATAGAGTGAGGTTGTGTTTCTTGAGAAAGAGTTCCAGCCATTGACGGTGATTCTTCGCGGACTCTTCGATCACCCGCAAAGACAAGGCGACCATCTTCTTCCTCATATCCAAATCGTCTATGAAACGATAGTCCCAGGTTGCAAAGATCTGACGGACAACATTGTCCCCTGAGATGGCCGACACTGTCGGCAGCGGCTCACCAGCTTCCACCTCCTCCCAAGATGCCCAGGCAGGGCCGCGCTCATTGAAGCCTGCAGCTAGTGGCAGGGCATGCTTCTCAAGTAAAATCAGGATGTTATCCTTTACGTCAGAAGCAGCGCTTGACCCCAGCGCACCATACAAGCTCTCGATGATGGCAACACGAATGTCAATGTGACGAGCTTTGTCAAGCAGATGCGAGAGAATAGTAAGCGAGGTCCTCGGGTCCAAGAAAGGAGAGTCGCTGAGGAGCTTGGCGAGCATCTTCACAGTTGTAACCTTTACCAAAGGAGTCTTTCTGTCGCTGCCACCTGTATCCTGCTCGGCCTCTTCCTTGTTCCTCACATCCTGCTGGCCAAGCTTGCTAAATATTCCATCTGCAATGGACAGCAAGAACGTCTTCGTGTCTGTCGGCGAAAGCTTGGAGAACAGCCCCTTGTTCAACAGCTCTCGGTGCCAAGCGCTATCATCGGGCCTACCTAGGACGATCTTCTGGATCAATGGGAGAGCTAAGGATGGCCGATCACTACCAGCCAGCCTACTCACAAGCCGCATAGCCAAATCCATTGGTTTTACTGCATTGGGATGAAAGCTCTCTTTCTCCTCGACGTCCTGAAGAACAGACTGTGCTACTTCGGCCACAAGTGAAACAGGTGCGAACATGACGAGGTCGATGCTGCCGTCGTAGACCTCAAAGTCATAGGACCCGACGTTATCCAGCCAGTCTTGGTCCAAGAACATTGCTGGGAAGCGGACGATATCCTTGGAGGGGAAACTGGATTTCAGTATTGAACTGTCTGCCCCTTCACGGGTGTTGAGATAGAGTAAAAGGGCGACAGCGTATGCGTCTTTCGTTGTCCAGGAAACGGGCAAGTCGCCTTTCATGGGCCAGAAGTTCCATGTATGGGTAGGCGGTTCCAGCCAGACGCCATCATCCCATGGCGACTGATTGTCGATAATAGTAGGTGCGAACCAAGGACCTCCGTGATTAATCATCTGGGTGACAATAGTAGCAGGAATCTCTCGTCCATTATTAGGACCTTTGTCCCACAGGATTCCGTCTGATTGCAGATAAGGATTCCATTCGGTCGGCAAATCGGGATCATCGACATCAGGAAGAACCGGCTCCAGACGTCCGGGGACTTCGGATTCCACGTCCAAGGGCAGCTTCACATTTGCCCGACTGCTGAAAGTGTAAGACCAATAGTCTAGGGACTCTGACTTGGTCATATGATCCCCAGAGAGATTATCAACTGCGTGGCGCCATGCCTTTCGAATACGCGTATCTCTCTCAGAAGCATCGGACGCGGTGTTGACATAGGTCTTCAAAGCATAGCAGTAGTCCTCAATACAGGGGCCTATTGCATCTCGTAACGCTGTGTCAGTTGGTGGTTCTCGGAGGAGGATGTCCGGTGTACCGAACACAACAGCCTCGATTCTTGCACACACGTAGGGGAGATCTATCGCGCTCGCCACCTCACGGGGACAAAGATATTGCACTGGCAGCCCTCGAGGCCAAGGCGTTTCCAAGTCATGGACTGCTGGAAAGTGGCGGGGCCGGTATTCCTTCCACAATTTGTCCCGTTCTTGGGCAAGGATGTCCAGGAATCTCGCCGAGTGTGGTCGCAAGTTGTTGGCGAAGTCGAAGTCAATGCTGTGAATGAGACCCTTGATTTCGCGAGGGTAGAGCCGTTCCATATTGGGCTGCAGTAGGTACCTTTCTGCCTCAATCAGGAACTCTATCGTTGGCTTCCAAAGAAAGTCGAATACCTCATCGTCGCTCAAGGAATGAGGTGCTCTCTGGAGTTTGTTGGCGCGGACAAGCCGCCTCTCAATGACCTTTTCTGGGAACGAGGTGATGCAACTCCAGTCATATTGCTGAAAGCTGGGCTCTCGGAGGGCCATCACAGCTGTCTCGAGCAATTGCATCAAGATTCTGTTGCCAGACTCAACGCTCTGCTTGATGCCAGTCTTCGGGTTTTCAAGGCGGAAAGGGAATGAGGGAATACCGCTGAGCAAGTCGGTAGCTTCGATGGTCGGAAAGTTGTTGTATGAGTAGAGCTGCTTCACGGCGTTTGGATCCTTGTTGAAACGACGAGCCCAGACAATGGTGTCCGCAAAGACATCGAAAGAACCCGTCGCGACACTGAGATTGAGGGCGATCGTGGCCCATCCTTGTCGAAAGACCCAGTCTCGGGCCCTGGCGGCATTGTCCTTGCAGTCTTGCAATCTTTGCTTGACAAGGCTTGATGTCTTCGAACCGGAGCTGTTTGCTTCCCTTGATGACGCATGTACAAGAGAAGCCTCGAGTATATATGGGTCACCTTTGTCGGTCTCTGGTTCCCGCGCAGACTCAACGATGGAGCATCTATACAGCGAAGAGCAGACGAGAAATTGGGACTCCGGAAAGGTTGAGATGAGTTTTCGGAAGAGACGGAGAGATGCATCCGCATCGTCGTCAGCGAATGCAGTGAACAGATCTACAGGCCAAGGGCCCTTCAGCTTCTTGAAAGAGGCCTTGGATACGTCTGCGTCCTCCTCAATATCGAAACTATGGTATGTGGAGCTTTGGATCGTGAGTCGGAACAGTCGGTACGAAACAGCCGGGTGGACGGATTGAACCATGTCGGTGACATTTTTGGCGGACTTGAAGTAGGATTGGTAGACCAGCCCAATCAACTTGACAAGGTGTCGCTGGATCCTCGGCCTGGTACTGCGAGCGTGCTCCCAGAATTTGACGACATTGAGCAATACCCCGTTTGGTTCGACGTTGAGATACTCCGTCAGGTCAGAGTGCTTCTCGAAAATCGCGACGAGATCCTCTAATATCTCCAAAGCCAGGTTCTTCTCAGTCGATGACCGACGACGATGCAGAGGCTTGGTGATGTCCTCGGCTAGTTTAACGAAGTCGTCTGGCTTCATCGGCAGGGGCCCATCGGCTTCGAGGACTTTGGAGAGAACATCCTTAGCGAAGCCCGGGTTGTTATTGACCAACTGTTTCCAAGCATTGAAGTCAACTTCGTCAGTCTCCACTGAAAGCAAAGTGTCCAGAAACCTCGTCTCATAGAGTGCAGAATGAGCGCGCAGAATAATTGCCTTTTGTCTCTGTGACCACGACGGACGACTTTCCTCATGCTCAGCCACCTTCTTTGTCGTGCAGGCAGGCAGGATACGCTTGTAGCACATCTGCAATGGCCGGGGATCCGGGTTCTCTTGGCTTAACAGGAGTTCGACAAGCTCAGTCAATCTAGCGTGTCTCTCAGGACGGCTGCCGCACAGTGAGGCAGTCTTGGCGAGGCCGTTGCACAAATGCTTGATCTCATCGGTGCTGAGATTGCTCATGAGTGCCGCGATGCCAGGGGTGCCACCAGCAACATTCCAAATCTCATCCATCGTCACGGCCGACCGCGTAGCCTTGACGAAGGTCTTGATCGCGGTCTTCCTCTCGAGAAGACATTCGGACTGTTGTAGTCCGGCGACGGTAGATCTCGCATCGCGATGGAGGGGAGTCCATAGGGCGAAAACGGCATGGGGAATTGAGCCCTGCGCAACAGCGTCATGTAACTGGGTTGTGATGGGCGCAGGGTCGGTGGTGCTAGCACGCACACCGCGCAGGTATTGGGCAACTTCAGCCGGCGTGCCGGACCGAAGAGCGACATGATCTAGGGGTAATGCCGTTGTCATGTTGTAGACGGCCAGATGGGACTTGGCTGGATTCATGAAATTCAGACGGTGATTCGATGTGGCTCAACTTTGGCCAGAGCCCGCCAAAAGGCGGTCGGTGATGATGAAAGATCGAGCGCGCGATGAATACTGAGACCGGGCTCGGAAAGAGGAAATGAGGTAGAAATACACTATTTGTGTGAAAAAGAAAAGACAGATGACAGACATCGATGTTGGGCGTACATGTTTTCTTAATAACTTATGAAAAGTCGTAAGAGAGCGAGGCCAATCCTACATGAAGCTGAGGCCGCGCAGCTCAGCCCTCAGAGGAGTCTACTGCATCGGCGGCATAATCAGCTACTAGCTGCTGTGCCTGCGACGGAGGGCCGCTGACGTCGATGTTCATCGTCGGTAAATTCAAGGCCAATCAAGCTGTACCTATCCGTAGGAGTATCGAAGCTGTTCCACTCGTAATCCGCGCCTTTGATGTTCATTCGCTTGTTCGGTTAGTCTCAATAATAAGCGTAAGAACTCCGACGGAGAGAGCTGCTGAAGCTTACAGGCCGCCGCCGTCTCACTGCAGCAGAAAAGCTCCCCCCGAGCTTCCCCCATCTTATGACCCCTGGCTCACCTCCACTCTCTTGAACGAACACCCCCAGAGACCGCCAGGAGACTGACCGAATGCGTTATGTAATCTGTCCTATGCCAAGGGACTTCCAAGGATGACTAAGACTGTTCTGCCGGGAAACGGGGCGATGGCTGAATGCTGATTCGTGCCCTCACTCCTGTTCCCCAATCATTCCGGCTTCACACGAGTCACACAGCAGCTGAGCAGCCTCTCCCCCCTGCGCCTCGTCAGTCAATCAAGTCAACATCTCGTCAATCGAGGGTCCCAATGTTCTAACACTTCCTTCAACAGCGGAGCTGTCTGCTCTAGGGGCAGCGTGTCTATATCATCTCTAACGATTGATATCATCAAGTATCTCGACCGAAACCACCAAACGTCTCCCGTCAAGCGTGAATCGCGTGCTTCCCACACTCCCTTCACCTTGGCCCCGTTCGTTTGCTGGTCCCTCACCGAGATCGCCGTAGTGCACCCGGCTCCTCACAAAGCCCCCTCACCTGGATGGAGGATCCTCAATCGCAACGTCCAAAGCAGGCCGCCTGTCTGGTCTGCCGCCGAAGCAAGATCAAGTGCGACTACTCACCGCATGAGAACAAATGCAAGAGGTGCATTCAGCTCGATTCTGAGTGCATACGGCCTACATTCCATGCCGGAAGACAGAAAGGCATCAAGAAGTAAGGCCCCCAGCCGCCCGCTCGGGTCCATCTACCTATCCATCCAGATGGATGGACACCATTGCGACCGAGACACCCCCCAAAATAAACACCACCCCCATCCATCCCCCACCCATCCAGTCATTCCATGTGTGTCCCCCCTTATTGACTAGTGGCGGCACGCAACAGCAAGCGAAAGGGTCTGGATAAAGCTCTCTACCAGATAGAGCAGGCCATCAAACGATCCCGAACAGGAGAACAGAATTCCGAAGATGACAAGGCCATCGGCAATCTCCAGGCACTCCTGGAGGGCTCTCGAAATGCTCGGTCAACTACCGCCTCCTCACACTTAAGACGGGGGTCGTCTCATTTCAACAGTCCTGACCAACAACCCGACCTCTCGTCTGACGATGATGATGAACTGGATAACACTCCAGACAGCAACACTTACATGAGTTTGCACCATCACAATGAAGAGAGCTTGGCCATCGACGATGCCGAGAATCCGCTCCAGTTGCTGGCGCGCGCCTCCAACCTGCAGCTGTCACCGAAGCCCATCACCGGCCTTTCACCGAAGCAGCCCGGCCCTCGTGTCAGTCGCAAGAAGCAACAGCAGCAGCAACAGGTTGACCAGCCCGAAGAGGATCTAGAGATGCAGTCATTCTTCACCTCCGTCCGCGTCAACCTCGACGTTGGCGACGACATCGACCCAATCACCATGGGTCTTGTGACCGAAGAAGAGGCAGAATCGCTATTCGTATTGTAAGTCAGGGCCTTTGTGTTATGTTGAATGTCACTCACCACATTGCTCAGCTTTCACAGCAAGCTTGCTCATACCCGCTGGGGTCTTGACCCAAAGATTTACACGCCCGGGTTCACTCGAGCTCGATCTGCCTTCCTCTGCACCTCCATCATGGCAGCGTCTGCTCTGTTCCTCCCCTCCGCCGGAGCATTGTCCAAGAGACTTTCGAACCACTGCAAGACCTTGGGTCAACGAGTTCTCATCAAGCGTCACAAGTCTGTCGAAATCGTTCTCGCCTTCATGGTCAACGTCCCGTGGATGTTCCCGGGACAGCATAGTACCGACGACGAGACGTGCTGGTATGTCAACATGGCCGCCACCATTGCCATCGACCTATCTCTTCACAAGCTCTTGGTACCAATGGAGATTCTCGGCTCCGGTTCGAACATGGCATTGACTCGCGGCGAATGTCTCGATCCTCGCACCGCTCTTGCAATGGATGGCTTCAGCCAGATTGAACACACGTCCGATCTAGGCCAACGACTTCTCCGGCGCCGCGAGCGTTGCTGGATTGCCTTGTTCGTTCTTGAGAGAGGCATGTCGCTAGCACGCGGCCGCCCTTACACTGTTCCGATTACTCGAATCATCAAGGACTGCGATCAATGGCACAGATCCAGTATCGCAGACCCCATGGATGGCCACCTTGTATCGATGGCCGTACTCCGACGAGACCTCGACGGCTTGCTCGCTACAGTCCGCGCCTTGTGTGATGGATCGCAAGGCATATCCACTGATGGTGGGCTCATCGCGCAGTCCATTCAGAGCGCCATCGAGAGATTCTTCGACCAATGGCTTACTGAATGGGGCTTCTCCATCGGCACTGGCCCGCAGCGTCGTTTGCCCCCTTATGTCGAAATCCTCGTCACCCATACCCGGCTGTCGACCTATGGAGGCGTCATCAATCATCCGACGGCCCCCATGGAAGTCCGACAGTTCTTCCGCACGGCCGGCCTATCATCCGCCGTAACGGTAATGCGCGCAGCCATCCAGGGAGAGGCTCAGCTGCAGTCAATCCCCAACAACACTACAATCATGGTCTCATTTGCCGCTTGCTTTGCGCTGACTCTGAGCGCCTATGCAACAGGCAGCTCGAATCTAGCGCCGAGTATCAGGAATCTCATCGAAGAGACAGCAGACGTTTTGGAACGCATTGGATCAGCCACAAACCACAGAAATGGTTTGTCTACCTTATACGGGAAATATCTTCGACACATTGTAAAACAGGCCGCTGTGGCTACAGATGGTCAACCCCAAGCTGCCATACATCACGAGGCAGCCCCTCGGCGCGCCAGTCAACTCAGCACGCCGTCCTCCGCTGTCGCGGCATCACCTCACATCAACTCAATGGGGTTGCCGGTCTCCCAGCCTCCTTACATGGAGTCCCAGCTATGGCCAGGGACTCTCCAGTTCTCAACCATGTCCGACGACCAGATTGCCGAAGTCCTCAACCAGCCCGGTAACGAGTTCGACCCCTCGTTTGCAGGTTTGTCCTGGGACGATATGAACAACTTCGACTGGCTGAGCTGGCCCAATCTGACGGAATTTGGTTTCTAAATCTAGCACACGCCTGAGATTCAGGCTCATCACGCTTTCATTGTCTCCACTGGGGCTGCGAGTTGCCATTGGGTCAACTTCCTCAGCTGCTCCATGAACACAAACGTTAACACGGTGTTTGGCCTACGAAACACGATTAGCCAATGCTTTCACATCTCTTGTCTTCCTTTCGACTCACGTCAGTCTAAGCCACGCCGGTGTCCACCCCTTCATGAGGAACCTAGGGCCCTCCTCCCGGAGACCAGTCCGCACAATATGAAGCAAGGACTGCAACACGATCAGCATCACGCTTCACTCCAGTACATGGAGTCAGTCTCACGCTTCCGCCAGGCCCGCTCGCGGCGGCGCTCTGGATTCTACTCTTCAGCACATCGGCAGGAGCGCAAATAGTTGTCGCCGCAGTTCCGGCAAAGAGGGATGCCACGGCGTGGGTTTTGATATCATCCTTCATTTCTGTCTTTGCCAATAGGTATCGTTTTGCGGTTGAATATCTGTCTGTTGTTAGCTCTGTATTTGCCAGCCCACCGCTCGTGGTCGTCCACTCGTTTAGTACTCACGTGGCGATTTGTCCCACGTCTACATCCTGTTAGCTCAAATCTACACACTCATTTGGCTCAAACATCGTGAACATACTCATAAGAACACTGCGTACGACGTTGGCCGAGATGCCTCTGCCAAACGTTGCGATCCCCTCTTCCCTTCCGATCCGGTAGAGGCCCTCAGCGGCGTTCGAGTACCCGAATCTTTCGCTAGCGGTCTTTGCGCCATCGGCGCACATCCTAACAAGTACAACCTGCAGTCTCATCAGCTACACCACTCGAGTCATTCGTACTCGCAGCTACTGACCTCGGCCGGGTTGCCAACTAGCCCAGCCATGCCACCGGCCAACCCGGCGCACGTTATCGTCATAGCCGTTGATAGCTTCTCCTTCCCCGTGTATTGTTTTGCTGATTGCGCAAAGTAGTTATAAAGGCCGAATCGAGCGGTGGAGTATGTCGTTTGTCGAAAGATCGATGCAGAAAGACCGGACCACAGAGAGAATATTCCTGGCACCAGTCAGCGATTCAGTCTTCTCCATCATCAGTGGGCACCAACCATCTCTTGCAGCGAAGCGATACATTGCCCGGAACATGGACTCCCTTGACTTCAACACCTGCATGCGACTAATCCGGTCAGCTTTTGTTGAGCGTTAGACATCCAGCAAAACTCACTATTTAGTTTGATCGAGAGGGTGAGCTATGATCATACGGTCAGCGCAAGGCGTTGAGGACAATCAAGTCAAAACTCACTGAAGCAAACAGCCATTGAGGCCGCTGCGCCTCTATTCGCAAGTCAGTCATATCACAGCTACATTTAGTCTGCCAACTTACCCCAGCCAGAACGGCTCCTTTTGCTTGTTACCAGTCATCGTGAGAATGCGATATCGAGACCCAAACAGTTTCCATGTCCATTTCCAGGAAATGCGGTCCGCGGATATGCTCTTTTGATAAGTAGCACCAATACCATGTCATCACAGCCCCTGTCTTAGTCCATCCCACGCGATAGCATAGCCCAAAGATACGCGCCGGCCTCTCATCCATCCTCCGACGCCCACGGAAACCAAAAGTAGCCCCGGCGACCTCTCGGCAACTCGGCGCAATGTTGGTTGCAAAGACCCACGGCCGACCTCGCTGACATCACATGGGAGCTCGCGCCATCGGAAACACTTCTGAGTCCGAGTCGCCGGCGCATCTTTTGTCTTCCGACCGCGGAACCTCCCCCACCAATTCCGTTCTGGAACCAGAAAAAACCACTTTACCACCCGCAATCACCCTCTGGCCTTCCCGATGGATGATGCGAATGCGAGAAAACCGCAACAGACCGACGATCGCAAAGAAGAAAACACCATGTCGAAGCTCTCTCCGTCTCTGAAGGCTCTCATCAACGCGCCCTTTGCGCGCCCGGGGCAGGCTGCTGCGCCGTCGCACATTCGTGAGGTCTACCAGACGATCGCAAAGGGTGCCGCGGAGAAGAACGTCGGCGCAAAGCCGTGGCTTGCCATCTCGGTATGTCACTGCATCAGGGATTCAATTGAAATTGTCAATTGAGTTCCATGCACATGAAGGGATCCCAGACTAACCCAGTATCCTAGGCCGCGACGACTTTTACTCTTAACTCCCCCGAATCTCTTGAATCCCTCTACAGCGTCGCTTCCAACAGCGGCCGCCCCGACAAGCGCGAAACAGCCGAGTTCATCCGCGAGATCGGATTAAAGTGCATCAGCTTCAACGGGATCCCGCGCACCATCAACTGCCTGAATGCGTTCTACGCCAGCCTCCCGAAAGACGTTACCTCGCAACTGGAGACAAAGCCGACACGCGCACCCACTACCGAGAACCTCGGCGAGATCACAGGGCGCGGCCAGGGGCTCTGGGACTCAGTATACGCACCGTTTGAAGTCAAGCTCTACGAGAAGCTTGCGCAGTCGCATCCCGACTTGCCAGTCCACATTCTCAACAGCCACTACGCGGGTCTGCTGTCTGATCCCAAAGAGCGAGGGGGTCTTGCGACCACTGGCAGAGTCTTGACTTCTATTGTCGCTATTTCATGCTTGAGAGCGCAAACAGGCGTCGGTCCGCAAGTTTTGTCGCACGTCTTTGGATTGAGAAAGGCTTTCGAGGACGGCACGTTCAAGGCAGACAACCAGGAGGACATCCAGGGCGCGCAATGGCTGGCGAGCGACGAGGGCAGCGAGTGGATTCTGAAGTCGGTCGACAGCATTACAAAGGCCATCGGAGGCTCAAACTTTGCTCCAGCCCGTCAGTCCAAGTTGTAAAGAAGAGGATAAAATATTGTAAAATAATCAGCGGGGGCTACAGACCCAAAACGCGCCTAGGATCATGTTATTGAATGTCTATGCAGAGCCTCAGAGTGAAGTTGACATCCCATCTATCAGCATCTTCGGCCAATCATACTATAAGAATAATGCACACAGTTAAGATGACGCAGAAATGCCTACTTAATGGTGAGGCCATGCTTTACCTCCAGTCTTTCGAGGCCTAAAGCTGCTTGGCAAGTCTATTTTTATGTTAAAAAGAGGATCTATCTAGATGAGAAGAGAAAGTGGCCGTGTATGTTGAATATGGCAATCAAAGTTCGTGTTGGTTGAGCAAAACAATAGGAAAACTCCGTCTAGAACCTAATCAAGGTCATGGCATAAAGGATAGGTTGAGGCCGTAGTAGAATCGTGATCATTATACCATATCCCTTTTAGTATTGAGCGTGTACAACTCTATGTATTCCCAAAAATGCTGATTCCCTTATCTATTGCTGATGAGGGTTTACAGGACCATCTTGAACTCAGGCTCTCTATCGTCGCCCGTGCCGATGAACTGGTCGTACTTGCCCGCAGCCTTGTCGCGGTTAATCTTGGAACACCAAAGAACATTCAGTAGTGTGCTGTAAAGATTATCAGTGAGGGAACCTTAGGATTAAATCGAGGTAGACTTACGCAACCCAAGCATAGCAAAGCAGTCCCAAGATGATGGTGTGACCCTTGTGATAGTATGGGCCTTGGGTGCTGGGATAGATGAAGGCTTTTTCAGATGTTAGCGCAAGCTCTAAGTCGGGGGATGGCGGGGACTTACTCGCAACAAAGCCTCCGCAGTTCGCGATTGCCAACTGCAAAGCCGACGTAGTTGCCCGCTTGTAGTGCCCGGCCGAGTTGTTCGAGTTCCAACTCAGAACGCACGGGACTGCACTGTACATTCCAATGGCCATGAGACAGGTCATTGCAAATCTTGTTTGGGGCGCAGTCACGTTGCCGATGACGGCGTAGCCAATGACCGAAATCGGCAGGACGGCGAGCATGAGCGGGCCGCGCACCCGTAGACGATCCGACAAGAACGCAACAAGAACTTCGAGCCAAGTTAGAGAAGCTCCAATACGACCGCTGTTAAAATAGAACTTACCTGTCACGGGAGTAGCAACAGCGTAGGGGATAACGGACCACAGCTGAGACTGGTTGGCGTTTGAGGCGATGTGGAGGTCATTGATGATGGTAGGGAGCTATGTTCAAGCCCGTCAACACGTGTTGATCACCCCTGAGAAGTTCAAGCGACAAGACTTACGAACAGGCCAAAAGAGTACAGGCCTGAGAGGATTGCAAAGTAAGCAGTCGAACTCAACCAGACTTGAAGGTTCAGAACGCCGCGACCAACTTCCGACCATCGAAACTTCTCCTCTCGCTCACTGGCCTGACTAAGAAGTTTGTCAGCAACCATTGGGAATAATTGAGAAGCAGCTTTTATTACTTGAACCTGTACCCGGCGTGGCCTTGAAGTCTGACCAAGGCCCATTCTCGCTCTTCGGGCGTAAGAATCTTTGCAGTTGCGAGGTTGTTCGGCAGACCGAAAGCGGCGATGGTTCCACACACAACTGTCTTCATCCAATGTTAGTAAAGCTTAATTGTTATCGTATGTACAGGAAAACTCACGATGAGGCCTTCGATGATGAATATCCATCTCCAACCCTCAAGATTTCCACTCGGGCCGATGGCAGAAAGTCCTCTTGCAAGAAGACCACCAAATGCGCCTGCGCCAATGTGTTAGTGGGCTCCTGAAGAAGTCGATGCGTAGGCAAAAATGACTGACCCGACAAAGACGCTGCGGTGTAGAAAATGCCGATTCTAAGAGCGAGTTCTCCACGGGTGTAAAGACCGGACAGGTACAGAACCATTCCAGGTAGCAGGCCTCCTTCACACATCCCGAGAACGGCGCGGACGGCGACAAAACTTCCGTAACTACGGACGAAACCGAGGCACATGGTAACAATACCCCATGCGATGGTCAGGAACGGAAGCCAGATTCTTGGCGAGACCTTCTTCAGGACGAGATTGCTTGGCAGTTCGCTAGACATGCATTAGCGGTTGGTACGTGGAGACAGGGCGTCCATTCACAAAGTCGGAGTGACTATGGACGACAGCAATAACATGCCTGGCAATGTAAGTCGCGTAGAAGACAGCCAAGCCCTGGTTGTATTGGATGTTGTTGATGCCAAGGTCCTCTTCGAGACCAATGATCTTCGCGTTACCGACGTTGGTTCGATCGAGAAAGGAGCACAGGAACAGCAAGGCCAGAAGAGGCAGAACCCTGGTAGCCACAGACATGTTAGTTGATGTTCATCCCATCAAGGTTCGTTGATGGAAATCCGCTTGCCTTGTATCGACTTTGAAGAGCAAGGTCCTCGTCAGATGGGCTTGACGCTCCGCGTCAGCAGCCACCTGGCTTTCGGTGTGCTCGACCTTCGGGTCCATGTCGTACTCCTTGGAGTTACGAGTCATCTTGTTGATAAACGGGATGAAAATGGCAAAGACCTTAAACCAGGACACGAGACGGTATCGCTCTCAGGACAAACGACAACGTGAGAAACAAGAACGACGAGAACCTCAACAATGTGCCAAGCATAGACAAGGCTTGGAAAGTCTTGGGGACCCTCCCCCGTTTTTGAAGTCCATCTTCCCCAGACCCCAAATCTGCGGGGGCGGACGTACCCTACGGGAACGCGAACTATGCTTACCATCCCCAACCCTTCCTTACTATCCCCAGATTATCCATCTAGGAAGGTAGGTCAAGCTAGCCGTTAGCCGTATCGCGCCAATGAAAGCGGCTTTGTTTGACTCGCTGACCCGGAGCCTACTTCTGGCCGCCGAGAACCCCAACAGATGCCGGGGATAACCCCGGTCTGCAGACGTCAGCGTCCCTCGGGCTCTCCCCCTCATGCCGAACCCCCGGTCAGCGCGAAGTTGGAGACGGGATGGCGTCGGCGTGCAGAAGAACGCCCGATCGGCTCCGCCCAGGAGCTCGTCAAAAAGATGAGGTCGCGCCCACCTAACCCGAGCCCAGAAATGCTACCGACAAGCGGACCTGGATCTTTTCTTATCTGTCGTTCTTGCAGCTGGTGTCTCAGTGTCGCAAGTTTGAGATTTCGTTGAGGACAGAAACACAGATTCAAAATGCCTTCACTTACACGCCAATTGCGCCCAAGGGTGGTTATCCGCGCCACGGCCGCTCTCTCTGCGGTACCATCTATCTGCGCGCAACCTCAGCGCTTCCCCCGCGCAAAGGTCATTGGAGCGGTGAGCTGTCGAGCTCTTACGACAACATCAATTCGAAGATCTGCGAAGGCGCCGAGTGTCAAGAGAGGCGGTTCAAAGCTCTATGCTTCCGCGGACGAAGCTGTCGCGGACATCAAGAGCGGATCAACGATTCTCAGTTCTGGCTTCGGACTTTGCGGTGTTGCTGGTGAGTGCGAGCGCAATGAAGCGACTGTCTGGCATTACTGACATGAATCGAAGACACTCTGATTGCCGCGCTGAACCGCAGGGGACCCGAGAACCTTCACTCTTTGACAGCAGTCTCGAATAATGCCGGAATTGAGGGAAAGGGTGGCTTGGCTATCCTCACAAAGTCTGGTCAAGTCAACAACCTCATTCTCTCATTTCTTGGAGCCAACAAGGCTCTTGAAAAGGCATACTTGACAGGAAAGATTGGCATCGAGCTGTGTCCCCAGGGCACCCTCGCTGAGAGAATCCGTGCTGGTGGTGCTGGCATTCCCGCGTTCTTCACGCCCACTGGTGCACGTAGGTAGATCGCCGACGCCTGTTTGGTCATATGGCTGACTCTTCTAGACTCGTTGGTCCAGACTGGTGACATCCCCGTTAGACTTGATGCGTCAGGCGCCGTTACGGAACGTGGCAGGACGAGAGAGACAAGGGAATTCAATGGCAAGACTTACCTCATGGAGACTGCTTTGACCGGAGATGTCGCCATTTTGAGGGCATGGAAGGCCGACACGGCTGGAAACTGCGTCTTCAGGTAGGCTTTGTGAATTCAACCAGATAAAACTTGAGCTAACCTAAGCAACCTGCAGATACACCACGAAGGCATTTGGCCCCATCATGGCAAAGGCCGCGACCGTCACTATCGTCGAAGCAGAGCACATCGTTGAAGCTGGTGAGATCGATGCCAACGATGTCGACCTCCCCGGTATTTTCGTCGACCGAATCGTTCCCGCGACCGCCGAGAAGAACATTGAGATCCTGAAGCTGAGAGCCGAGGATGGCGAGGGCGAGAACCTGTCCAAGGCCAAGAACGAGGCCCAGGAACGCCGCAACCGTATCGCCAGGCGAGCGGCCAAGGAGCTGAAGGAGGGTTTCTACGTCAACCTTGGTGTTGGTAAGTTAGCCTGTCCACCAAACCATGAAAAGTGTCGCTGACAATCGCAGGCATTCCCACTCTCGCTCCCTCTTTCCTGCCTGCTGAGCGCAAGGTCTGGATCCAGTCCGAGAACGGTATTCTCGGCATGGGTCCCTACCCCACGAAAGACGAGGTCGACCCGTAAGTGGCGTCATTCTGAATAACAGTGGGCTAAGGCTGACATCATTGAAAGTGATATCGTCAACGCTGGCAAGGAGACCGTCACCCTCGTGCCCGGAGCCTCAACCTTTGACAGCGCCGAGTCTTTCGGCATGATCCGCGGCGGCCACGTGGACGTCTCCATTCTCGGAGCGTTGCAGGTCAGCGCCATTGGTGACTTGGCCAACTACATGATCCCCGGAAAGGTGTTCAAGGGTATGGGTGGTGCCATGGACTTGGTTTCCAACCCGGATAACACCAAGATTGTTGTCGCGACAGAGCATGTTGCCAAAGATGGGTCTTCGAAGATTGTGCAGGACTGCAGCCTGCCTCTGACTGGTGCTCGCGTGGTTAGCACTATTATTACCGATTTGGTGAGTCGTGAATAAAGATGTTGTGCTGTGAGTAGTTGCTAACATATCTACAGTGTGTTTTCGAGGTCGATCGCAAGAATGGGGGATTGACCCTGACTGAAGTTGCGCCGGGCGTTGACGTCGAAGAGGTACGGGCGAAGACGGATGCCTCGTTCAAGGTCGCAAAGAACCTAGAGACAATGGAGTGAACAGTAATTGTATAAAAACGTTAGACATTATCCGAGATACCAGTTAGAAGTAATGCGACATGAAAGTAACAAAATCATTGAAGTTTATGTTGAAGTATGAACCATAATAATACATTAACACCTATGTGCATCCAAATACATGAAGTCCAAATTGTCATAAGCTCGTGCAGGATTTCAGGGTATCGTCCAAATTGTGGCGTTCCGACAGCTTCGCATACCGATTACGTCGTGATTGATAGGAGACAAGGAAACGCGCTTAGTCACTGCTGGAGCTGGAGCTTCCGCTGAGACCGCGCTTGTGGTGCTTGTCCTTCTTGTGCTTCTTCTCCTTCTTGTGCTTCTTGCCGGCGTGCTCTAACATGTTGGCACCCACTGCGCCGGCAATAGCACCACCAAGAGTACCGAGCAGGCCGCCTCCGGCCTTGTGCGCAGCCCATCCGGCAGCTCCGCCGCCGACTAGTGTCGCGCCAAGGCCACGCTCGCCATCAGGGCCGACAGGCCCATCAGGGCCGACAGGCCCATTGGGGTCGTACTGGCCTGGACCGCCCTGTTGTCCATAGCCTTGCTGGCCGTGTTGTTGCTGACCATATTGCTGTTGTTGAGGGTAGGGAGAGTGACCGCGGTTGTCATGTCCAGAGTAACCCTGGTTGTGGCCTTGACCCTGGGCGTAAGTGGGCTGTTGGGGGCCGCCGTATCCGTGCTGCTGGGGAGCGTTGTAGCCACCGCCCTGCTGGTACGGTGAGTGCGACTGTTGAGGGTAACCGCCTTGCTGCTGCTGTTGCATAAAATGTCAGCATGCGCCAAAAGATGATTTGCTTCAAGATAGTATGGATTGTTGGTATCTTACCTGAGGAGCGTAGCTTGGCTGCTGGGGATATCCACCCTGTTGGCCGTAGCCCTGCTGCTGCTGGTAGCCCTGGTTGTAGCCCTGCTGGCCGTGGCCGCTGTTGCCGTAGTAGTCGTTCGAAGACATAATACTGTGGAAGATGTTTGATCAAGTGTTTAGATGATTTTGAGGTCGAATATCGATATGGATCGGAAGCGCTGAAGAGTCGAAGGCTTGATTATGATGATGATGTCTCCCAAGTCAGCAGAGGGGGAAACAGCTGAGCTTTAAAAGGCGCCAAACATAAGGCGGGATTCAACAGGAGCTAGCGTAGAAACGGAGCTCGCGGAGATTGCCAAGGAGGGGCCAGAATGCATGCAGAACGGGAGAATGCTTCTCACCCTCCGCTGAGAGCAGTGCCCCGTTTCCGCTGCCCCTCATCGCTCTGTTACTCTGTCACTTGCAGGTGGCGCAGTGACTGCGCGGGGTGCTTTGCCAGCCATGGCTGGGGACTTTGGTGTGTGCCAGCCACGGTCGCTTAGCTGATTCGATGGGAAACTTAGCAGTCTTAGCCACCCAGATGACGCGACTTGCAAAGCCACTCGCTTTCGGCTTCTCGCGTCCGAGACGGCAAATCCAGGAACTCCCGCCTCAACCGTGTCTTCGCTGGCTGGCATCATTCTTGTAAATGTTACTCGTCTATGAGTCTTTGCACTGTAGAAGCCGTTTTCGTTAGACATTGTTCCACGAACGTAGCCACATGCCAGCTACCAGCTACATTGCTGAATGTTTCATGGCGCAACGGCTAGCCAAGTGTCCCGGTGATCACCAAACGTTCGGACGAACCACTGACCAGTGGCCTGTCACTGCCACTCAGCCGGTCGGTCGCATCAGCAGCCCGAGCCAAGATCAGCGAGCACATGGTACCCGGAGGTCTGGAGGACCCCAGGCACAGGGAACTGTCGCCCAGAGTTGTGGAGCTGAACTGGGCACCAACAGTCGGCCTCCCCGACCATACCGGTTGTGGGGCCGATTGGCCGCGCTGTCTCCGGCTGTGTGCCCTTCCTGGGCGGTTGACTGATACGCGGGTCCGCGGGAGTTTGGCGGAGCATTAGTTCATTGGCTGTGAAGCCGTCATATATCCCGTGATTCCTGGAAGGATCAGCAGGGCAAGCAAGTAAGCTCGTCTCCAGCCGAAGCTAGAACATTTCTGGAAAACCAAGGTCTCACAGCCAAGGCTCAGCTCAAGTCAGTCGTAATGCTGGGCATTCTCCGAATGATTTTTGACGTGCTTACGTAGCTCTGATTTTGAAGGACTTTACAGAACTTGTCGAACCCAAAGCGGTCTTTGCGGAATATTCCAACTGCCCTTGACTCTCTTTGCGGGGTCGGCCCTATCTCAGTTGATGGCTCCGACGCCACGACCGTTAGCGGCCGCCAATGAATCATAGCGTGTATTTGGCTCAGAACGTCTTTATATGCTATTTTGGGGTGACTGTAATGATGACGGCATAAGGTGGAATTCTCCAGTTGTGTTGCATATAGGTATGCGCTGCATGAAACAGAAAAGGCTCAATTAAATCTCTCCTTGGTTACAGTTTCAATACCTGCCTACCTAGTAAGCATCGATTGAGCAACATTCCAAGAATGGGAAGCAGTATGGCACATTCAAACAGCCTTGCAAGCCGAAAATACGTGAACTGGGACGCATGTGGTGTCGATAAGGCCCCGTCGAATGAAGATGAAGACATTGAAATAGTGTTCAAGCTCATCAATGAGCAACAACGGAGGACACGGAACAAGACTCATCACGGTCATGACGCAACTCACGAGAGAAGATAAGGCATTTTCAAGGCCGAGTTTACCATTTCGAATGATCTAGAGTATCTGAGACAGACTGAGTTGTTACGATATGGGGGCGAGGACCCTGTTGCTTGTCAATACAGCTTAGAGCCGAGAAACTCGGGTCTTGACGAAGCCTTCAGCCTTCAACCAGATACCAGCACCAGCTGAAAAAAATGCCAGAGTCACATTCCACAGCCACGTGTCTTCGAAATGAAGCTCTTCAATGTTGAGGGTGACACTTCGATGCAGGCAAAGAATGCCGTACGCATGACATCGAGTTCAACAGTGCGCCTGCCATTGAGCTTGCCGACGCCAAGACCACCAAGGAGATTTTGCAGTTGCGTCTGAAGCAGGAAAGAGCTGTATAATCATCTCAATACTCGACAGGATGCGGAGCTGCAAATAGCTTGAGACAAGCTTCGAGATTTTTACCTCGAATCAGCGAGGCAGTTTTCGCAAGCTGCTCACCGATTTTGGAACTACGTGATGAAGTGTTCTCCGTGCCGCCGAGTGCCACACAGACAGAATCGTACGAAGAGACGGTCGAGCCAGGATTCAGACGTCTTACAATAGTGGCTGCAGAACTTTTACACCAATCACGAGGCCGAGTGCCTGTTCCGGATTCAACTGCTAGAGGGTCGGGAAGAGCAGGCCGTCGAGTACACAGGACAGGCGTGGGACGAGGAAAAGTACCCATGGCAGCAGAGACGGTCGCCAAGCTTGTCATTCCACGTCAAAATATTTTTTACTTTGAAAGGAAGCCGTTCTGGGAGGTTTACATGCGGGCTGATCCCTGGCACGGACTGAAGAGCTTGCAGCCGCTAGGGAGTCCGAACAGGCTCATGCGTGTTGGTACGTTTCTTGTCCAAACGTCTCGCTGCGGCTTCGAGTGCTGACATCTGCAGTCTATGCCGCCAGAAGCAAATTGCGCCGTGATTTGAATAGTCAAGAAAGTGAACGTCTCGAACGTCGATGAGATACCAAATTGAGGCGTGAGGGGAGACACCAGACGAACTGCCTCTCAGTTGAGCCCGTCCTGATGTGAGGTCAGGGGTTTATCCAAACATCAGAGTACAAGTTTCGCGTGGTTTGAAAGCATTGCACACTTACATGTGACATCTATCCCGCATATAGATGATGTTTTGATTGCTCCTCAGAGATGCAGCAGGGCGTGCTGCTCAGATGTCTGAGCTCATGCTGCCAAGAGTGAGCACGACGGCTTCATTTTTCTCGAGGATCCAACGTCGCGCTCCTCAAAGGTCACGCAACACATTTTGGTCAGAATTCTGCACCGGATTTTCCTTCGATGCTGACTGGAGACTTGCTGCTTTTCCCAAATTCAGACGAGTTCCAGAGACCATTCGTGTTTGACCGAGGACGCAGTTTGAGCCTTCATGCAAGTAAGGACCTTAAAAATCCGGGGTGGCACTATCGCGAATAATGAGTGGTTCATTAGCAGACAGAAATAAAAATTTCCAGTGTGCTGATTGGTTTCAAAGTTGATTCAAGCTCATAGTTCAACTGGAGGTCGTCTGGGAGCTATGCTGGTGATGGGATGAAGATCTGAGCGCGATGCGACACCGACGAAAAAGGTCTGGAGCTTGGATCACTTGGCAATGTTTCCTTGTGACCCCGTCCATGCGGGCTGTGAAGGACCGAACCCCGGGATACTGAAGCTCAAATACAGCATTAGGCCCTGGACGAAGTTTCGTTCCGGGCTCTTGTTGGCAAAACCGGAAAAGTCTTCGGAGATCTATCACTGATCAGGAAGCCTGGAGCTTTCTCAGAAGTCTACGCGTCCCTGAATCTCGAAGCTATCCTGAAGTTGCGCGCAGGCTCAACAGCAATATGGCCACCACAACTCTCACTGCTAAAGAGGGTCAAGATGCCGCGGTACAACCCAGTCCGTACACAATCGTCCGCAAGACCAGTAAGCCTAGTGTCCGCAAAACGACGAGCAAAAACTAACTATCTTGCAGCTCAAGTGGATCGCATGTTCTATGTCTATCATCGCCTAGGAATTCAAGCAAACGTCTTGGTTGCGGCTCGCTACGCCTCAGCGAAGACCGGTCAAAATCTCGACCTGTCAGATGAGACGGTTTTTGCAGCTCTTCATGCCGTCGTTACCAAGTGCCCAGAGCTTGGCCTGGTTGGTGTCAAAGAAATGAACGAAGATGGCAAGCACTTTCTTTCTTTGGCCTCACTTAACACAATCAACCTCGACAGCTGCGTTGAGTTCATCGACCACAACGTCCCGCCCCTGGGCTCAGACCTATTCGAGAAGCTCCACAGCGAGTGGCTCTGGGCTGATGGAGAGGTGAGACCTGGTCAGCCATGGTGGAAAGTGCTCATTCTCGGACGCCGAGATGTCGTCTTCCTGTTTCACCATCTCGTCTGCGACGGCTCATTTGGCATGACCTTCCACCGCGAATTTCTCGCGTCACTCAATGCCGCAGCCGCCTCTGGAATGAGACAACAAGCTCCTCGGGAGGTTCACTTGAACCCTGAAAGAATGAGACTGAATGAGAGAGTCAAAAACACTATCCGGAAGAAGCCATCCGCGCTTGGTGTCATCTATAACTTCCTAAGCTTTGCCTTCCTCCGGTACTTCTACTCAAAAGCCCTCTTCTTTACGGACTTTGCCCCGCCCAGGAAGTTCCTAAAAGATTCCCTGGGCAACCCATTGCCGCAAGAACGAACCTCGACACAGGTCTACAACTATCGCATCCCCGCTCAAAAGATGGAATCTATTCTAGCTGCCTGCCGTAGCCATGGGACAACTTTCACGCCTTTGCTTATGGTCTTGATCACTGGCACTTTGGCAGCGGACCACTATCGCAAGGCCAAGGTCGGATTCACACGTTACGCAGTCGACATGCGACCAGTCTGCGACTTTGAGGATTTGGCAGCTGGGCAAGGCAAGATGCTCAACTTGGCTGCCAGTGTGCCAGAGAAGGAGCGTCTTGGGAAATACCGGAAAGTACTCCCCACAATGTTTTCCGGCGATGGAATTCAACAGGCTAGAGCATACCTTGACACAAAGGAAACTTGGAAACTTGTTCGCGACTATGGAAAGCGAATGCAGAAGTTCCGCAAGGGCGGCACCAAGTCTAAGCTTTGCAAGTCTTGGCTGAGCGGAAACACCATGGGCCCGACACTTGAGGAGTTTGTTAACAAGTCTCTGCCTTCGATGAATGTGGTCATGCAGAACAGCTTCTCAGTTTCAAACCTAGGTGCACTCAAAGCCACTACGGTATCGGCTGGTGGAGAGGAGCCGGCGGTGAGGATCGAGGACGTTCAATTCTCTACCGCTTCTCCTCACGGCGCTGTTGGATACCATGGTATAGTCTTCAATGTCGCTGGTATGGCTGGCGGTGATACGGTTATCAATGCGTGCACTGAGGCGGGCATGGCTCCTGATGGCTTGGTCCGCTCTGTTCTTGATGGCGTCATGGCGAGAATTGATACCCTGTTGTTACAACAGAATACCTCGTCTGAAAAGGAGAGAAAGGCCAGAAGTCAGGTGTGATCGTGGGCTTTTCATGTTCACCACGACGAGATGGCTAACATCGGTTCCGTGTAATCTCCCAACAAAGTAGTCTAATATTGAGTGTTCCTTGTAACTGAATGATTTAGACATGGCAAAGGCTTCATCCGCGCGATGGCCCATGTTACTCTTGTTCTTTAGTTGTAAATGCGAGAAACCTAAGCTTTCGAACGCCACAGGGCAGAACCACTATTGCAGTTGGCTTGACGTCCCGTTTACATATATACTAAAATGGAATCTGACCGACGCAGTAAATAGGCACAGCCGACAACCACACATCAAAAGAAGCCTCATGGTAGGACCTACTTGTTTCCATGCAGAGGGAATTGCACATAATCAGAAAGCTCAGTGACGGCGATGCCCATGCCGAACTGCCTTTCACGGTCGAGCTTCAATAGCCTCGGAATTTCCACTTCTTCGATCTTGTTTTCAACGAGTCCGTGTCGGATCATGAAGTCGATCATCACCAGCGCAGAATTCGGTTTCCATCGCCCATGCAGCAAGCTTTCTCTGATTTCGTCGATCCCCATTAGCTTGAAATTCTGGCCTTCCTTTCCTTTAATCTTCTCGTCATTGACCCTGAGATCGTACGCTTTCCTGATGCCAGGCTCAGGCAGGCCAGCATAGCCTTTTTCCCATCTCTCATCGCGCACTTCGAAGAATTGAATGGTGGGAATATCCGGGCTCTGATGCATTAACTCACGCCAATGACGTGGATATCCCTTTGATTCTTGTTTTTTCTCCTTTTCGATGCACTCAAGGATCGTTTTGTGGCTCGGTGTAAAACCACCAGCTGCAGCTTGATCGAGTAGTCCGGGGAAGTTTGGTTGCGTGTCAGGGCGCTGAGACACCCACACCTGGAAGCCCTTTTCTTTGGTGATCTTGTAGACGTTGAGATGTGCGCCGGTCGTAAGGATACCGAAGATCGGGACAAGGTCGCACCAAATCCCTTCCCTGAAAAGCTTTCTGAAATTTTCATCTTCCTCGATCAGAGGCCATGATTCCTGATCGTTATACAGCCATTTTGTGTCCTTCTTCACCCACTGAGGTAAGTTGCCGCCTGGAATCTCGTCAAGCTTGTCTACTATTTCCTTCCAGGCATAATTAAGCTGAATTGTTCCCGTTGTTGGGTCGATGGGTGGGTTGATCAGCCGGATCTATTTTGACAACCGGTCGAAGTCGAGCCATTTACTGTTTGCCTTTTTCAGCCACTTGACATTCTCTTCAAGAACAATTCCGAATGCCTTCCAAGGAGAGGTCGGGTTCGTGGGGTCTTTGAGACAAAACTTCCATTCTGTGCCTTTAATCTGGAACCTGTTGACATCCTTGACAAGCTCGACAAGATTCTCATAACGGTAGCTTTTTGTATTCGGCATTGGATCCGTTTCAAATGTTGAATCGTTTTGTAACAGGCTGTCGAGTGATATTTGCGCTTTGATGAAAGGCAGAGTCGAAATGGTAATTTTGGTACGCTGCTGTCTCGTCCTGGGCGGTATACAATCATGTTGCGGAATATTCAAGGCAACTTTAGATTGGTAGACCCGAAGGAGATGAAAAAATGGATGAATGGCGTAGCGTTCAAGAACACATTATTTGACTCGACACAAGCTCTTTTGAAAGTAGATTCGAGGTCTTACCCTTTTTGGCTCTCGGGTTAACGGACCCTCCGGTCGTGCTGCAACAAAGAAAACGTTCTGCTGCCAGCCAAGCTTACCCAAAAGGCTGTTCGTGGGTAGCTCCATACCAAGGGGATAGCTTTAAAACGTCCACAAGTGAACGTCACTGAACAGCCCTGATAACAGGCTGACAGTGAGCGAAAAGTCTGGCGGACTCAACAGCTCAAGGTCTGGGCTGTGATTTGACAGGGACGCGAATCCCGCTGTTTCGACAAATCTTGAACTTCCATCAGCACAGCTTCCTAGGTTCCTCACTCTGCTCAGGTGAATATGCTCGACCTAGGGAGCCCCCGGCATTTTTCAGGCCCCTCCCTACCAGTCAGCTCCAACCCGCAGCTGGCATGACGTCCACACGAAGTAGGGATGGCTTTGCAGCTCTGTAGTGATGACCGGTCAAAGATGAACTTGTTCGCGGATCTTGATGCTTTTTTCAGAATGTCGACTAACTGTACCATCAACCTAGTTTGAGAACTCATCTGCATCCATCGTTGCTAGAATATCGTAGTGAGACCACCGGTCCCAGGGGGATTTGGAGATCTGATCTTTCAGAATATCAACGTTTTCGTCCACCGATTCAATTGCCGCCTCCCACATTCTTTCTCGAACTTGTACCCTGACAGCTTGGTATGTTTGAACAGCCTTCCATTCTTTCCATTCCTCATTCTCCTTTATAATCTGTGCTATCGCCGCAGAGGCGCCTCGCAGGTCTTCATCTACAAGATATTGTCGTGCCCACTCTAGTCTGGCGACGTCATGCTGTAAGTTGCGATTTCTGATCTGTGTGTACAAACACACGAAAGCTTCCTTCTCTTCTGAGGTTGGTCTGCGCGCAGACCCAAGTTTCCATTCTGGTTGATGCAAAGTGCCAATGAACAGATCCCAGGGAGTATCGCCGTCAGAATCTTTCATGTCCACTCTGACTTGAGGTAAATACATTTTACCCAGGCTTCGAAGGACTTGAATTTGCCCATATGCAGCAGCGACGTGAAGGACATTTCCCTCTAGTCCCTGTGAAGAATCAGTTTCGGCGCCTGCCTTCAAGAGATATTTCGCAACCTCTGGCTGATTAGTGCGAATAGCCCGAAACAATGGTGTGTCGCCATCACCGCTACGCTCGTTGATCCCAGCACCGGCTTTCACAAGCAACTGAATCTTTTCCTTTGTGGCGTGTCTACTGACGTTGGAATCCTCTAGGCAGTGCAATGCCGTATTGCCAGATGCATCTTTAACTGCGGGTGAGGCGCCTGCATCGAGCAGAACCCTGATTATGCTAGCAGGACCTTTCTCAGGCTCGTTTTCTGGACATGCGGCATAGTGCAAGGCCGTTGATCCATCCGATGCTGCAGCGTTTACCGAACAACCGGCCCCGAGCAGACACCTAGCGACATATATATGCCCCATGTCAATAGCTTCCATAAGAGGGGTTCTCCCGAAGAAGTTTAATTGGTCCACGTTAGAGCCGAGACGAATAAGCTTTCGTACGGCTACGATATTGCCATGACTCGCCCCAACATGTAGTGGCGTCTGGCCTTCGTAGTTCCACTCACTCAATGCCCATGAGTATTGTTCAAAGGCCTGTTGGACTGATTCCCGGATTGTCTCTTCGTTGCTGATCAAGGTTGCCGCTTGGTGTAGCGGTGTCTGAACCGCCTGAACAGTGTCTCCGCCAAGCTGTACTACCTTGTGTTGTGCTTGAGATTCTTGAGGCGTCATGTGTGGCCTGCCTGTAAGTTGACTTTGCGCGTTGAAAGCACACTTCCTGCTTATTGATAAGTTGATGGATTCTGACCAGGAAAATAACACATTTCGTAATTAATACCTACCTATTGATATGTGACTTTGCAATCTCTCCGTCCCAAAACTGCACCAGAAATTCTAGCACGTCTGGTGTTCCAGCAGTGATAGCCCACTTTGCGAATGTCAGCCACTGGATGCCATCAGCGCTTTGATATTCCATGAAACGCTTACCTCGAGGAGTGTCAATCCTTTAGAGTCACAATCATCGGGATATATGTTGCCTTTCCTTATGATCAACTGCTGCACTTCCGCTCTTGACTGGTCTTGAATGATGTGCCATATTGTTGCACCATCGGCCAGGATTCTGATTGGACGTAATGAAGCGCTCAGTGCAGATAAACTGCCCATAGAGCTCTGAAGTGAAAAGCTTTGGGGCCAAAGCCAGGTCGGAAACTTGTAGTTGACCGTTATCGAGCCTTTCTGATTCTTCCTACAACTCGATTCGGTGCATTTGGTTGCATTCCGAAACAAGATGCTACTGTCCGAGGTCACAGAGAAAGAGCCCAGTATGTTGCCTGCCCAGCCATCATAGCCAAAAGATGACTGCTTAGAGGCATGGCAACGACACAAGCAATTACGTGAGCACTTGTTTTCCATTGATAATTTGGCCTTGAAACCCATACCGTCCTCAATGGGCCGTGGTTGGACGTCGGAGGTCAACTCTCGCGTAACTGGTGTATGTTGACCTACCCTTTCTGGTAAAGCTTGATCTGAATTTAGAACTGGCTGTGGAAATTGGTTTTCGGTAGTGTGAGGTGTGATCAGGAGGAGGTTTCCCGCCGTTGGAGCCACACCCCTCGAGCATTCATGGGCACGAGGAATGTGGCCTGTTGACTGAATAGTGAGGCTCTCAACACGAAGTGCCATCCGGCTGGCCACCAGTTATCAGCACTTTTGAACATCCTTTCGTGGATGACGCTCTACGCACGTAGTTTCTTCCAGGTTCATGTTCATCAGAACAAGATGCAGGGTGTCTCTAGCATCACGTATCTTATCTCGACAGTCCGCAAGATCTTTTTGCAAGAATAAGTATCTGGTCTTCCTCGCTTTGACGTTGCCATCTTCGTCGGTTCGCGTGACACGGCGATGCAAGTTTTGGAGGCCTTCGACAGTTTTCTCAAGCCGTTCTTTCGCTAGTTTGAGATCCAGAGATTCAGCCTGGCGTCCGCGGGAGATATATTGTTGCTTTTCAGCGGCCTTGACTGCAGATGCAAGACTTTGAATCTATGGAAGTGGAAAATTAGGACAAATGTTCTTGTAAAATCGTCGTGGCACTTTTCGATGGCGACTTTGCCCAACGTGATTTGCAACTAACCTCGAAGTCTAGCGATTGTAGTTCGCTGCCTATCTTCGGGATGTCTCGAAGAACGTTGACGATGTGGCGGCCGGCCACTAATGCTTGGCTGATAGCGATAAAGCTCGATACGGCCCCAACTACCTCCATCGTTTTGGCCAGCCTCTGCGATCTGGAGTGCTATCCGTCAGACTTTGCGTGTAAGGGGATGTATATAGAAGGAGACCTCGATGACTCGACTGGTGGGAGACGTGGATCATAAATGCGCCGCCAACATGTGAGGATGTCGGCGCTTAGATGTGGACTGCTATTGTGCGGAGCCCAATCATAACAGCCCATGTGAGTGGCCAAATGCAAGGCCCGGTGGCTGTACTTGTTAGTGGTGTTGGTGCCTATGAGACGCGCAAAGATCCATGCCGCATGGTAAGGGGCTCGCACCCGATCACTCAGCTTGCAACCCTCCAGGTATATTCATCCGGACTGGAGTATTACCCGCATTGTGACTAGATTTGTCAGCGTCGAGTCTCTCGCTCCCTGTGGCCTGCCTGCAAGCAAAGGAGCCTCTTCAAACCCCGTTTCTTTCCACGAATTAGGCAGCCTAGCCGTCATGAAGGATCAAAGCAGGCCAAAGAGCAGAAACGCGACCATGTTCGGTGGAGCCTTCCTCGAGCGCTCCGTTGGCTCTTGATGTTCGGGCCAAATGGCTAAGAGGCTTTGAGATGAGTTAGACAGGTTTACGATGACCGAGGTCGAGAAAACTTACACAGTTCGAAGACCCCAGAGTAGTCTTTGTTCATTGCCATGTGAAAGCTGGCGGCGTCGTGGTATGCCTCCCAGATATCGATGCATAGCTTAATGTATGTCAACTTTCCAAGGTCGATGATCTGGTCAATTTCCATCGTGGGCCGGCCTTCGAGTGTGGCGGTGGTTTGCGAGCCAGGGAGACCAACAGCTTCAGGGTCTCCGCGGCCTCTCCAGTTGTTCTTGAGAGAGAATACGAGCTTATTTCTTGCCCAGTAAGCAACGAGTTCGTTGTTCGCCTTTCGTCCGCGGTAGACTTCAGTCGAGTCCCAGCGGCTACTGCATTCGCCCTTCAGTCGACCGAGAGTGCTTCCAGGAAGCTTTCTATAGCTGATGTTGGAGGCGAATGCTAGGCCTCGTGAGTCGCAGAGGGGGAAGCACAGATCTTGGCGTAGCCAGTGAGCTTTCGCCTTGATGAACACATCAGCGCCGCGAGAACGCCTGGCAGGTAAGGGGGCCATTGATCCATCAGCCTTCCGCTTTCGGCAACTCGGAGCATCCTCGTTGAGAACGCCAATCTTGACGATTCCATCCTCGGCTTTGCTCCCGCCGGGACTAGTGGGCTTGGGGATCGGGGAGTCGGTATTCCAGCCGTCGAAAACCAGTGCCCAGATCTTCTGCCGCGCGGCTTCCTTCTTCTCCTGCGAGTCGAGGACGCCCATTCGGTTGCAGTGATGTAGGCGGGGAAGCCAATCGTCGGGTATGCTCTTCTCCTCTGGCGTGAGGTCGTCATATGTCTTGATCAGCCACCGAGGGCCAGCTTGTTGCGACTCCTCCTCGAAGGTATTCTGAAGTCGCTGAAGCATCTCAGAAACGCGCGATAGGTTGAGAGGAGGCATTTTCGGGTTCTCTTGTAGCTTGAGTTGAGTGTCTTCGTAAAATGCAAGCGAGGGGTAGATATCCTGATAGAATTCGAGGAGTATCATCGCCAGCGTGTCTTGTAGCTGATATATAGTTAAAGTGGGAGCCGTGTGCTTCTTCAGAGATGAATAGCTACGGTGAAAGATATTTACTGGCTGAGTGTTAGGAAAATGGGGGTTTTTATAGATGGGAGACTGTGGATTTGGGGAGTTGGGCGGGCGGCGTTGACAAGGTGAAATTTTCAGAGTCCACTGAGGAAAGAGGCTCGGCGCAATATTTTCAGGGAAGGAGCTAAGGGGGAACGACCGGCAAGTACAAAGTGTTCGGTTTATTCACATGGAAGTCATTTCAAGCTGGCTTCGAGAGCGGAGGGGTCGCGACTCGAATCCTAGCCTCCTTTCCCTCCCTCACTCATCTGAATCATACCCATAGTTGTCATCATCCATGTAAAGATCCTCGCCCATGTCGGAAATATCCCCATCAACACTTTGATAGTCTTCGGCTTCATCGACCGCCGATTGTCTCGTTCCCTCACTGTCATTGCCATGATCGTCGTCGTCGTCCATGTATTCGGCGGCGCCCAAGAGGGACGCCATCACAGCAAGTTTGTCGCGTAGATCGAGCAGAATTGGATCAGGGCGCAACTTTGGATCTTCCGCATACACTTTGAACGTGCTTCCATCTTGAAAATGTTGCTGTGTAGCCGTAGAGACCAGGTCCACGTCCGCGGGTCCGCTGAAGATGGTATTCTCGTCGGAGACACTCGATTCCCCCAAGACGCTCGGCTTTTGCGTCAAATCAAAAAGTACGTCCGCAGGGGTCACCGTGAGATCATTCTCCCACCTGTATCGTGCTGGGGCTCTCGTCCTGTTCCTCAGCTCCGATTCGTGGAGATAATGAAGTGCCAGATTCACTTCGTTCTCGTTGAATGATTTGACTCTTAGCGTGATCTTGCACTGGTCCCACATGGTGCGTACACCTTCATCGAGAGCGATGACATTCACTGGGCTTTCCAGGTAGCTCGAGCGTAGAGCATCCTGATATTCCTGAATCTTCTGTTGACCGAACAGGAACGCAAGACACTCTATCTTTCGGGCACAAACTCCCGCGTGCTCAATTTTCTTCTGTGGGTAGGCGTGGGCCACCTCGTTGTGTTCTGTACCCAGTGCACGACACTTGTAATCATCTCTTTCGTGAGCCTGGAGTCGGTCAGCAACCACATCGCCATTAGATATTACTTTTCTGCCCACAATATCGCGGCTTGTCACGCTCCGAGGGGGGTTGAGACTGGGAGATTTGGTACTCGACCCTCCCGGGCTGTCTCTTGTGCTGCCTCTTGAGCCGCTGCCACTCATAGTGCCCCTTTTCTGAACCTTGGTTGGGGTAGTTGGGCCCAATGGGTTTCTTGAAAGAGGGCTCTTGGTAGAAGCAATAGAGCCTTTTCCTGTCGTCGGGGAAGCAGGACCGGGGGGGTTCTGCGGGGTCTGTGGCTCATTTTGCAAATCCGTAGCTGGAGATCCTAGGGAAAGTTCCTGCGGCGGATCTGCAGATGCTAGCGACAGACGGGAGCTGAGACCAGGAGTGGCAGTACGAAGACTATTGGGGGAGGACGCGACTTGTGGGGTTTGGGGATTGCCGTATTTGCGGTTGTTGACTGTGAAAACGGGGTTTGTTAGTCCCTTTCCATGGTCAGTGGTTTCATTGTGCTTACCAATGTCCATCACGTCAGGCAAGTCATCCGTAATGGCGAGAAACAGGTTGCGAATATCGAACCATCTGATTTCATGGCGGCTGATCTTGCGACTGAAGTCTTGCAGACTATTGAAGGGAGTGACCCAAATAGCGGACCATACCGCCTTGGAGAAGTATTTCTTTTCAAGTTTGGAGAACCTGGTGGTAGGTGTGATTGGAATCTGGACCGGGTACTCAGCCTCCTGGATCTGCTCCAGAATCTCCTGTCTACCTGAGATGTTGTCGAGATAGGAAATGCTGTTGTTCCTCGCCGCTCTTTCTTCGCGTTTCTTTTGTTGCCATTGGGACTCGTGGATGCGTCTGAGCTCCCGGAAATGCGCTTCCATCACATCAGGTTCTTGGGAAGACGTCACTGCCCTCACAGCTTCTTCTTCCAAGATATCGTCTGTCACATGGCCGGCCTGGGCTGCTTCAAGGAGGAAGGCCATGACAGTTGCCCTCTTTCTGAGATCGGCCAGGATAGGGTCCGGCGGTGGTCCCCGGAGAGCGGCGGAAGCCAGAGCGTCTTGATACTCCTTCGCTTTCGTATACCCGAACAACAATGTGAGGGAGTCGAGCTTGAGTGCACATTCATGTGCGAGCTCAATCTGTTCCTGTGTACCGTTATGATCGTATACCTCATGGTACACTTTGATTTTGTCAATTTGCTTTCGCTAGGATCGATAGATTGCGTTTCCTTACCAAGAGCTAAGAGCCTAGGCAAATCTTGCGTGACCAGGAGAAGATTCATACGCATGGAGTAATGTGTGACTAGTCCCCGTCTGATTTCATCGCGAAGACGGATGAGTTCGTCGTACGGAGCGGCCCAATAGACAGACCAGGCCTCTCTGGTGAAACGATCCTTCGACAACTTTTCATACTGCTTGGGGTTAGTGCCGTCGACCAGGTAGTCTGCCTCTTGTATGTCCCGAAAAAGTCTGCGCCTGTCTTCAGTATTGTCCAGGAAGGCTGTTTGGTGATGATGATGATCTTGATCTCCCATCATGTCTGTTGCCGGGAAGCTTGAAAACCACCACGATAGAACCCACTTTGTTGAGAATGGGAGTGCCTGCAGGTCCGTGTCGTCGTCCTTGCCGTCGTCCTTCTCGTTGTTGTCGTCCTTGCCGTCGTCCTTCTCGTCGTTGTTGTCGTCGTTGTTGTCGTCGTCGTCGTCGTTGTTGTCATCGTTGTCTTCTTTTCCCTCTGTATCCACCAGGGTAATACGAACAGCGGCACAACTTATGTAAACGTGGCAAAATCTGAGGCCTGGATGGGCACATTGCCAGCAAGGTATCATGCAACACATGGACTGCCTCGGCGTCCAAATGCCAGGTATCCCAAACAAACTCAGTCGTGGAAAACAATGAGGACGATAGTAATCAGGTGCCCAGATATGAAAGCTCACAATTGTTGCGCAGCTGGGCACATCGAGGGATCTTGTTGCCGTACTGCAGCCACATCACGTTGTTAACATCCCATTATGCTCACGGCCCATCAAAAAGCATGGGGCACTGGATATTGAACTTGAAGTGAGAAACGAGCTTTCTGAAGCAAGTCTTGGTCCTCAGCTGTGAGGCTCCTAGCTTGAGGAAAATGAACAACCCGTCTCGTCCCGTGGAAGAGGGAGTGTGGCGTCCCCCGCTTGGTGGTGTGCGAGATGGCGCGGGATAAAAGAGCCACACAGTTGGGGCAGAATGGGTGTACGTCTAGTTCCCAAATGAACTATCGTGGTCCTGCCTTCTTCAGCGGGATCTAGCGGGACGGCACGCTGACTGCACTGCATTTTAACCTATACTAGAGGGGGCCAACAAGAGGCATGCAGCGCAAGTCTTCCTCCAAATCAGAGGCGTTGCATCTGATTGGAGACGTCTGCACCAAGTCAGATATTCCACTGGCCTGTGTTCTCAGAAGGACTGCTACTCATCACCGGCAGTTTCTTAAGAGAGAAAAACCGTTGAGTGATCAACGGGATAAGACCAACGATGCAGCAGAAGCCCTCAGTTGAAGATCTACATGCCTACACGCGCAGAGACGGACCGACCTACACTGCAATTTATCCTTAACACAAGGAAGTCGTTGCAATCACGGGTAAGAGGATAGCAGTTCCATCGAAAGGGATTGCACGACATGGCAGTGATCTCTAGGATATCTATTAAGAGTAAATAAAAAAGGGGAATGTATCATCTCTACTTGAGAGCCAGAGGACATTTAAATACACGAAAAGTGCCCATCATTATGCACCATGAGACATGACTGCCGAGGCCCATGGCTTCGGGGCCGATCTAGGTGGCCCAGGCCTCCCTCCAGGTTTGCACCCGAGCTCTCCTCTCTAAACAGCTCGCTCGTACACGTATCCACACGTAATCCTCCACGTTAAGGTATCTCGACGTTTCTTTTTCATTTTCTTTTTTCGTTCGTTTCCTTCGTGCAAAGAACTTTTGGGTGAGCAAGATGACCACGAGTGGCATCTTACTCGGTCTTCTTCTTGCCAAAGAGGCCGCCCTTCTTGGGCACTCTTGCCAGCCAGTACAGGCCGAGCGCGGCGAAGACGTTGAAGATGATGTAGACCCAGGCAATGCCAAAGTTCCTCCAGCGGTCGGCGTAGTCGCTCTTGACGCCAGCAAGGAAGTAGTTGGTGTCCTTGATGGTGCAGAACTGGCAGTCGGTAGTGGCGTTGGGGTCCTTGAGATAACCACCCATCACTCCCATATATGCTTGCATGTACTGCTCACACGTCTGCGCAGAAGGAGGGTTGAAGTGCAAGTACTCGTTAGCAGCGCAAACCACTTCGGTATTGGCGACGGCCGTCGACAGCATGCCTGACACGATATACGTGAAAGGCGATACACGATACATGAAGATCCAGAAGCGAGGGATGGAGTCGGGGTTGGCGAGGACACCGCAGAAGATCAGGCAAAGCATGAAGAGCAAGTTGGCGATGTTGCCTCCGGCTTCCGCAGTCTCGAAACCAGCGATGATAAAGTCGGTAAAGGTCGAGGTGAACAACAGGAAGACGAGCAGGTACAGGAACATCAGCGCGCCACGCTCCGTAACCTGGTCGGCAGGGATAGCGTTGTTGTAGAGACCGACGGGGTAATACCAGCAGAAGTACATGATCGCAGCCATCAAGGTGTTCCATGGCAGTTCGACAATGATCTGGCTGAGCATGAAGACCTTCCAGCCGTAGACCTTGGATGGACGCTCGCGCACCTCATACAAGGACCGTTGGATAACAAAGTGAGGCATGGTCTGCTGGACAAGTTGGCCGAAGACGGTGAGCAGGTTGAAAATAGCGAACATCTGGTTCTGAAGACCTTGCTGTGTGTTGGGAGCCTTGAAAAAGACGAAACCAATAAAAGCAGCAACCAGGGTGCACAGAGCAGCCTTGGCATAGATGTAAGACGGGGTTCTCCAGTACTGCTGGAAGACACGGTGGGTAACCTCCTTAAGCTGGCCGAAGAAGGGAGCGGCAAACTCGCGATAGCTGGCCTTGTCCTGGGTAGCAGGGGTCTGAACACCGCGCTCATCCTTAAGACGCTGCAATTCCTTCTTGACATCGCTGTATTCGGCGCTGTTGCGCCAAGCCTGGTGCCAGTCGACATCGGTGTGGGAGCCAGGGGCAGCACCAATAACCTCCAACATCCATTCGGCAGGGTTGGCGTCAGCAGGGCAGGGGAAACCACCGTTGCGCTCGAAGTACGAGGTCATGACCTTGGAGTTCTCGCCAATGTCGCCGAAGTAGACAGTCTTGCCGCCCTTGGCCAGGAAGAGGAGACGATCGAAGCGCTGGAAGAGCATGGCAGAAGGCTGGTGAATGGTACAAAGAATAGCCTGGCCGCTCTTGGTAAGCTTCTCCAAAAGATCGAGAATAGCCCAGGAAGTCTGCGAGTCCAGACCAGAGGTAGGCTCGTCGACAAAGAGCAGCAGAGGAGGCTTAGCGACGAGCTCGACACCAATGGTCAAACGCTTACGCTGTTCGACGTTAAGACCTTCACCAGGAACACCGACAACAGCATCAGCATATTCATCCATATCCAACAGCTTAATAACCTCCTCAACGTAGTCAAGCTTCTCTTGTCTAGGAACGTGGGCGGGTTGACGGAGGAGGGCGGAGAAGCTGAGGGCTTCGCGGACGGTAGTGGTTTGCAAGTGCAGATCCTGTTGCTGAACGTAGCCGGTCTTGCGCTGGAAAGATGTGTCACGGTGATAGCCGTCGACCAACATCTCACCAGTGATGACACCCATGGAGGTACGGTCGGCCAAACAATCCAGAAGCGTAGTCTTACCAGCACCAGACACACCCATAAGAGCAGTCAGAGTACCAGGCTTGACCCAGCCGTCGACATGGTCCAAGATGCGTCTCGTCTCCTTCTTGATTTGAACCTCGTAGCAAACATCGTTCCAGTGGAAGGTAGACTTTTGCTCCTCGATGAGACCATCGTTCTTCTCGGAGACGCGGGCACGGTCGGCGGTGGTTACGGGACCAACGCGGATGTCTTCGGGGTCGTCTGAGGGCTTCTCCTTAAAGGCGGCGGGCTTGTGTCCACGACGGAAAACAAGGACCTCGCCCTTTGACTTCTTCTCAGAGACCAACTCCGCAGTAACCATGTAGGTCATCAGGAAGAACAGCATGAAAGCGATCAAAATGCCAAAGTTGCGCCAGCGGTGGCCATACTCGTAGCGGAATCCAGAGCCGACGTAGTCATCGCCACTGACAACATCAAGTCCAGCGACCGAGCCGATGGCGCTGCAGACACGCTCGGTCGGCGAAAGGTTCGTGTAGCTGGAGCCGAGGAACTGAGGAATCGCTCGAGGGACGAAGCTAGACTCGGAGCAGGTGAAGTTGCGGCCGTGGAACTCGTTCACGATGAGCGACTCGAAAGAGTAGGCGAGAGGGTCGAGGTAGTTGAGCCAGCGGCACCAATCTAGCATGTAATCAATGGGGATGACGAAGCCGGTGAAGATGACGAGGTCCAAGATGAGAATAGCGGCGGGAACCATGGCCTGGGAGAGTGTGCGGGACGAAGAAGCGATCGTACGGAAGATCATGGACATGGTCAAGACCGTGAAGAACGAGATCAGGAGGAAGAAAAAGAAGGCTCCAGGTTCGCGCCGCAAGTTCGTCATGAAGTAGAGGACCAGATTGAAGACTAGCGTATTCGAGATCTTATAAGGCATGTCGCACAGCATGGATGCAACAGCCTCGGCCGAGGGGTGGTACAGAGCATAACGGGAGTGCTTTTCGACTATGGGACGTTGGGCGTACAGGGTGAGAATCTGCGATGGTCAGAATTGAAGGTAGAACGGAGACCAGAGGGGAACCTACCTCGAGGGCACTGGAGAAGGCATTCATGAGCAGGGCGAAGAACAGGAGGGCACCACGTTGGAAGAAGCTGTTTGTATCGGGTTGCAAGTTGTAGAAAACACTCCCAATAATGAGACCCATGACGACGTTTCCGATGAGAGAGCCGACGGTGATACTGGGGTCACCGATCAGACGTCTCCATCCACGCCACAAGCAGAGCTGGATCTGCTGAATGTAGGAGAGGGTGAAGGGAGACTTGGCGCGCTGACCCTTTGCTTGCTGGGCCTTCTTGGAGGCACGGAAAGCCTCAGCATCGGGACCGTTGAGCGGGTGAGTCTGCTTGTACTCCTCAATCTCAGCCTGGAGGGCCTTGTAGTTGGCACTGTTCTTCCAGCAAGTGGCAAACTCATCGGGCGTGCGGGGGGCGCGGTCTTCCCAGCCCTTGCGAACGTGACGCTCCTGGGGAGAGGTCATGGACGTCAAGAAGTCGGGAGTAGTGGCACGGGCAGGGCAGTCGTAGCCAAGGTCGATGAAATACTGCCTAGCCTCATTGGCCTTGCCGTAGAAGATTTGGCGTCCCTCGTACAACACGACGACCTTGTCGAACAAGTCATAGGCGCTCTGAGGGGCCTGGTAGATGGACACACAGGCAGTGCTGTCGAAGAGCTCGGTTTGCAGGCGAAGGGTCTTGCAGAATTCGATGGCGTTGGCGGAATCCAATCCACGGGTACTGTTGTCCCAGCATTGAAGGGGTGCACCGGAGAGAGCGGCCTCAGCAATGGTCACACGCTTGCGCTCACCACCGGACACACCACGAATGTACTCGTTGCCGACGCGGGTGTTGACGGTGTGAGAAATACCAAACATGGCCATAACGACATCCCTCAAGTGGTTGGCGAAGGTGTTCTTGTCAATTCCCTCGGGCAGGTGACGGGGCTGACGAGCGCGGGCGGCAAAGGTCAGAGTATCACCAACAGACAGCTGGGGGAAGTGGACGTCGACCTCAGCCGTGTAGATGGCCTCACCACGGTGGTTCGTGTGCATCTCATTGGCGGTCATTCCTGTAAGCTGTCAGCGCTGTCCGGCTTACACGGTTGTTACACGAGGTGGCTTTCCGTGTCTTGCGAGTGAGATCTCACACCGCCAGCCACATCAAACCCCTGTTCCTCCCGTTGCGATGATTCAGCCACTTACCCTGGTAGTTGAAGTAGGAGCTGTCGTCGGTGTAGAGTCCGTTTGTTTCACCGGCAATCGTCTTTAGGAACGTCGAGCAACCAGAGCCAGGCGGGCCCAAAACGACCAACATTTCACCCTTGCGCACGAGACCGTCGAAGTTGCGCAGGATGTCGATTCTCGTCTTTCCACCACCGGTGAACTTGCGCACAAGGCCAGCGGCGCTCAGCCACACGTTGCCAACATCCTTCTGGTAATCCGTCGCCTGACCGTAACCGTAGACATTAAGGTTTTGGAACGCAACACCAGACGTGCGGAAAGAAGCGCCGTGCGACTGGACGAGGTCGACCATGGCGCGAGCCCAGGCGCGGCCATGAAAGTTTTCTGAGTTGGGGTTGAGAGGTGAGTTCTCGTCGGCGAAGAAGGGGTTTCCACCAACGGTGCCTGTTGCCGAGGCATGGGAATAGCGCTTGGCGAGGGACTGCACCAGCGAGTGGCGGCGTTCCATCTCGGAATCCTCATCGTCCTCGGCGGAGATCCTGTCGCTGTCGTTGGGGGTGGAGGGCTTCTTGACGTCGGAAGCAGAGACAGCAACCTCGGTGAGAGAGGTGGCGGCGGTGTCGACGGTGTTCTGGTTTGCACCAGCAAGGTCCTCCTCTTCGTGGTGGCCACTGCGCGAGCTGATGGGGACTCCAGCAGTCTGCGCCGTGCTGTCATAGTTTGGGATGGACGCCATCCCGGCGAAAGCCATGTTGGCTAGCTGTGATCAGGACGATTTGCGCTTGTTGAAGGTGCCGGTTGAAAAGCGGGCGTACAAGAACCACCCGCTCGGCTATGATATGGTGATATTCGGGAGGTGTTCCTTCTCGATGTCGCTCTCTGGCGGCGGGTATCTTGGTGATGCTGGGTGGGTGACTAGATACTAAACGAATCGTCTAGCTAAAGACGACGCGGTAGGTTGTATTAAAGACCGTCGGTAGGAAGTATTAATCAAGACGGATGTCGAGGGACAGAGAGAAGAGAGGGAGGTCGTCGATAATGGACGGAAAGGGAAGGGGAGGTAGAAGTAAGGTCGACGAACAAGGCGCGGGAGGGTTGCGAGAATAAAAAAGAAAGATCCCAGCAGCTCGGGGCGACCAGGATCCAGCAGCAGCAGGCAATGGAAGGAGGTACCTCTTTCTTTGCACCTACGCAAAGGGGAAGGGGCACAAAAAGATGGGACGGGACTGGAGCTGCTGCTGATGGTGCCCAGGTACTGGTGGTGCTGGTGCTGGTGCTGGAGGTGGTGTGTGGACAGGGCAGGCAAATGAGAAGCCGGCGGAAACAAAAGAATAACAAGAAAAAACAAATAAAAATAAAATATTGCCGTTATTCTTTGGCAGCAGAAGCAGCCCAGATGTCAGAAAATCCACCTCGAAACGTCCCGAAATGGATGTCCGCCAGGTGCAGGGAGCACGATACTTGGGATACGTACCGGGTGCCCCACCTGCCTTGGATGGGGAAAAAAGATACGTAGCCCGCAGCACTAAGCGAGAAGCGACGAGGTACGTACCCCAAAGTACGACCGCCGCAGTCAGCAGTGGACACAGGCACACAGGGTCACAGTGAGAATGACGCGCTCAACGGGCCCCACAAAGTCTCCAGAACCCCTAGCTCGCCCCCCTCCAACCCTTCCAACAGCGCTGAGGGCACTGAAGCACCCACCGGGAAGAACCCACCACCCAGACCCCGACACAGGGCGGAGGGGTGTGAATCCCTTTTGGTACAGCTTGCGGACTTTTGGCTGGGGATCCCGATTATCGCAGCTTTGCTCTAACCTCTCTACTCTGTACCTCAGACGACTTCCATGCCACGCAGCTGCAACTTTGACCCTGGACGTACGAATAGAACGAAACTCCGCGACCTTGATGCGCTACTCCGGCGGATTCATCTTCTAAGCCACGTGGATTCGGTCGAAAAAGACGGCCCAGGACACCAGGCTTGATCAGCACCCATCCAGCTGCGAAGCCTGTTGTCATATCACTGAACACGCGACTCCGTCTCTACCTCGTCCGAGCCAGGGACTGGCCTGCGATCTCAAAGCCAGATACTGACGAACGATCGCACACGGTTCACCTGATGAGGGGGCACCTCTACAGTCTCCGAATAACCATATTCTCCACCCTCTAGGCCTTCTGACCGTTTGAATATCTCTTGTCGTGCCAGGGCCGTCAGCACGTCGGCCGTAAGACAACATGTCCGTGGTGGTATTCCCGTTGCTACGCTCCCGTGTCCGCGGTCCAACTACAATTCCTCGCGGCCTAAGCCTGATGTAGCACTCAGATGCAGGCTGTACGCTCCGTATTACGGATACCCAGCCGAAAATAAAGAAATGAGGGCCCAAGAGATCCAACAGTCGGCAGGGGCCCGGAACGAAGCCCTGCGCGGCTCAATCCTATCGGGATCTTGTCACTTCCCGAGCCCACGCAGTGTATTTTGTTGGCATTCACATCGGCGTTGGCATCTGATTCTGCCATCCAACAGAACAGCGTTGATCTACTTCACTACTATGGACAGAGTACAAGGAATGTAACACACCCCAAGGCTCTGGCTCTGGAACAGGCCGCCAGCCGGTCGGAAACTGTCAACGCTGCGAAGCACCCTGCAGCTGCGTGCGTCCCATCCCCGGCGCATGTCACCGCGGCCGCGTCGAAGCAGCAAGAATCAGGACATTGACCCCAATCTCACCTCATCATGGGATATCCATCGGGCCAAGGGCTGGCTGGCTGGCTGATTGCGGTACAGCAGCCGGCGATTAGCTGAAGGGCTGCAGTCACCCACGACGCTCGCTGTCAGAATACCAACCCTGTACATGATAAACTCTACACGGTTTCCGGCAGCATTTTCGTCACCCAGAGTCTATCCCACTCCCCCCATCACGTCTTGTTGCCCTAGGGAGGAGGGGAGGGCGCGCAAGGCACAACGTGTACTCTGCCGGGTTACTCCTGTGATCCGCCCTATCAATCCAACTGCCGACCAATGATGCCTCAGAAATCGGCCCAGACAAGCTAACAGAGAGATGAAGAAACAGCAATGGCGGATGGATGTCGCCCCGACTGACATCAAAGTTCTTTCAGTCGGACGGGAGACGTTGCCAGCAGAGCCCTGCTATCGGGGGCAATCAAGACCCCTTTTGGACCATGTCCATGGGACTCTTGGCCATGCGGCTGGACTAGATTTACGGATTTTCATACGGGCGGAGCAGATCCATCAATCCGTGATGAAAAATTGCGTCTTGCATTCATCAGCAGCGTTGCAGTTGGACGTTGCCCCTCTACCGGCGGGAGGACGATTTGTAAATCTGTTGCTGTTTTTTCGAGGTGCAAAGCCGCTCTCGTGGCACAAGACCCGCTTATTCGGGCGGCCCCACTATCACAGAGGCACCGCCTGTAAGACCCCCACTAAAGAAGCAGCAGCTCCGCCGGGTGCCCAATTGGAAATTTGACAGGGCACTACGGCGCAGCCAATGGGCAGCCACGAGGTACGCCTGCCGCAAAAAAGGGGAGGCGCTGGGAGCCAGTGGGAGGGTGCGCCGCCGGTACGTACCTGACGACAAGCGACGCTAAGGAGCCGCAAGCGAGCTGCCTGCCTGTCTCGGGTTCTTCGAGCGCCCCGACAACCCGCAACCTTCGACCCCGAAAAAAAAAAGAGAAGGGGACCCGCTTCCAGGCGGTGCCGTCACCGAAAGCCACCACCACGACCACCACCGCCCAGTCACAGTCATGGTCACACAGTCAGACAGACCTGTCCCGTCCGTTCCCTACCGCGCCGCACCACCGCGCCGGTCCCTTGGCCTTTTTGCCTACGAATACCAACCAACGGGACTGTCTCGTTGTCGCGTACGGATACTGTCGCCATTGGGCTTTGATCAATATTGTTGGGGGTCATCAGCTACCAAAATCTCACATGCTTGGCGGTACTTGTACGGATAAGCCAGCGGCCGCAGAGAGCTGTCTATCCATCATCACAAGAGGGAATTGCCCATCGGATTAATTCTGCCGCTTCCCAAGTCAATGACAAGCAGACTGGAATCATCCAAACAATTCGTGTCTTTGAAGCATTCGTACTGCCCACAGATTGTACACAGTAAACCAGCTCGGATTTGCCGCAATGACCCCAATCCTGGGCCAATGTTGCACCCGTTCCAACTTGGCGATCATCAACAGGGCCCCGATATACGACGATTTACGGCGCACAAACCCTTCCACGTTGCGCGCTGCGCTGCGCTGCACGTTGCGTATCTATCTTTCTGTCTGCACCTCCCGTCTGTCTGCTCTGGAGTCTGGCCACAGGATTCCCACCGGGTTCCCAGGGCCCTGGTCTCGCCAAAGTCTCGCCAAAGTCGCATCAACACCGGACTTGATTATCCAATCTCCCCCGGAGGCCCCCCTTAGACGTCCCCCGAGATCGTCGCTACATCTGGCAGTGGGCGCCGACTTTCCACGACTCCGATCCCGATAGCAGATCGGGCGGGTTGTTCGCAACGTCCCGAAGAGCCACGGCGCCCAACTTTCGATGACTCTGACAAACAAAGCCCAGAACTAGAGAGAAAGTAATCAACCACTGACGTTGTTTGGGTCACGCAATCAGCATGCCGAGCATGACTTACCATCAGAGCCTGTTGCCCGCGAGACAGAGACAACCCCGTCTTAGCGCAGTCTCACCACTGAACGGCATTGGACACGTTGAGCAGAAAGTGTCTTTCCCCTCACACTCCCTCCCCCTTGGTGCCTTGGTTTGTGTGTGTTCTTGTTCATGTTCTTCCCGTGGCGTCTGGACCTCTGACTCGTCCCAACACCTCACTCTACTTGGCGGTAAGCGATGTCTGGCGGACGAGTATGCACCAGCATGACACAGAGAAAAGCATGGCGTCAACCACCAACAACTAACTCCAGCGAGTCGAGACGAGACCAGACGGACGAGAAGGGAAAACATGACGGAGCATTGACTTTATCTGCAAGGCGCGGACATTCACGGAATCTCTGGCCGAACTCGTTGATCAACAGAGAGAGATAGAGACGAATCGAATCCCAAGAAGCTGCCAACACCCCGCCATCGGGGACGACAGCCGCTTCCGAATCCGCCACCCGCCAGCCCGGACGTCAACATCATTCACGATCACAGGCCATATTCTGGCGGAAGCCCGCCAGACCCAGAGTCCAGAATGATAACCTCCCATCCATTCCTCGACATCCCAGTCCATGCATTCCCCCGTATGAAACAATTTGCGGCGCAACATGTCGTCTGCCCGGGTAGATATCGGGAGGCTGATAAGATCGAATGCTAATGCTATATCCCGTGTATCATGTATCACGATCGACCGAGGCATTGCATTGCACGTCCTCGATCTTTCCCGCAGGCATCACAATCTTCATTCGTGATCCAGGAACCGCGAACACACAAGATGCGATGTGTGATGCATCTTGCGACTCGCGAACCCGGTACCCCGGATCCGTCGCCACGCAAGGCCCGCTAAACCTTGCGCTTCTCCGTGCAACAAGTACAAACACCAAACACCACCTACCTACCATCCACTGCGCCCTCGCTCGGCGGCGCCCTAGAACGTGATGGAAGCGTGTGATTGCACGACGTGACCGCTCCAATCGCATTTTCGCGCCATTCACAGTGTCACATCTCGTTGGATCTGCAAGGACACTACCACCTCACCTCGCCTCACCTCACCCTTACCTCAGACTTTGGCCGAAAGAACACCCCGAGATCCCGTCAACCCGTCTCACATCACTCTCTCCCGTCGGCAGACAACCCTGATTGATAACCCTCGAATACAAAATAGAGCTGCAGAGTTGCTTTGACAGACCGACGCTGATGATAACGCTCACCTATACTTCAGTCCTGCACCTGCAACCAACGGCAACATGCTCTCCTGAACTATTAAGATTGCACGGGCTTCTCCTAATATATGCCCCCCATACATACGGTGGGATGCCCGTCCTCGCGTCCCCGCAATACGAACCCGAACTCGAACGCGGTTTTGTGGGGACCCAAGTCTCCTCTCTAGCAAAATCAATGAAATCACACTCTCCACCATCATTTGACGCCGTAAAAGACATGGTCCCGACACACGCACCACTCGTAAATCGCCTGCCAGAGGGGCCTAGCCGAGCCCAGAACGCCCTAAGCCCAGCTACCCGGCACCGTCTCGCCAGTCCATTGGCGAACCATCGGATACTTGGCCGTCAACGCGCTGCTCGGCCCTGAAGAACCCGTCCTCTGGCCTCCCTCTCAGCGTTCCCAGTGATCAGCAGTACGAAGTATGTATCAGTAGGTAGCAACAGCAGCAGCCTCGGAGCGTTCTTCATGTGCTGTGCGTAACCCTCCGAACCCAGGCCGGGCAGACTGTCCCTGAAGTAGAAGAGAAATTCCGGGCTGCTCCAATGAACCGTCACTGTCACTGGTCTTTTGAATCCTGGTCGGACTCCGGAATCGACCCGGCCCACGACGAGAATGATCTTCCCATTCCTGCCCAAAAACAACGTCGCCAGCACAAATTTCTCCGACCTCCGTGATCACCCGGACGGCCATCGTCCACCAGAGCACCGATCCCAAAGCCTCCAGCCCGATGATGACCCGGTCCGTAGTGCCCAGGTATTCGTAAACTACTCTTTCCAGCGTTATTGCCCCATGCGGAATAGCGCCAGATTCCATCCGACGTGGGCGCAGAGAAAAGGGACCTGGCGCAATCCCGTCAGCCTTCGGCCGAAGCTGAACCGGCTTTGACAAGCCCACCTCCATACCAAGACCGGAGGACGCAGGGCACCACCACAGCGCTTACTGCAGCGCTGCAGCAGCACAGGCACAGGCACGGCCCTGTCCAGCGGCACACGCAGCGGCCCAAAGTTTCCGCAATGTTTGAAGTCGGGGTCGGCTGGCAGATGCCATTGCGAAAGCAACGCCTCAATGTCACATGTGGCGCATCCCCTCGTGCAGTTCCTCGGAGCTTCGACTTATCAGCGATACTACGCCCTGCTATCTCTCCCCGTGACTGCTGCAACCACAACATCTACATGTCCGTACCCTGGACAGAAAAAATGCACTGGGGCGCCCGTTGAAGAACAACATCGCAAACCCCACAGCGGCCCCATCCGGAGCTAACAGCTCACCCAAACGCCTTCTCGTCCGTGAAGGAAGGCGGAAATAAGACGCTTGTCCGGATGTGAAGGGAACCCCAAGGCCAGTCGTCCGAACGGGTGACTTTTCTGCTGTTTTCCTGGCTTGATGTGCTCCGCATACTTGGCGTGCTCCTTTGGGCAAGTAATCCTGTGGAGGGACCATGTTCAGACGGTTTTCCGGGAGGGAGGTGTGTGCGGTGGGATGTGTGAATCAGGTGACGGGTTATGTGTAAGTCCCCTCCCCGGATGTCCCGGCTCGCGCGATGGGGATATGGGAAAGCCCTCCTATGAGCGAGGGAAACGGTTTATGTCGTTGGAGTGACATGTTGTACCCTGAATTTGGGGGGCATGAATATGTAGCAGGTGCCTTGAAGCTAAAGACTCCTGGAGACGTTGATTGAACAAAGTAAAGTAGAGGGGTTTCCATTTGCGGCCCGCACTGGGGGGCGAGAAAAAGGGTTGGCTTCTCAGGTACGCTTTAAGAAGGTTGGTGAGTGGGTCGTGGTTTGGGTTATGCTTATTGTCAAGTATGCTGTCACCGGGAGATTCGGATCTTTGTGGATAGATGGGGAAGCTTTCTTGTATTGATATTAAGCGTAGGTGCTGGCCAGGGTATGCAGTATGATAAGCTTAAGCTTCTTCGGACAGTCTCTGGGGAATTGAAGAGGGGGCATCATGATGAGACCAGCCTGGAGTGGATATAGTTCATGATATCAAGATTATTCAGAGAATAGGTGCCCTGACACGTTCAACGGATTAAGTTGGTCAACATTAGTAGCATGCCGTCCGTCAGATCACCTTAATCTATTCAATTACCTTCACACAAGTGATAGTTACTCAAATGAGCGTGGTTGTAGTCTTACACGGTTGACGTAGTCCCTGCAATGAGCAACGATGCTCATTTATGACTACCTAGTGCCACAAGCGTCTATCAGGCCTGTTTCTTGGTGACTGAACTATAGCGTTGTGAACAGCTCTAGCAAGCAAATGCAGTCCGTCAGACCTAGGATCTCCAAGAAGGTGAAAACAAACATATTCTCACGTTTCACTTCCCCGCTCATGCTGAACTGTGGCTCAATTATGGGCTGTGAATGTGAACATGAGCTGAGCTCAATAGCATAAGGACAAGTGCATGCATCAGCAGAGCTGTATGTTTGAATGAGTATTGGTGCTCACGCAGGCCACGTCAACATCTAACCATACCAGGGCTACGCTGTCATGATGCTAGAACCCGGTTTCAAGACAAGACATTGACGGTAAGCTTGTGCTTTGGTGTTGATGATCAGAGGCTGAAAATCAGCACACGGGCAATTCATTTCGGTGACTATGTTAACTTCTCTTGTATCGACCTCGATACTTTACTGGGAACAACGGCTTATCGCGCAGTCTGAATAATGGCGAAGTCTACATAACTAGTTGGATTGGTGAATAAACTCCAAAGTCCCATTCTCAATATGCAGCCTACCCGTCCCTGCAGTCACTGTCCAACATCACAGGAACCAGGTGTAACCATCAACATGCACCGCCGACATGATGATTCACGCTTACTGAAACGAACTCATGTATAAAGATGATGCAGCTGAGTCTGGATTCTCAGCCTTATGGAATCTTCATCAAGCACATCAACGAAAACTCCAACACCAACATCTTCAACCCATCAACGCTATATACCTAAGTATCCATTTCGAAAGCCTCCCAAGTACTTAAGAAGCCGCCATGTCTAGCAACGACATCAATCCTCCTCTCTACTCCGACTCTCAGCCTCTTGGTCCCAATGGCCCGACTGGAACCGGCGCCCAGGCCTCCGGCACTCGCGGTGGTCACAGTGACAATACCGGAAACGCCTCCAACCGCGGCGGTCGCCAAGGTGGAGGTGGCTGGGGTCACCATTCCGGAAGCAAGAAATGAGAGGAGCGAGTTCGACAAACCCTCGCATCTTCGCCGCAGTCATGATGTCTATCGAGAGACACAAGATTTAACATTAGAATACATAGTTACTAAACTAGTAATAAGACCATTCGGTTTATCTAAAGTGAGATGCTCAGAGCTTTGCTACAAAATAGTTTCCATAGAATTCCCTGTCCTATAACAAGTCCTACCTACACATAATTCATGACTGAGATAGCCCAGACTTTTCAGCAACTCCCCTGACAATATCCTCAATCTCTTGTTCAGTCAACCTTTTCAGACCAACTTTCTCATTCCAGCTCATCTCCTGAAAGCTTTCACTGCCGCCATAACCTTTCCCGTACATCATCTGCAGGTAGAACAGCATCATCCCAGACTTGTCACCTTCCTGCAATCTCTCCTTCGCCTCCTGGTAAACTTGCTCCACGTCCCGCTCTTCGACATGAAACTTCTGACCTGTGACTTTCTCGGCCATCTCTGTCAACTGCTTTTCAGTGACCACCGCAGAGTGGATATAAACAGACTTGTTCTCAGCCTCGCCGTACAGTCCATTATCGTCTTTGAGAATCTTACAGACCGTCTCGGCAATGTCAGGCAATCTAGTGGTACCGACCAAGTTCGCCCCGCCATTATGCCACTTCGCCGTCTTCGTCCGGAAGTCCGGTCCCAAGCCTCCAAAGCCGAGGACCAGCTCAAAGAAAGGACCGTTGTTAATGCTCGTCCAGCTTGATTTACCAGCTGTGTTGGATATCTGCTCAACGAGGTACCGCCGAGTGCGAACCTTCTCCGTCACAACCGGAAGTGTCTCGGCCAGCGGCGAGTCGAGGTTGGTGCTGTACTCGGATGGAAAGATGCGCTTCACCCCGGCCGCGATGGCGGCGTCGATCCAGTGCTTCTGGCTTGAGAATGAGATCGGATCTGGTGCGGCTGAGATGACGGCATCTTGCCCCTGGAAAGCCGAGGTGAGAGCGTCGGTGTCATTGATGTCAATTTGAATGGACTCCATTCCTACTGGGACTATTGCGGTGGACTCGGCGCGTCGAATGGCCGTTACTATGAAGCCAGCCTTCTGAAGCGCCGATGCTATCTCTGAGCCCAAAAGCCCGGTTGCCTATCCATGCATGTCAGTCAATAAAGCTATCGATGTTAAACGTCCAAACTCACGCCGATGACGGCCACGTTTCTAATCGGCAAAGACATGGTGTTTATTTTGCTGGTTGGTGTTGACAGAATGCTCGCGATGGTTGTTGCAAGACACCCAGTTCTCAAATCCTTCATGGAGGAGGGCCTTCGTCTGATGAATCTCACATCAATGACTTCATGAGAATCACATGGGCCGTTGCTTTTGGACGTGCAGAACTTGCGCGCGGGGCAGACCGTGCATTGTGGCGAAGTTTGGGATATCATAGTTCTTCTACACAGCCTCCTTCTGATATTTAAGTCTCAATCTATGAGGTCTAGTGACTTGAAACTTTTGATGCACGACCAATCGGTCAGAAATACTTTTGACCATTCACTCCTAAGTTTTCGCTCAGCACGCCATCATGTAGAGTCCCGTTGCTGCCCTTCGCTTGAAGTAGCGCAACAAGCATCCACAACTGTTGCTCGATGAAGAGGGGACCGAAATCAGAGCCCATCGGTATCGTGTGGTTTCAGTGACACATCATGAGCGTCGTTTCAGTCGAGTTGTCTTCGCGGGATCCGGCATGGACTTCAGGTAGTTAGAGAAGTTAGCTTCGTTGTGATGACCTTATATAATGGTCTACAAAACTTACCTGAACACCAATCTCAATGTTTTTGTATCTCTCCGTCTCGCCTTCCGCGAGCAAGATGTCAAAGTTCATCAGAATTATCGCAACGATCATCTTGATTTCGACAGACGCGAAAAAGCGACCTGGGCAGACGTGTCGGCCGAACCCGAAGTTCAAACTCGTTTGTCCCACGCTCGAGAACAAGTGACCAACTTCAGTGCCATATTCTGTAGCTTTGACCTTGTTTTGCCGTAACTTAGAGAACCGTAAGGCATCAAACTGGCTGCTTGAGGGATAAAGATTGTCGTCCATGTTGACGGCAGCCGATGGTAATTCAATGAGGACACCGGATGGGATGGTTTGGCCATTCGAAAGAGTGAAAGGTTGGAGAACCTTGCGTTGAGCATTCGCTGATACTTGTGTCAGAGGTGTAGTCTTCCAGAAGTCTGGGGGGAACATCATACCGGCGCTCATGGGATAAGTACGCATCGATTCAGTGAGAAAGCTCTCCAGCTTGACCATGTTCTGCAGTGCAGCGTTGGTGAACTCATTGCCGGACCCTGCAAGTGCTTCTTGAATCTCTTCTCGGAGGACCGGGATGATGTCTTGCATCGATGCTAGTGTGTACAATCTTTTATGATGTTCAGTCAAATTAGCAACCAAGGCTTATATGGAGGACTTACGCGTTCGTCGCTGTCGCCGTCGTAGTATGAATCGCAGTAAAGCTGGCGCCTAGTTGCCAAATTGCCAACTCCGCATCGTTGCGTGAGCCGTTCTTGGATTTGTCCTGGGCATCGATCAACCATTGCAACATGTCATCTGGCTTCTCGTAGTCCGCTTTCGCCATGGCATCTCGTCGGGCTGTGACCACTGGCCCTAAAAAGTCTTCAGCTTCTTTGAAACGCTGAAACAACTTCTTGACTTCAGGTAGCCTTCGACTTGAGAATCTCCGCCGCCAAGCCGGAAGACCCATGACTCCAAGAACTGCGTTGACCATATCGACAGTGTAGTTGATAGCAGTGTCGAGGTAGGCTTCATTACGACAGAGTTCTGGTCCTACGAAGACCCGCCCGGATGCCATCGCTACGATTCTAAACAGCTTGTTGTTGATAGGGACCTCAGTCCAGTCCTTACACGGAGGGAGCTCTGTGCCAATGGCATGCGTTACTTCGGCAGCAATGGCTGGGCTAAGGCGTGCTTTCAGTTCAAGTTAGTAAACCACGAGACAAAACGCCAGAAGTTGTTGTGGAACCAACCAAGGGCCGGCGTAAGCGAGACTTTGACCGTATGTGCGAGCATAGTTGTGTCGGTCGGGATGTCAAGATACTGATTGTTGATGGCCTACACAACCCAAGTTCTGTCAGGGGCTTGGCTCGATCTCGCATGGAGCAGACCGCCTACCTCGTCGGTGGCCTCCTGGAACCCCAAGACAGTGTCGGACAGCTTCTTAAGCTCGGGGATGAACTTGGGGGGGATGACCACGGTTGGCAGTTCTGTAATTGTTTGTTTAGCTTGGTTCTAGCTGATGTCGGTCATTATAGACAAACAGAAGAGGTATAGCCTACCGCTTGCAGTCATGATCTGGAATGCGCGACCTTTGAACTGAGATATTCATCAGAAGAGAGACCTTTTCAGAGTCGCGATCATATCATTACCTTTTCATATCCTTCTCTGTAAAGTCTTCTTGCTCCTCCTGGTGCCATGAATTCCTGTCTTCGTTGCTCTTTCGTTCTGCCGGCTCCCACGCTTGGTATGTGACCCAGGCGATCCTTCTTGAAACCCCATTTTGCGGCAATGACAGGGATGAGGGTGATGAGAGCTGTAAAGACCAGAGGCCATCTTGCCACAAGCGTAGGCAACAAAGAAGTGTCCTCAACTGTCACGTTCATGTTGTGCGACCAACGTCATCTGCTCTCTCCCAACAAGAACAAGTGCAAATGCTTTGAATATGATCGTATGCAAGAGGAAGAAACCAGACGCTGTCGAGTCGTCAACTTAACGGACCGACGATGGAACTCTTTATTTCATGCATCGGCACTCGGATCTTTTGTGGAGTGTTCGCCCGCCCTTCCGCACGGGCAATACCGCCGGCCTCCCTGGCCGAAAAGCTTGACGATGGAGACCGGACACTAAGAGGCGGCAAGGGTAACGGCGGCCCTCTGCAAACTCTATCCGGAGGTGACGTTGTAATAGCAAGCGTTGCGTGTGGTGAGTGTCCCCCTCTAGTGGTTCTTTACTTGCCATCCCTGTGATTCCTGAGTCAGAAGAACCAATAGCATCGTTAATGCTGCGTACACAAGTTTTGTAACCCGCGGAGCGTCCTCCTATTCCAGTCCACAGGGAGTACAGGACGATGCAGGCGCAAGTTATGAAAATTGCGAGACCGAATCATAGCGAGAGCGAGGCCGTCCAGAGAGCTTCATCGGACGCAAAGTGCGCGACTTATATCGGACTCTCAAGCCGTGATGAGGGGAAGTTGAACTTTGAGAGTATGATTTTGTCAAGGAAAGTTATCCCTTTTGCTGTAAAAGGCAATTGAGACGAACACACACACCAGTGACGCTTCCCCACATGCCCAGGTTCTCGGGGCTGTTTGACTCGACTACCAATATCCCCTAAGTTATTGGTGGTCTTTGTTGTCTCCTTCTCCACCGTCAATATCCATTGACCATGGAACTCGATTGATCATTGTCTAATTGGCTTGGAGCATCGAGATCCAATATGATGGATCATCTTCACCGCCTCAAAGCCTCGGTCCGAGCCAGAGACCGCGCTTCTAAAGGACAACATTAGCAGCAGCGGCGTAGCCAGCCATCGTAATCTCGCATCTGGCAGACCATGTACAGGAACCTTATGCCCTGCTTCATCTGTGGGTGTGATAATATAGATCCCTCCACGACCAGATAGAAACCAACAACTGCCCCTCTTGAGTGGTGGTGCTCTGTAAGGTTAGCCACAGCTGACACAAGGTGCTGGTAGAACGGGTAGATTTCATGATAATTACTCAGATTCAATGCATGTGCCGCCTGATGCTGGCCTTCGCTATGCTATTGGGCTACATCATTGATGCCGAGAAGCCGTTCAGTGAGCACTAAAGAGCTGACGAAAGTGATCAGCGCAGAAGCCTCACGCTAGGCAAGGCTTGAGTAGAAGCACTGCTTTAGTCTAGACATAGTCATACAGGGACCTTATTCCCGTAGAATGAAGCCTCCAAAGCCGCGAAATTGACTTGCAGAAACTGCGGAGCGCAAAAGAAAGCTAGCGGGTTCAATTTTGCCCGATTTGGTGGATTTCACAACGCCACCAAAATCCTGCCGAAGACGCCACAGGCGCGGATACGTATTGATGACTTCATTTTGGTGCCGGGAATAATACTGCAAGGCTTTGAATCTTTTCAGAAAGATCATTTTGCACAGAAGTGCTTGTGATCGGCAGTTGTCTAGAAGAGAATTTCCTAATTGGGTCTATTCAACGAAGCCATTCTGACTACCTGCGGATAGCCATCACGCTTTCTCAAGAATGGTGCCCGCTCATTGAGATAGCTCAAATTTCTGGTGAGGATATAAAGGCGACGAATTTCTCTGTCGAGTGAGAACTATCCCAACACAACTTACAACCGTAAAATTCTTTCATCATCCTAAACATGTATACGCCGTCGACATATTTCCTATTCACTTCATTGGTGGCAACTCTGCCAACCGTGGTGTCACCAGCCCCGACTCCAGACCCAGAAGCACAGAAGCTGGCCGACCCGAAATACGGTCCTATCCCGGGTCAGTCAAGACTCTACAGCGACTACCGTGGCAAAGCGGCTCCATTCCCAGGCAATATTACTTCACCGATCCTCCCCACTGAGTCAGGCGACCCAGACACCGACGACCAGGTTTGGCAGAATCTCTTAGCTGCTGAGTGGGCGATCTTCAACTTCTACCAGCAAGGAGTTGAGGCTTTCAACACCTCATCCTTTGTCAAGGCCGGCTTCCTCAACACCACATATGACCGCATTGCGGAAATCCGCGACAACGAGGCAGGACATTTGAGAATCTTCCAGAACGAGATCTCGAATAAGAGCGTAAAGCCAGGCGCTTGCAAATACGAGTACCCGTTCGAGGACCCCACCAGCTACTTAGCATTGACCACCTTTCTTGAGGTCGCGAGCATGGCGTTCTTGACTGGTTTGGTCCAAGAACCCAAGAGTGAGGCTGCGCGAGGGGCTATGGTGGCCATCGCAACTGTCGAGTCGAGACATGAGACGTGGTCGTTGGCGGACGTTTGGGGCGCGAATCCATTCTCGGGACCAAGCGATACGGTCTTTCCATATGCGAACCAGATCTTGGACATGACCAACGTTTTCATTATTCCCGGAAGCTGTCCTCCCGAGAACCCCCAATATCCAAACCCCAACCAACACCTCCCGCCTCTTTCTGCTGCTTCAGGCACTAAGTCTATTGCTCCTGGTGCCGAAGTCTCCTTCAACTTCACCAGACCGACGGATCAACCCAAGTTCAACGATACCAAATCGTACTTTGCGGTATTCTTCCACGCTGTCGGTAATGTCAGTGTGCCAATCGACGTTTCCAACTGGAAGACTGGAGATTTGGTGAATGTCACTATCCCAGCGGACTTTGGGGAGAAGGGCGTTATCATCACCGTCGTGGCAGACGAACCAGGTGCACCTGAGTTGGAAACTGTTGTTGCTGGCCCAAGCATTTTGCTGCAGCAGCCTACTCCAATCGGATTGCTGTTGGCTTAAAGCAAATTTCTTTGCCAGTTCGGAGCAAGCGCCTTTCGGGCAGATGTAACCGGCGAGATGATGAATGAGATACGAGACTCGAGTCGTGTAGACCATAGATATAGATAAGCCAGCTCTCAAACAAGATCAACGAACAGTTCAACGAATAGTTCTTTAGAAGATTGAGTCATGTGTTCACATCCTGTGATCCAATCCTTGTATTGTCACTAATAGTGCATCCATTTGCACATTTATGGTATCAACGCTCAGCCTTGGCGTACTCAAAGCCTCACCATGTAGCAACATACCTGCAAGACCTCCAATATTACCCAAAGACGCCACAGTCGGACCCTAATACCCGTAGAGATTCACGTGTTCAGATGTAGACGCTCTGATTCTTCTGTTCTCTCTGACCAGTAGAACGCGAATCCACCAAGCGCAAACGATCGACAGCAAAGCGAAACCCGCCGAGGCACCGAACCCGATAGCATAACGAGGCTCGTCACTATTGGGCCAGAGGTATGCACCGTAGATGTAGCCGATCTGGAAAATTCAAGTCAATGATGAGTCAAGATAGGAGGTTACAAAAAGCTGGACATACCTGGCCGCCAACGTTAGTCATGGCGAGGACAACGGCCTTCTTCTCCTTAGTCTGCGAAAGCGTGGATGAAGCCCAACCAATGATGACTAGGAAAGGTCAGTAATCAAGACACCGGTACTGATGAGTGATTTGCTTACCTGAATTGACAGAGTACGCGCCCGCAGCCAAAATGAAAGATGCTGTGTAACGAGCTGCGGTATTCAAAGTGGAAGCAGCGACGACGAAGCCAACAATGGCGACCCCGAGGCCGACGGTAATATGCCATGTCCGCTCATGGAGGCGACCGGAGCTCCATCCGAAGAAAATTCCTGCAGCACCGGCAAAGATGAAAGGTGGGCAGGTCATGACTAGTGTGATCGTCGTGTTGAATCCAAGGGTCTTGATGACGCTGTTGAAGAATCGTTAGCTTGCGTGCGCCTCACGGCTGAGTATAAGCTGGATACTTACGTGGGGAAGAATGAATTGAAGGAGCAGGCCGAAAGGTGGAAGTTCTGCATGAGGCAGAAGAGCCAGGTGCGCTTATCACGGCAAGCTTGTTTGAGGCCTTCCATAGCAGAGGCCTTCTCATCCGAGGCATCAGAGATCTTATCCTTCTCCATGCGAGAGTGAGCCAGTTGCTTCTCGCGATCGTTGAGCCAGCGCGTTGTCAGAGGCGTGTTTGGTAGGAGCCAGAAGCCGACGAGGGCAACAAAGCCGGTGATGGCACCCTCAACGATGAAAAGCCATCGCCAACCTGCGATTCCATTAAGGCCATCCATGCCAGCGAAGATACCTGCAGCGATCAAACTTGATAGCCCGGTGGCCAAAATTTGAGCGCAATACAGTCCCGCAATGCGTGTGGCAACCTCTGCGATGTGTATTAGTTGAGCGGTCTCCGGAGAGCTTTGAAGTCTTGGTTTACGCACCTTTGCGAGTGTAGAAGATGGACAGCATGTAGGTGGCGCCGGGGTAGAACTGGAAAGAGTCTGTCAGCCTGCATGACACACTTTTCGTTTATTTAACGGCGACTTACCGGAGCCTCAGTAATACCCAGGAAGAATCTGCAAGCCACGAGGCCGCCATAGTTCTGAACGAGGGCTGTGCATCCCGACACCACAGCCCAGATCAACATCCACGCACTCATGTATATGCCGGGTTGAATTCGAGTGATCAACATGTTTGAGGGGATCTGCATCAAAACGTAACCAACGAAGAGACTGCACATCTGTCAGCTTTGCCGCTTTATAGTCACCCTCCAGAGCTGACTTCTGATTTCAAGCCTTCTGAGACGCTGTATTGGGGAGTGAAGTTTCTTACATCGAAACAGTTGTGTTGAACTGTGTACCTGTCATGTTCAGATCTTCCTCTAGGTTGTTGAGTCGTGCCTGGGCGATGGCGTTTCGATCGACGTAGTCTACGATGGTCAGTCGCGATGGAAATGCTATCGGGGTTCGTGGCGTGTTTACTCAGAAAGTACATGACGCAGAGGCATGGCTGTTGGAAACGTTGTCAGCAACTGTGTAGACGGCCAACTCCGAAGCAACTCACCATGATGCGATAATCAAGCTTGCGTACAAGCCTGATCTCTTCAGGATCCGTCTTCTTAGCGGTTCCAGTCCAGTCGCGCTCTTCATCTTGCTGGATGTGCTTCTCGTCGTCGACAACGCTGCTCACTTGATTGATGACATGCTCCTCGCGTTCAACCGACGGTGAACGCTTCTCGCTCGCCGCCATTTTGAGTTTGTGTGATCGCTAGCGCCTTGTTGATGATTGGTTGGAGGACGGGTGACGGGTGGCTCGAAATCGGAGAAATGGAGGAGGTCGGCCTAAAAAATAAGCATAAACGAGACAGAGCTACAGGGGCAAACTGTGGTTGACTGGATTTGGAGCTCGCCAACCAAAACAACACGGGCTCTGGGTATTTATGACATTTGAACTGTTCGTTTGCTACCCCACGAACAAGGTGCCAGTGTGCCCCCAAATCCGGGGTAGATAAATCAGCGGGGCCAACATCTAGCATCCGGAGGTTTGCGAAACCTGGGGAAAAGACCCTCGAGGCTTGAATGGCTCAAGCTGTCGCCTCAGTCTTGGCCAAGACGCGGGGTGCTCGGGGGCAGATTTGGGATCCGAAAGAAAGAGTGAGCGACGGTCAATGGAAAAGGATAAGGCCAAGGGCATGCTTACACAATAGGAACGCGGAAAGGACGTGAGGGAGACCGCTTGTCTTGGTATCCAGGCGCCATTGGGGAGGCTGGATTTGGTCAGCCACTGATGGGGAAATGGGGAAATGGAGCCCCGCGTGCCAAGACCCGAGGGAATGGATACTACTGGGGTTAGGTTGGGGTTAGCACCTAGGCGACTGGCACGTTGGGACCGGGGCAGAGGGATGTGTGTCAAAAGGCTTGCTTTGGTTCGTCGAGGAACGTGTCGAGTGGATGCATCTGGGGGAGGACTGGGCAGTCAGACCAGCCTGCGCGGAGGGTGGGAGGTGGAGATCTGCCAGGGTTGAGAGCGTTGATGCCATGGTGAGGGTGGATTGCAGGATCCTTCGGGCTTCGGGGGGGACTTATGATGGTGGAATGCGGGCATTATCACTGACGACATTGAGAACGATGGAGCTGTTGAGCCGGTATTCGACAGAGATTGGCCAGTCTCCTTGTCCACGGCAACACTGCGCAGCAAGCAGTGTCGGAATGTTAGATAACGTGGGCTCTTGACAGGCGGTTGATGCACAGCTTACCGCTAGTTGCTCATACCAGCCGCATGCATATGCGTGCTACCCTCCGTATCGTGATAGCAAAGTGGGTAAGCGGAGTTCATGAAAGGAAAGTCCGGCCGCAGCCAGAGTTTGGCCGGCTGCTCCCCAAAAGCAGGCCTCGTCTCTTCATTCGAGCACTCATCAGGCATTTTGCGGGACGTCTAGACAGACAAGCTGCTGTGAATATTGATTCGGTTTGAAACGAATTTGAACCGAGATGTTATGCTTTTCTATGTAGCTTATGACGGGCCTCATTTTCTGCATGCATTGAAGTATTTCCTGCAACATACTGCAGGAAAGATTTCCATCGTTCGTATCGAATTCTTTTTCGAATCCTCGGGTTTTAAAGACAAGTCATCTTCCCAGACTAGGAAGGTTGGTGGGAGATGGAGCAGGGGGTTCAACGACCTCAAGAGACAGACCAGTTGCACCTCGACTACATACTGGCTTAGCTTCAGTAAAGTCTCAATATAAGAGCAGTTTTTCTTCTTATAAGTAAACTGCAATATCTTTGGAACTTGAAGTATGAATATCAACATCGTCATCGCGATCTATGAATGCCACTCACTTAGATGGACGCTGAATGAATCATCCTGTACTACAATCCTCATTTCCATTACCAAAAAAAAAAAAAAAAAAAAAAAAAAGAAATACGGTTTGCGTTGTTGAGAAGCAGTCACACTCTGACAGATCCGATAGATGATACGTGTACTACGGGCATGTGTCAATAACGGTGAGAAACTGTGAATTTACTGTTCGGAAGTCTGACTTGAAAGAGGACCACAGAAAGACAGACATGAACCCACAGACTCAACTGGCTTCTTGGCAATTTGCCAGATTGGTCACCGACTACATTGGTGGCTACTCTCGCTAAGCCTTGGTGAGCCTCGGTATGGAAGCTCTGCTTTGGTGCCGGAAGAAGATTTAGCCCCGGGAATGCCGAGTTCCCTTTGCCGAACCCAATTGCCATGGGGTGCGGGTCCCCCACTTCGGTGTCGAGGATCAAGCTGGGGAAATGTAGGGGAAGAGCTATTCTCCCCCGCCCCGGTACTTCAGCCAAAGCTACCCCCGAAGAACCGACATCGCTCACGTTTATCCGACTTGTTTTCGTTAGTTTTCTTGTCTCTTTTCCTTTTTGTTACTCTCCATCTCTTGTACAATACCAATTCCTCCCGTAATTCACTGTATTCACTGTCAATTGGAAGCGCAGAAGCTCCGGGTGTCTCGTTTAACACAGCAACCATGTCGCTCCCCAAGGGAATCTCCTCTGTGCTCAAGAAGGCGCCTTCCGACGTCGTCATCCTGTCGTCGCTGCGAACCCCCGTCTGCCGCTCGTACAAGGGACAGCTGAAGGACGCATACCCCGAAGAGCTGCTTTCCACCGTCCTCAAGGCCACTCTCGAGGCCAACCCGAACCTCGACCCCGCCAAGATTGAAGATGTCGCCGTTGGCGTCGTGCTCTCGGAGCTCGGTGGCTCCAAGGCCGCCCGCATGGCCATGAACCACGTCGGTTACCCCAACACGACCTCCCTCTACACCGTCAACCGCGCCTGCTCCTCGTCATTGCAGTCAATCGCACTTGTCGCATCGCAGATCCGAACCGAGACGATATCCGTGGGAATTGGCGCTGGTATGGAGAGCATGACCCGCAACTACGGCAGCCGTGCGATTCCCGTCGACGTGTGGCCGGAACTGAAGGATTCTCCGGTCAAGGATGCTAGAGACTGCATCATGGCCATGGGCACTACTTCGGAGAACGTCGCTGAGCGTTATGGTGTTTCCCGCGCGGACCAAGATGAGTTCGCCCTTCGCAGCCACCAGAACGCGTCGCGCGCAGCAAGTGATGGTTCCTTCGCCAAGGAGATCGTCCCAGTGAAGACGAGGTTCCAAGAGAAGGATAAGCAGGGAAACAATGTCGGAGAGGAAAAGATTATTACCGCCACTCAGGACGATGGTATCCGCGCGAACATCAGCATCGAGGCTTTGGCCAAACTGAAGCCGGCTTTCAAGGCGGACGGTGCTAGCACGGCTGGCAACTCATCGCAAGTTTCCGACGGTGCCGCCGCGACTCTGTTGATGCGCCGAAGCACCGCAACTGAGTTGGGCCTTACTGATAGTATTATCGGCAAGTTCGTTTCGGCTACCACTGTCGGTTGCAAGCCCGACGAGATGGGCATTGGTCCAGCTATTGCTATCCCCAAGCTGTTGAACCAGCTCGGACTGGAGAACAAGGATGTCAGCCGCTGGGAGATCAACGAGGCTTTCGCCAGTCAGGCCATCTACTGCCTGAGAGCCTTGGGCTTGGAGCAGGCTTATGAGGACGGCAAGGTGAACCCCGACGGTGGAGCTATCGCTCTTGGTCACCCTCTGGGTGCCACGGGAGCCCGCATGACCAGCACCCTGTTGCACGGTCTGGGCCGATCTGGTGGCGAGGTCGGTGTTGTCAGCATGTGTGTCGGTACCGGCATGGGAATGGCTGGCTTGTTCGTGAGGGAGTAAGAAAAGAAAACAACGCGATACCAAAGAATGACTTCATGTAAAGTTATGACTATGAGAAACACATAAGGTTCAGATACCACAGCCAAGCTAGGGCTCGCAGTTACATGACATATGGTACAATGTCGCCGGTGACTTTTCTCAGGCGATTTGCGAGGCGTATTTATGCATGGCGTGGGCGCAGTCATGCATGTCTCTCCCAAGTGCCGCCATTGAGGGGTTTCCTAAGTAACAGCTTGTGTTACTATGAAAGCACCAGCCCGGTCATCATGGGGCAAGCTGTTAGGACATAAATGATAAAAGTCTCCCCTCTCTGACCACCACACGTCCGACCTCAGGCATCCGCGGCTATCTAGCATTCACAGGACCTTTTCACGAGCGAATCCGCAAGGATGGAAGTCATAGGCGTTGCGGCAAGCTTCATCGCCATTGGGCAGGCATTGATTGCTGGGCGTCATGTCGTGCATCTGTTACAGAAGATACCGAGGATAGGAAATGAATTGGCTTCTCTCAACAATGAGGTATGTTCGCGTCTAGAAAAGCATTAAGTGAATGTGATTAAATACTCCGTGTTTCTGAGTAAGCTGACTCACTGAATCATTCACACCTCAGATAGAGAGCCTTAGAGCTGCGGTCGAGGCCGCCGAGCTTCGAGGAGTGGCGTCTTTGAGAGGCACCCCTGAGACGCCTGATCTCAGGCTAGCGAGAACTCGGCTAGAAGAGACTGCGAAAGATCTTGAAAATATTCGCCAGCACTGTACGCGAACTATAGACGACGGAGGCAAGATCAAGGCGAAGAAAACCAGGTGGTTCCTGTTACAGAGTGATTTGAGAGAGTGTCGTGGCAAGATCCGCGATGCTCGAGGAAATCTTCAGCTCGCCCTGCTGACTCTGAACTTACGAGAGACTTCGTGCGTATACAGATTTTAACAGTTGGGTCTCGTGATGCTAATGATCACTGTCTAGGCAAATCGCACTCCGTGTTGAGAACTTTACTATTCACTCAGTCGGTCAGAAGCCACCCATACTTGAAGCAACTGAGAGCGCAGGAGAAAATCTTCCTCTTGGCCCGCCCGCACCGCCATCTCTCGCCCAGATACAGCCTGTCGGTATGCCAATTCAAAATATCACACAGCAATTGGGCCAACTCACCGTCTCAAAATTTTCAGATGGACCACATACGTCCCGACCATCTCTAGAGACGGAAATGATCGTTTTCAGGGGAAAGCTGTCCATAGCTTCTGGCTGCCCTTGCCTCTGTTGGTGCCGCTGCCATGTCACAAAATCAACGTTCTTTGAGCCGGCAGGCTGGGCTCGAAATCTTTTAGGGTCCTTTTCTATCACATACAATCAACGTGCAATTTTCGGCAGAGCTGTTGAATGCAGTCAGACTAACTGCAAAGGAAACCAGAAGACGTCAACTACATTTGATTTCAAGTTCCCAGCTTGGTTCTTCTCCCGGTATATATCCTTTCGGGCCTCTATGAATACTTCCACCGGATTGAGGATATCGCTGCGACCCGTCAGGGTTCTCTCCGACTCAGCACCAATATGGCACATTCTTCAAATGAGAACAAGAACAGAAGTACAGGAGTACATGCTACGTCATGGACCGTTATTTCCTGACGATTATCACCATAGTGGAGGTTACGGTCTTCTAGAGGTAATAAATGCTTCTCATTACCTTATCTCCGACGAAGGTCGCTCACTCTTGAAAACGTAACGTAGTGCGCTATATCTGCGGCAACACCTAATGTCTTGGAGTTTTTGGTGCAATTTTGGAACGAGGAGCTACGAAAGGAAACTTACAACCAGTGCGTACCCCTCAAAGGCATTTTTAGCTCTGGAAAGGTTTCTAACGTGGCTGCTACATAGTTGGAGCTTGACAGCTCAAGTGCGTAGAGAACTTGCCGACAGGCCGAAAGCCTCCTCTCAGAAGTCGGATTCATATCGACGAATCATCTTTTATGGCGAAGATATCTCCGGCGCAGCACAAACGCCCCTGCACCAAGCAGCTTGCAGTGACCCGGGCGACGCAGACGCCGGAGAAGCAATTCGAAAGGCCTTTGGTCAGTATCCATGGGCAATTGCCCAGTGGAATCATGAAGGAAGGACGCCATTAGAACTAGCCGCAATGTACGGCAACCTGAAAGCTCTACAAGAGCTTATCAACTTGGGATGTGACGTCAACCAGCCAACCTTCTCTGGTCGTACAGCACTCATGGGAGCAGCACAAATGGGCCATATTCACGTGGCTAAATGTTTGCTCAGTTCCGGTTGCTCCTCAAATGCAAGGTCTTTGAAGGGCGGCTCGGCGATGCACTTCGCCGTGTGTCCCATGAATGAGCCTGCGGATGACCCACCGGGTATGATTAGAGTACTACTTGCAGCGGGTGCCTTAGCGACGGCTGTGGATCTGGTCGGAAATACGGCACTGCATCTATTGGATGACTCGAGATTCGGCAGCGATGCAACGGGAACGAAAATTCGCTTGCTTGTGGAAGCCGGAGCTGACATCAACGCGCGGAATAATGATGGCGGATCGGCATTATTCCGTGCGATTCGCCGCAACCAACCACAGGTCGTAAGTTGCCTCCTCAACGCCGGCGCAGCGACAGAGAACTATCGACAGCTAGGCGGCAGCCTCCTTCATGATGCAGCACTATATGCTGGCTTGGAAGTCCTGAGATGTCTTGAGGGTATGAAAACGTCTCGAATGAAAGCAGATGTGTTAGACGCTGAAGGGGACAGCCCCTGGGATTGCTTCATTTACGTCCTGAATCTTCCAGAGTGGGAGCTAGGCTCGCTTCGAAAGCCTGGACAGGAAGAGAAGGAACATTTTGTCTCACTATACAGGACCATCCGAGATCGCGATTTACAGCTTGACATTGACAGGCTCGAATGGACACGCCGCTATCTCGTGGACAAGGACGCACGAGCAGCTAGCGCGCTGGAACAACTGGTTCAAGAAAACGAAACATTGGGACAATGGAGCTTGGTACGAACATTCAAAACAACTGCCTTGCAAGTAAGAGAAAAGATGTGGGACGCTGCGGTAGAAGCGGTGGAGGAGAATATAGATCTCCTACACGCGAGAATGAATCAATCGCCGTGGCTTCAAACATCGCGGTACGATTGCATGAACAAAGCGTAAGCACCACACAAGAGACAAAAGCAATACTGGGGTAGTAGAGCTGTTTTAAAATTGTAATACTGAAGACAATTGACAGGAGTGTTGATGCGGAGGGTCTTGAGAGAAGTGATTCCGATTGAGAATTCAATGCATACATGACTAGTCGGAAGAAATGTATGTGAAGTCAGGCTTCTTTGATTCCATGCCACAGGGAGCCTGACATTTAACGCTGACAAGTTTTCTCAGCATGCAATTAATATTCAAGTCTGAGCTGTGGTGCATATATGGTCCGTTCAGACCATAGAATAGCCAAGAATTGCCCGGTTGAGTGTTTCTTCATTGGGTACATATCATATCTAACTCATGAAGCCAATACTCAGTAGTCTCGATGTCGAATGGATTCTCCTCCTCACTGTCGGGTGGCTCGCACCACTGAACACCTACTTCTTCGGCAGCTCGTCTGTCTGCGTCAGACATCTCATATTCTTCAAGAGTCTGCAGCTCCTCTTCAATTCGATGAAGCCAAAATGAGTCCCAGAAGTTAGCGAATCGCGAAGTATCGCATGCTTCTTCAGTTATGTATATCCGGGCTTCTTGGGCGAACTCCTCCACCAATTGCTCATGCAGCTTCAGAAGTGAGCTGTGTTCTTCATTAATGTTCTCGATGTCCTCGATATCAGCTTGGTCTTTGCCCGAATACATCAAGGAGTAAGCGTTGCAGCATGTATGTCTGAGACCCAAACCGTCGAATGTGGCATACCTAATTGCAGCCATGTATGTCAGCCTTGTCAAATCGGGACCACATCTGCTATAGTAATGTGCCATGGATCTTGTGCACATGTGAGAGACTGGTTCCACCCAGCGATGTCTTTCTGCCATGATACACTTCATCATCCAAGTGAACGGACTGCATCCACCCGTAGAACAGTGACAATGGCAGCCGTCTGTGAGACCACGACGAATGACTGCAGCGCTCAATTTATCGAAAGCGGCTGGGATGCTAGGTCCCCCCGGATGCATCACATTCCAGGCCACAGAGTAAAAGGCGTAATGGGCGCCATATATGCCTGCCCCTGAAAGATCGCCTTCGGTCATGGTCGATGACGGTAGGAATAAGTCCGCCCCGTGTGCTTCCAACCAACACATATATTCCGGTGTGAGACCACGGTAGCCGGATATCTGATATGGTGTTGAGTTGATGAAGTATGACACTTTTGGTTTGATCCCGTAACGATAGAACAGATGTCCAATGCGAGGGTCCGTGACTTCGTAGTAAGCCCATTCGTAATCATGCTCCGAAGCATCTTGCGGTCCCTTCAGAAATCCGTACCCCCCACCTCGTCTGCTGGTGTCGCGAGCTCGTCTTCTATGCAGGTGCTGCAGAAGCTTCATTTGAAAGACGTAACGTCGTCGCGCCAGCTCAGATGCACGACCAAGAACGAAAAACAGGTCGCACGTGCCGTCAGCACTTTGCCGTTTATGCCAACGGCGGTTGCAACCTGCTCCGAGAAGAATTTCCACAGATTGAGTGCAGGCACAACGTCGACATCTTTGATAAGTAGAGCCATTCACACAAACAGAAGAGCTACGAATCATCGCTGTGTCGAGTGCTGTGGCACCGGTTATGTCGGTCTTCCCCAATAACTCATGGTCTGCGGCCTCAACCAAAACGGCAAGGATTCGGGGTCGGGTTGCAGCCAAGTGCAAAGGAGTTTGGCCGTAGATGTCGGCCCCGCTCATTGAACTAGGGAAGCTTTCCAAGATACGAACCGCCTCGGAAACATCATCACGAATCACTGCCATGCTGAGTGGCCCGCACTCGCAAGCTACGAAACCTTCAGTGAGCAAGGCACCAGCACGGGAAGATGCAGGATTGCCATACCTTCGGCATAACCGTGTGATGTCTCATAGAATGGCTTGCTATTGAGACAAATAGCGTTTTCTTGGCCTGCGCGTTGGAAGCCCGCCACGACGGCGGATTGCTCATCACTGTTTGCGCACAACAGAATGTTGACAACTTCGTGATCTTGCTGAAGCGAATTCAAGTGCAGACGTCTCAATGGAGATATTCCTACAATCAACTAAGCAACATGACGTAAGGCAGGACCAAAAACTGGTTTCGCGATGCTCTCACCTGAAATGTCGTATGAGAACGCTGGTACGCCGCAAAGCAAGAGCAATCGAACGAGCTCAACGAGCCACGTCGTACGGGACGGCTCAACGCCAGAAATGGACAGCCATTTACTCATCTAGAGAATAACGGTCAATCGTACTTCCACAGACGAGAAGGAAGGGAAAGATACCATCATAGCCGCATGGTGCATAAAGCTTCTATTTCTCCCATCAACAGCAGAGGGACACATTCTGTTATTCTCAATGAGCGTGATCAGCCTTTTCAAACAAGCTTTCATGAACAAATCGGCATCTTGGGCTTTGCAAAAGTAAGATGACTGTCCCATCAAGCTTATGACGAGAGCGCCCGGATCTGACTCGAAATCAACTGTCGGATAGCAAGCCAGGTTAGGTCCAATACTATATCCCCCAGTACCAAAGGTCGAAATCAACGAAAGGTCGATGACAGACTTCAAAATTCCAGTAAATCCAGTGAACCTCAATCCTATGGTAAATCGCCTCTTTTCAAGTGAGTTAGATAGGGGACAATTTGCCCAGTGGCCTTGCGTCTCCAACTCAGTGGCAAGTCTCACGTGCCCTAGATGAACCTCCTTTCTAGTAGTAGTTCGTCGGAGCCTATGACAAGAGCACAATCCACCAGTGAGAGGGTTGTAGCCTAGGGGCTCAGATGTTACTCTATGACCATTCCATGAACCGGAGCTGGCTTCTGCATGCGACACACGTTGTCGTTTCAATTGTATCGGCAGTTTAGCGTCGCGAAATGCCTGCAATGCGGCCTGCTTGCCAGCTATGCGATGATACAGAAAGGGCGTGGCTTTCATTTGTCCTCCATGAGATTGAAGTCCTTCCAGAAGCTTCTCGAGGGACCGGAGCTTTTCCTGCTGCTGGAACAGTTGAGATTGTACCACTTCTTTTGATCGTCGGATGTCTGTCTGGACGGCATGGCTCAACTCGTGAAACGACGACACCATAGATCCTGAGTGCGATGCAACTGAATCTACTGCGAGATTTACATGAGTTTGCAAAGCAGAAAGCTGGTTTTCCATTCTCAAGACTGGCTGTCGTGTTGCTGCCGCCTGTGACCTAAGTATTTGAATCTCTGCCGCTTGAAGTCGGGCAGATTGCTCAATTGCAGACAGCCTTTCTTTGTTACAATTTGATATCCCGCTACGTTTATAGGACATTATCACGGTGATGAGTTGTGACAAACACGGAGCCTGACTTACAGGTTGAATCCAGTCAGAGTCAGTTCCAGCAAATCGTTAGCCTGCTGCAAGCTCTGGGCAAGCTGTTGGAGTTTCGGACGACGGAATGGATACATTAACCTCTTCTTCCCGGTCTCCAGTCTAAGTTTTGACGTGCTGGTAGTGGAATCTATAAGCTCGAGGCGGAGACTCTCCACGAAACTTAGCTTCTCTTTGCAGGCTTCTATGTTCTGTATTGCTGCCTCGACGTACTCCTGATGTTGATTGCGAAGACTTGGTAATGATGCTTCTATGGCCCGCAAGGTGATTCTGAGAGAGTCGTTCCTGAGTTTTGCCCAGGCCAAGTCTTCCTGGCGGCAGTCAAAAGCATCAACATACTTGACTATGCCCTCGGTGACTTGTAAGCCAAGCGACAGCAAGCCGGCAACCGAAGCGGCCAAACCCACACTTTCGGCCGCCATCGTCGCTTCATTCAGAATAAGAGAACCTTAGGGTTACTGTAGCCGACGTTTTAACGAGAAAAAATGACATTATGGCTGAAACAAGCGAGGTTTTTCCAAGATTGTAGGAATATAGCAGCACCAGCTTCATGATAGCTTTAAGAAGCGGGGTAAAGTCAGGCTGACTGGGCATCATACGGGTGCAGATGACAGCCTGCCGCGAAGCTGTGCTTGTTTGTCACATTGAAGAAATTTCAGTGACCTCCCATGCAGGCGAATGTGATTGGATTATAGCTGTCCACTGACAGAACTGTTTGTCCTTGGCCCACAGTTTGTGGCACGTCGACCGCCTCATTTTGTGCCCTCTGCAGGCTGAGCCTCTGGCGACGGAGGGCGACTATTAGTTGTGATTGGTAGAGTTGCTGTTGCGAAGCTGAATTTTCACTGCATGAAATGCTTCGTCCGCAGATGATCAGAATGCAGTGAAATTCGAGCTAGGCACCGATCTTGGACTCTAATATGGACGTAGCGAAGCTTCGTGCAGTAGTTTCATAGATGCGACTCTTGGATAATAAACATTAGATCAAATGAGAACATTGAAATGGGATAAAAATGACCGTTCCTCCATTCATGTACAGTTCCTAGGTACGAAATGGTATAGTTGCAGTAGCAAGTTTGATCAAAAAGCGTGAAAGAACGGTTGTTTTGATTAAGTATAGACATTATGGGTGTATCTACGGTTGCCACCCAAGCAATATTTTATGTACTCAAAATCATTCCCTTGCGCCTCTAATTGCTCATGCTGTAGACATAACGAAAGCTGAGAGGACTATCCTCTAGTACTTCCAGCCGAAGATACCCTTAAGCCAGCCAAGAACGTTGTTGATAAGACTGCTGATGTTGCCACCGTTGCGGAGCTCATCGGCAATCTTGGCCACGCGGTCCTTGGTGGCCAGCCACTTGTCCATAGCAGCCTGATCAGGGGCAACGAAGCTGCCGGTCTTGGCAGGCAGGGCCTTGGAGCAATCAGTGAGGTCGTTGATGTTGTTAACACCGAGGAGAGACAGGCGAATGTACTCGCGGGCGTAGTCCTTTAGAGTATGTTAGTGACTGGGCGGCATCTGTGATCGGGGAAAGAGTTGCTTACCTGGTTCCAGTGAGCCTGGCCGCCAGAGCCAGCAAAGGCCTGGAACTCGGCGCTGATGCGGGAGTCCTTGGAGAGAACGACATCGGAAGCGAACTTGAAGACACGGGCCGGGGCAGAGCCGAGGGTCTCGGCGTAGAACTTGACGTCCCAGACACCGGGAGTGCTGTCCTGTGGGTCACCGGCGCGGCTGGGGTCAACGAAGCGCTGCTGGCTTGTGGTGTGAGCGCCGATGAGAGCGGTGAGGCCGTGGGGCTTGATGGTCTTGTTCTCGAACAGCTCAATCAGGAAGTCGGCGGAGCCGGTGACGGGAGGGAGAAGATCGTTAGGGCATGGCTTAGAAGAGTCCTTGCGGCCGACATATGTGCGGATGCGGGGGCCGAGAGGGCAAACGACGGTCGCAACGCTGGCAGAGAACTGGATAAGATCGGCCATACCGATGCCGAACTGCTTGTACTGGTTGTACCAGACCTGAGTCTGGGCAACGATCTCCTGAAGACCGTTGTTCTCGCCACGGCTCATCTCCTCGGCAGCCAGGATGATAGAACCATCGGCGCCGCCAAAGTCACCGGTGAACTTGGACCAGCCGCCCGCATCGTGGAAGCCGAGACGGACAGCAGCACGGGCAAAGTCGGTACAACGGCCGGACTTGCCCTTGAAGACACCCTGGAGGTCGTTGGCGATGTACTTCCAGATACAGCAGGTATCGGCGGCACAGGCTGGCGTGCCCTTGGCGGCGAGGTTGTTGGCCTTGCCAGAGGTGACATAGACATCAGTGCTCTCGGGGTTGATGTCGTTGCCAAGAAGAATAGACTTGACGGTCTTGCCCACGGGGGTGAGCTTGGAGTCGTCGAGGGTGGCGAGGTCACCGATCAGCTCGGCGGAGTCAAAGTCGTCGTTGTCGGCGCCGCCGCCGTCCGCATCAACACGGGCGCGGATTTCGGAGAAGGTGTTCTTCATGCCTGGGTAGGCAGAGACGGAGGTGGCCGCGAGGGCTGCGGTAAAGAGAGTCACACGCATATTGACTGTGGTTAACGAAGGTAGGTATTAGAAAAGTGATTGTACTGATATTGCCGTGGAAGCCGTTGCGTGTAAGAAAGAAAGGACGACTATTCAAAGTCGGAATGAATGTGAGAGAGAGGCGGGAGAGCGGATGAGGCGTGAGATGGTGTTCCAAAAGCTGCGACAGACGGGGCATCGCGGCTTCATTATATCCTCATCAATAGCTCAGCAGCCCGACGACCGTGCTCACCTTTGGACAAGTCTATTCTTGGCGAGAAGAACCCATCGTGAAGCTTGGGTGTGGAGATGAGCAGCCCGCCGTCACGCTGGCTAGCCCCGGGGCGTCTCGGGGCCGTCAACGTTGTTAGTGAAGGCTTGCTTTTTTTTCTCTTCGTCGTCTGCTTCCTCTCGTATTGGGCCGAGCAGGCCCGGTCCGAGCACAGTAACACTGCTGCTTCGTCTCCACGAAGCTATGCTGAAGAAGACGGGAATCATCCTGGCCGTGATTGGACAGGTTAAGGCGGTTCCTGACGGTGGCTGACCAGGATGAGAAGAGGCGTCGACGGCGAGCAAACAAAGAGGTCTGTGTGGCGGCTACGACTCAACACACCGAGTTCTATTGTTCCTTCTGGCCGTTTGTTGTGGTTTTGCTGAAGACCTTGTTGCATATTGCCTTGTCCATAATAACAGCAACTCAAAGCAGGGAATGTAGAAACATCGTACAACGCTGCTGGGTGGTGGCCGAGCATCTGATTCCTCGTGTCCTACCGATGCACCCATCATCCCATCATCCTGCAAGATGACCCTGGAACAGACTGCGGGACGAGCTGCAAAACACTACTTAGCTCCCGATTGATATTGGATCTATGCCGAATGCGATATCCAGAAGGAGAAGCCTTGCCCGTTCCGGCATGCATATCTCGACTCAAGAGCCAGGGGGGCACCTTTGTTCAGGGGCAATACAAAGGTCCATCGCAATCCCGCAGAGGGAGCCATTGTTTTAGCGTTGCAGGCGGGATTCAGCCGCTAATCCGATGTTGCAGTTAGCACCCTAACGGTGCGGCTTGGCCTGCGAGTTGCCCTGAAACATTAGCTCAGATGTGCTAAGAAAAGGGAACACAAACGTCACTGGCCCGAACATGCTTCCCCAGGGTCAAGGGCCGTTTTTTGTCGTCCGATGCTTGTCTTTAGTTTTCTGGTCTTGCTGGTGTCTTGTGTCTTGGAATGTGAACGAACTTTCTCAACGCTCGGATGAGAAGCCGATGGATTGGGTCGCCCAATAACACGATGTTTATTTTCAAGCTACAGTAGTAAGAGGATCCATCTTGCAGGAGAGTCTTCCTCTTGTGCGATTCAGTGCTGCTTACTGCGTAATCCTCTCAGGTGAATGTCCGCTGCGTATGTTGTTGCCATGGAAGACTTGACTCATTCGACCCGACTGAGACACGCGATTCTTCTTTCCCTGCTCTCAACAGCCAACCCGTTCTCCAACTCAACTCCCGCCAACACAACGTGTCAAATTCCTTTGACCAAGACCGACGGCTTGATTTCTCAATGTCTCTCATCAGCCTTGTGGCAGTTTATTTTCCACAACTGTCATGCCAAGACTTCTGACAATCGACGACCCTCATCGGCGCCTTAACTTGTCAACACCAAGGTTCGCCTCCAGCTGAAGGGAGCGTTGCTGACATTCCGCCGGCTCAGACTGGTCGGACACCCCAGGGCTGAGAAATTAAGCTTCAATGCACAGTTTTCTAGCCCCGAGTCTTCTTTTAAGATTCCGCACAACGGACCTCGGTCGAGGGGGGCCAAGTCTCTGACCATCAAAGACAATACGGCCACGGCACTAGCCTGCCTTTGTCTGTTTGGCGTGTCTTTGACCTCTCGTCCTTTGCTCGTGCTTGGCGCCTAGCTCCCTCTGGTCGGCCCGCGGAGGATCGTCAGGGGGGTTAATCTCACCCGGTTCTTCCTCGATGCCATTCTTGGCAACGGATGTCATCCTGGTGAATATCATGCTATCCGCATCTTTCCACACGAGCTTCACCCGGCTGGGAAAGGGTTGGTTTGACCAAAGTTTCCCGTGTCCTCTTGGTCCAGTTGCCAGTATCCTCCTATCTCCCGGAAGGTTTGCTCGAATCCGGGGAGGATCGCGTTCAGGTCTCGCGCCTGGACGTCGAACATGTCGGTACATTGGGCGGCCTCGAACTTGTTGGAATGGTCAGGCATGTAAGCCGCTCCGTCGAACTTTATGGCGACGTTAATGTTCACCTCTGGACTCTCTTCGCTCGGCGACCTCTTGTAGTGCCGAAGATAGCCTCCCTTAACATCGCGATTCCACCTCATCACCTCCAGAGACACTGTTTTCACTAGTCCGCCGTGCAGAAACGCCACTCTCCCGTCATCCGGATGATGCTGCGCGAACGAATGACCGCAGTAAAACCCATCGTTTTCCGTGCCAACGCTTGTAACCCACTTCTTGGGCTTCCCAAAGTTTGTTTTCAGGGCATGCCACGCGAAGCGGAACATATCCTTGTCGCCCAGCAGGATCTCATTGTAGTACTTCCCCTGCTCGTTGTTCAGCCATGACGCTAGTTGGAGATGATACCAGAATCGCGTCTTGTCGACCAATAGCTGCCCGCTTTCTTGCTCATATTCGGCCATCCGGCAAGGTGTATTGAAGATAGCCCAAACAGGATTCTGTGGTCGTGTACGTGCGATGTCTGGCCAGAATACGGAGTGGTACTCTTGATATTGAATCGAATCGTACAGGGTCGCTGGGTCCAGTATGGGAATGTTGTCGGAGTCTAGCAGGATTGGCTCAGCCCATCGAGAATTCAGCAAAGCTGCCGTCTTCAGCTGGTAGTTGATTCCAAAATATCCGTCCTTCTTGATGTGGATAATGTTATGCGGCTTCGACAAGTCGTTGTAGTAGATCGGGGTGTACAACGCATTGAGATCCGCCATTGCACCAATATCCATTTCAGTGTCCCAGTAATGGATCTCGATAGGAATGCTGGATCCCAGTCTGTTCAGCTGTCGAAGGATCACCTTGACGCGCATGATCGTGTCCGCATTGCCAGCAACAATGACCAAACCTCTTCCCAGAAACCGATCCTTTACGGTCGTGTATGGTATCATGCCCTTCTGAACAAAGTCGTGCCACTCGCGTCGGCGCAGCTCTATCTCCAACACTGGCCGGTCCTCGAGAACCCACTCCAGCGTATCGGAGAATTGAAAGTCGACAAACACGTCCGCTGGCCACGTGCATGTTGCGCGGGCTTCTCGCTGAGAGATTCCCTTCTCTTGAATGACTGCTGCAAAATGTGGAAGAAACTCATCCGCCGTCGCTAACTTGTGCGCATCGGGAACAAGTTGTACTGGCTGTGTTGGGGGCTGTCCATTGAGGGCGTCGTTGATCATCGGGATTTCAACATGGTCGGGAGGTACATCGATCTTGGGAGGTAAGTCCGTCGAGGGACTTTCGGGCGGCGGGAAATCCATCCATTGTGCTGGCTCTGATTCTGGCTTCGCGTTTTTCCCGCTCCTGAAAAGCAGAATGAGCACACAAGTGATGAAAAGTGCGAAAATGATGCGCGTACGCTTGATTCCTGCCATTTTTGCGACGGCTGGTGCCCCGGGCAAAAACACGAGAGAATCAAGTCGGGAATCGGCTCGCAGCAGAACCTGGGCATCGCCCTCATTTGATTCTTTGGTTCCAACAAGAAACCAAGGCCCTTAGGTGTGACTGATCATCTCATCCAGCTCAATCCAGGTTGCTCGCCTCGGTCCCAGCCATCCCATATGCGCTGATCTCCATGTGAAGCGTACAGGGGTGTTCCCCCGCGTGCGCAATCCCCTGGTGCGTGATTGCGTCGTGCGGGGTTCGTCGTATCCTTGATCGCGCCGTCAGAAGCTTGGTTCTCAGCAGATTATCATCACAGCACGCTCATTGGCCGGGTCCTGGGCGTCATCTCCGTCATCCCGCCCCCGCATGTCGCGGGAATGCAGGTGAAGCGGTGTATGATTCGGCCAAGGATGGTCGCTAGCGGCCGAGGCGGTATCACTGCATCAGTCGTCGGAAGATCCTGAAGACTTCACACGTGCTCATTGAAGTAATCAAAGTCAAATGTCCAGTAGAATAAGTATCTGTAAGGAATAAGAACTTCGCCCATCTACAGCTTCGCTCGGCCCTGCCCAAGGTTGTCCCAGTCGTCCTGCGTAAATGGAACGTAGGTGTTCCCCTTGCCGTGCTTCTCAATCCATAAAAGCTGATCTCCACCCTCGATTTTGCTCGGGTCAACGCCTTGGTTCTTCAATGGCACCTTGTTCTGCTTGTTGTTGTGGCTGGCTTGGCTTGCATTCAATAGCCTAACGAAAATTGGCACGGCATATCGTGGCAACCGGGATCGCGAGTACCTACAAGTCTTAGAGTCAAAGATGCAAGGGTCTTGGGATGAGATACGTACCTCAGGAAGTCAGCGAAGTCGAAGGACGCCTTCTTGTCTGGAGCGATATCGAGAGCTGCCGCGCCAGCTTTTCCATCGTGGCCAGGGAGGGAAACGCCGTAAACAACTGCTTCATTCACACCAGGGTATTCTCCGAGCACTTCCGACACTTCAGCTGTAGACACGTTCTCACCCTTCCACCGGTAGGTGTCCCCGAGTCTTTTCAAGTCATGTCAGGTTATGTCCATCGGCTGCATCAGGAAAGGAACTCACCGATCCAAAAAGAACCATCTGCCATCAGCATCCCGTCTCAGAGAATCACCAGTGCGGTAGAAGATGTCTCCCTTCTTCAAGACATCCCTCACATACTTCTTGTCCGTTGCATCGGGATTGTTGAAATAACCTGGAAACGCCCTCTCACCTGGGTGTTCTACCAATATTTCTCCGCCAGTCTCATAAGACATCCGGATCGCCAGCCCTGTCTTAGGATCTCTTTGGACTTCGCCAGTCTCCGTATCAATGGCGACAGGAACATACATGTTTCTGTATTTGAGTCGAAGTAGCAAGCCGTGATGGCCAACAGCGTTGGCAAAGAAATCTCCTCGTGAAAGGTTGCGCAGCCCCAAGGCACCCTCAGTACTGTTGTAGAACTCGCAAACGGTGTCAACACCGAATCGTTCTTGGAATCGCCTCCAGACATCTGGACGGCAACCGTTCCCGAAGACGGCATGAATATTGTGTTCTTTATCCCGCGGCGAGGGCGGCGCGGCGAGGAGGTATCGCAGCGTCTCGCCGACGTAGACGAACCAGGTCGCGTTAGAGTCCCGAATGTCGTCCCAGAATGTCGAGACACTGAACTTTGGAGCCATGCAAACTGTGGATCCCGACTAAATCGTGGTGAGAAAGAGGTCTTCGAAGGATGGGAAAGACACTCACAAGTATCTGTGACATCATCGTGATGCCGCCGGTCCCATGATAGTATGGCTGTAGGCGATGGTCAGAAGTATTCCGAAACAAGAAGCGTGAACAGAAACATACCATGCAGATATAGCATCGTTCACTATTACCAGCAGTCGGATGGAATCCCAAATCATTCTGATCTAATTAGCTTCTGGACAGCAAACGAAGCCGGTCTCGTCAGTACTTGCCTGTAGTGACAAGCTTGCCGCGGCGGCCGCAGGGAACAGCACAGCCTTAGGCAGACCGGTAGTTCCGCTACATCTGTCAGTCAATATCACTGAGGATCCTCGCAGTATTTACCTGGTATAGAAAAGAGCCATCGCGTCACCTGGCATCATTCCCTTCCTGAGGTTGTCATGCGGCCGTACCGGATCCATCTGATAGACCCTCGGCTTCTCTTCGGCCAAGTTGATAAGCTTGATCCCCTTCATGTCGAGCTCGGTGTTTACGTCCTGGTACTTCGCCGCGACCTCCGCTGATCCGTCCACAAGGACAAGTTTCGCCGTGCTGATCTCAATACAGCCGAGAAGAGCCTTGCCGGTGAGGTTGTAGTTGATCATGGCCGGTGCGGCACCGATAGCGAGTAGTCCGACCCAGGCGAAAGCGAAGTCGGGGGAGTTCTGCATGAAGAAAGCGACGAATTGTCCGGGCTTGACGCCATAAGAGAGGAATAGTTGAGCATATTGGTTGACACGATCGTAGGTGGTCTTCCACGAGACGCTTCCATTTCTCGTCCAGATGGCCTCATCGTAGGGGTGCTTTTGGACTGCTTGTTCGAAGATGTAGTAGGGAGAAACGCGGTCGGTCTTGACTGATATATCCGTAAGGCTACTGCTCGTCTGTGAGATAGACTTGTAACTTACCAGCGTTTTCAATTGCGCTGACGACTGTTCGGCGGCCTCGGAGTGAATTAATATCCTTCGAGAGATGGTATTTCGCGTCAAGATACAAAGAAGAGGCCACGCCTCCAGCTACCGCGGCTGCCGCTGCTGTTCCGGTGTTAACATATTGATTCAATGTTCGTGGTAAAACCCGAGGTCGTGATTGACTGAACGCGACGGAAGGTTTTCACCACCAAGTTGGAGGCTGGTGATGGCGGGGAATCTCACCGAGCGCCATATCTTCAGATGGAGTCCGAAAGCTCTATCTATCAAGATCGTCTGTCTATTTGGAAACTCGGAATCGCACACCGGTGAACGCCAAACGCGCGCTGTATGGTGTTTGGGGCTTTACAAAGTTGAGGGCTAGAAGATTGAGGGGATCTCTCGGAACGAGGTAGGCATTCGTGACGTCGAGCCGAACGGTAAAAAGTGTCCTCGACTGCTGCCCAGGGCCGACTCTTGGAGCTGGATCCCTGTGAAACGTGGGGGACGGAGAGATCAAAAACCCCGCCAGCTTGCCGTGGAGCTCGCAAGAGTCGCGAGTATCATTGGGCAGTCAGAGGAAAACACCGGGTTCGCCGTGTTTGGGATCCCCAGTGTTAGCGATTATTTGCCGTGCTCCATGTCCCCAAGCTCCCAAGCTCCAACACCGGAAAAGACGACCGGCAAATGGTCTCCTCGCGAAGGCGAAGCGAGAATGTAACACAACGACGGTTTGTGTCCACCGACTCACCCACCTTGGCCCACACCAACCCCCGGCCTCGACTAGCGGGAAGCAGCCAATGTTGGAGTAAAGCGCGGGGGTGCAGCGCCGAGGCATGATTGGCCTGGGGCCAAGTAACTTTCTTCTCTGCGAACTTGCTCCGTTCGTTGCCGAGGGCAGAAGAGGTCCGGCACCCTGCCTTTGCGCGCATTCGCGAGACGGGAAGTGGCGGAAGATCAGTTAGTCTCGTGTTTTGGGTGCTTTGATTGGGGGGAGGCTGGTCTCGTCCGACGTCTGAGCTTTCAGGGATTCAGCTTCTGGAACGTCGCGAGAACGAAGCAGTCGGACGTGGGAGGGCCGAATGTCCGGACACAGCTCTTGGATTACTATTTCGACCATTCCGTAGGCACTATTTTGATTCCGAAGATTCTCGGCGTCAGCCTCCGCTACCCGGTGTCGGCGTCCCGGATTCGGCCCCACTTTGCCGTCAGCACCTTAATTCAGCACCTCCAAGGCGGGACGGTTTGAACCGGTCGGTATGTCGTGCAAACAGTGTTTACGAGAGCGTGGCATATTAGCTTATCATTAATCGTACTAATTGAGACGTTTCATTCGTGATATTACATTAGATGACTGAAATCCCGATCCCAGCGGGTAAGAAAAGCCTGGCGCCTGAATACATTCGCGTTGATCGCAGGCCAGGAGACGATGAATTGTTCAAACCCAGCCATATTGATTCCCGCAAATACCTTCAATCCCAACTAGATCAATACCGTGGACCACTTCGCTCTCAAAGAGATCGTATCTCTGAGTTAGTGTTCTGATACTAGGAAAATCTACTTGTAATGAAAGCGAGAGTTTCGACAGTTTTGAGATAACTTTGGCTTGTTAGCGGAGGAATGGAAATCGCGGGCGGCTCAAAGTTCTTACCTTGCGTATATACGATAACGATGGCAAAAGCTGCGCTCGCAATGAGAAAAGTGGCCAAAGAGTCTACTAGCGTTGGGTCGCTATCGATTTCGCCCGTCGCTGTCCGGCCTAGTGTTTCTTCGGGCTGGCTGGTAGGGGTTGTTTGTTTATGTGGAAGCTTCTCTCGTTGCCTCTCTGACAGTTCTCCGGTATCTAGGGGTTGTCTTCTGTTTTCGTGGGTAGAGCCATGCAGGGCATGGCCAATTGGTTCGGACATTGTCAGATCTGGGATGCCGATGGGTGATTTGCTGTAAATGCGGTCCGCCTTGTCAGCTAACGTTGCGGCGAAATCCCGAAATCGCTTTAAAATTGAGTCTCTGGAGTCCCGCGCGTGGTGAGAGTCGAAGGTAACTCCCCACATCGATGACACAGCATCTCGGTAAGCCTCCAAATCATCAGTCTTATCACCGCCCATGAAAAGGATCTGCCACCTGGGTACATCGGCGTCAAAGTCATGCTTGTAGTCGGCAAGATGTAACTCATGAAGCGTGTCAACCATTGCCCGTGAAAGGCAGAGGAATGGAATTGTGTCATGGACTCCAGCTGGATGTTTCCCTTTGGATAGGTTTTGCATAAAGTTGATTGCAGTAGCCCAGGTGTCTTTCTGACAAGGATATAGCCATGATAGTTGTAGGAACTTGGTGCATGATGCTGAGGAAGCGCTGAGCATGGTCGAATGCTGAAGAAGGAAATGTTTTCGTAGGCATTCCATACTGGTAGTTACCAAGCCTGTTTCAGGCAAAGTGTTGCCGAGGTGAGGTTGCTTTTGTGTCTGGGACACGATTTTGAACAGTCGCCCGATTTGGTGTCGTTTGCCGCAAGATCTGAGATGCTGAAGAGCTACTAGGACTTGTCCGCCTGAGTGTTTTAGTAATAATCGGGCCACGGCATAATGTCCATTACTAATAGCGGCGCTCAGTGGCGTTCCTCGGTGATCCAGACTTCTCACGTCAACCCTGGTCAGTAGTAGAATGTTGACCACTTTGTAGTTGCCCAGTGCCGCGCTTTCGATTAAAGCCGAGGTGAGTTCAGATGCTGGTGTTTGTAGCAGAAGGTCGACATCTGCCCCATAATCTAGTAGAACTTCCATCGTGGCTGAACTTCCAGATTTTGCTGCGAGTACCAATGCCTCATCCATGTCCTTCTGACGACAGACCAGTGAAGAGTTGCCGAGGTCCATACGTTTGTTCCTTGTCGGGCTGTGGTATTGATTTAGAAGGAGTCGAACCACCTCGTGGGCACCATTTGCTGCAGACACCCCCAAAAGTGAATGTGGATGTTGCCCGCTATCATTGTTGACAGTTGCGCCATGTTGCAGAAGAAGGCTTACGACTTCGACATGTCCTCGAGCTGCTGCTGCATATATTGGCGGGACCCCTCGGCGATCAGTCTGATTGATATCGTCACCACGTTCGAGCAGGGCGCGCACAACTTGGAGATTGCCAGCCTGGGCCGCAACAGACATCAGAGAGCCTTGGCTGCTGCCATCCCAAACTTTTACATGCCATGTCAGTAACTTCGCAGTAATAATAGCCGTGCTATCTTTGCAAGACATACCATCGTGATCCTTGAGAAATTCAAGCAGTGCTTGCACAAAATCGGAGTCCTCGGTCCTGGCAGCGTTCATCGCTCGGTCGGTGAGACTGGGTATAACACAACACAGTTTCTTTGCCATTGTAGGGCTGACATTGGTATCTCTGACAGTGAATGGCCTGTGCTCTGTGTTTTTAGCCTTCGATAATTCGAATTCTTCGCGGGTCCTCAGTTCACGAGAGTTGAGTTCGCAAATTTCGCCGTCGAAGAAGCTTTCCAAGGGAGACACTTCTGTCCCCGACCCATCATAAGAGGTGTTGTACTCCGTGTCCAGATCCATCTGGTGTTGTTCATATACTGGTGATCCATCTGTGTTTGACAAAACCGATGAAGAAGCTTCGGAGTACAACTCGTACCTTTGGGTTAGGCTGCCATCCAACTCTTGCATTGGACTGGTCGTAACGTGGCTGCTCAACTGGTGATGCACGATTGAAGTGTCAGCCATTTCGGCAATCTCAACCTGGAGATTACCGTTCATCCAAATCGTTTCGCTTTCGTTAGAGGAGGTTGGAGAGACCTCGTACTGAAGCCATTCGTTCCGAAACACTTCATCGAGCTTATTGATCTTGTCTTCCAGCCTGTTCTGTCCCCGGCGGTTCTTCCACTGCGCTCGCAACTTTCTCCATGGATTGAAGCTTTTTAGCAGACTTGATCCCAGAGAGACAGCGGACCGTGGTGTTGATACATCCGACGGTGTATCCGGTGAGCTACATTCTTCCTCTCTTTGGTCGTTTTGGCGCGCATGCGTCTGGTGTTGGCGGAAGGCTGGGTGGTCGAAAAGCCCATGAAGGAGAAGCTCCAGTTCCAACCACAGAGATTGATTTCCTGACTGAGCCAGGCCAGAAAGCTGTTCTGAGTAGATGGTTTGCGACCTCATGGTGAGATGCTCTCTGCATTGGAAAAGAACTTGGCCTTCAACCATTCGGTCATCCCCTCGGGGCTTGTGGCATCGTGGCAAGGCATTCACGACCTCGGCCCACAATGCATCGCTGAAGAACTTGACGCTCATTCCATATCGACTCATCCTTACAAGGAACGAGAAAGAGTAGGCGGGGTCCAACGTTCTACACATGCAATTCGATGTGCATGGCTTCGGACTTGACAGGTTGATATCAGAGCCAAACCCGAGTGAGTCCCATTCTGATGTGGGACCGCTGTGACTAATTAGTAAGGACATCAACCAAAAGCATGGAGGGGTCTCAACTCACTTATCATGGTCCTGGATGCAGCGGAATCTCTTTTCTCCAAAGCAGTAAGGGCAGGTCAATTCGTAGGAAGGAACGGGGACTTGATGGCTAGTTAGGTACAGGCCTTGGAACATGGAATCATGGCATACGATCTTCACTCACTTGGGTCAGAGACGTCCAAGATGCCCTTCCATGGCAACTCATCCACGAGCATCTTTTCCACCTCGCAATACCCGCTTGAGCCATGACTGGTGGTATCCAATTCCGATATAGTGGCCACTGCAGAATGAGCTGTGTTGTCTCCGAACGGAGAAACATGGTTGAGGCTGAAGGTTGGGTCGAAAATGGAAGTTGATCTGGCATCTTCCACGTTGTTCGTAGAGCGCGCGACGGGGAAACGCGCACCGTTTTGATTCTGTAGGCGATCGGCAAACCTTTTGAAGATTCCCCTCGATTTAACAGGCCTCGTCTCGTTGCGAAAACTGCTCTTCCTATTCTTGCTATTGTTCTTTGTGAAACCCCAGCGTTTAAGACGGGTCTTGCACATCCTGACGCTAAGCCACGATGTCAGCCATGTGGGTTCGCGGCTGGACGGCATGAATGCATCCCACGTTGGGGGCCGAAGATACATACAATTGAAACAAAAACATACTTAGTGTGGAAGCCATTCTCCTTTGACAGCACACTGACAACATCCTGGAGCGGCATGTCTTCATCTAGGTAGAGGTACTTGATCTCCTTCTTCATCGACTCCCATTCTGTGTCCAGGTGCGTGCGAGTTGATTGGTGCGCCAGCGCCCCAATGGAGACTGGGGACTCAGCAGCTGAACTTCCACCATGCACATTGACCTGTACCGGCGAAGGATTTGCAGAGCTGGATGCACCGCCCGCCTGTGTTGCGAGTCTCGCCAATGAGAAAGGCGATGAGTTTCGACCGCCCCCAACCGGAGATGGCATATTGGGGTCCATGGATCTAGGTTGGTTTCACCAATGAGAAGTTATCTTAGAGCTGTTGGGGAACTTGAATAGATTGCGATAGATTGCGACTACGACTCCAAATTTTGGCCGAAAGATTGAGCAGAATCAACAACGATCGCAGAGACAATTGACCAGAACCGGAAGCACTTTGAGACCCATGTTTGCTCTTTAACTGAATCAAAAGGCACCCGTCCTTGGGACATTTCGTACGACTGTGATCTCAACTCAGCAAACTCCTGCTCCAAAATGAGGCATCCATCACCAAAATTCAGGCGATTCACCCCGCTTCCGTTGCCTACAAGCTGCGGGTTCGCAATTTGCGTTTGTACGTAGGGGAGAAAAGACTGCATTGCTTCCAGATCGGCTTCGATGCAAAAGACTTCGCATGTAGCCAGTTAAAAGATTAGAACGGAACGAGCGGGAATCATAAGTATGTATGAGGAAGGGGGACAGGGGTACGCAAAGGACCGCACAGAGGAGCCAATAACAACGGTAGCTACCCAACGAGGCGTGCTGACGAGGCTCCGAAGCCAATGACAAAGTCGCCTCTGAAAGAAATGGACGCATGTGTGAAAATTTGTCATGCGGACTACCTCGCTTGAGAAGCTCCGGCAGGTCTCAAAGTGCAATGTGGGATCTAGATGCGCAGATGATGGACCGAGTATCCAATAAGTCGGGCAGATTTAGTACGCCCGTCGGACAGCAGGTGTTGCCATGCTCGCTCTCGGGCGACCCGGTTGCTACAAGATTCACCCAATCCTGTTTGGGTTCAAGATCTTGGCACCCTAGATTTACAGCAATCGGCACTAACGTGTTCGCGGCGCCATACTTGCATGATCCCAACACGGCTCATTTTGACCTCAAAAGCCCGCCAAGCCGCATATTGGAATTTCGGGTCTCGTCGAGGATGGTGTGAAGAAAAGACTCTCACGAAGAGAAGAAAACCATGAAGGTCCTATAAAAGCAACACACTATCATTCTCAAATGCCCGCACGATGGTGACGTCGAAGGGGGAGTAGCACGTCATGGTAATTGCGCTTGATGCTTGTCTCTATTCGCGAGGTGCCTTCATTCACCTTAAGTTGCTTCTCTTGACATCGTGCTCACTATACATTTCTTAATATTTGGTTGCGTAACTCGTGAACAGTCTGGGATCTAGTATAGAGACGTACTGACGTCCAAGAATACATACACCTAGGGACAGAGAGGGAAAGGGTGAGAGAGGTACATCACGTAAGACGAGGCATGCTGGATGAGGTGTGTGCACTGTGTCAGTGAGGTGAGTGGGGGGAAGAGGTTGAAGAATGCCAATCATTGATCAGAGCATCTGGGTAGGGGTTACACTCTCAGTGGGCCGAGCTTCTGCCGCCGTATTTTATCGAAGTAGGCCTGTCCCCGCGCCCTTGGGTCACCGAATTTTCTCTCCAATTCCCCCATTCCTCTACAGCTCCAAGCACCCTCAGCTCCTACAGTGCAAATATTCCCCTTCGCACTTATACGCAGTAAAGCACCAGTATAAAATGCCCAACATGCATTTTACAACACCACGAGCAGTCGTGATGATCCTGAAATACTGCAGATGATTATTGTTTGAGGTCGATTGTAATGCAGTCAATATTACATCCATTCCTTGCGAAGATCTACCCAGCCCTCTCATATTGCTACATGTTCTTGCTGCTTGTCTTGAACCTCCCGGACTTCGTTGTTGTCTAGGCTTCCATGATGGAGGCCAAGTTTAAGCAGGAAATTCAACAGGTAAGCCCATTGATACCTCTCAGTCACGCTACATCCATCCTTTCATACTTGTTTTCTGATTACTTCTCATACACTACTTCGTCCCTTTCTCTTACAGACCCACCATTTTGCCCGTCATTTTTTCTGCCTCAACTTATCTGGCTCATCTCTAGATGATGTACATCGCCGGAGAAACCCAAGATGTGTCAATCCAAATCATCAAGCTCATTGAAGATATCATCCTCGAACAAGTCGTCCACATGGTACAGCTCATCAACCCGTCCCCTATCCGCACCTAACAGCTTCACAGCTGAAGACCGCACACGACCTCGCCAGTCGCCGCGGCTCCCGCGTCTTCTCCAACAACGACCTCATCTTCCAGTTTCGCCACGACACCGCCCGCGTAGAACGCCTTCGCACCTTTCTCACCTGGAAAGCCATCCGCAAGACCGTCAAAGACTCGGACGAAAAGGAGGGCTTCGTCGATGAAGCAGATATGGAAGAAGCCGCGCCTACTGATGAGACCCCCGCAGCCAAAGGCAAGTTCCCCGCCGTTTCGCTCCCGTGGAATGTGTCTTCGTTCTTCTCCGAGCAGGTCGCAGAGGCGCCGGAGGACATCACCGACATCACCAGCAGCGAGGCCGCGCTGGAGAAGCTGCGCAAGAACGACGAGCGGACAAGGGACATGACTGTGGCCGAGTACGCCACTTGGTCTGAGTACCGCCACGCGTCGCTCACATACCGTAAGGCAAAGCGCTTCAGGGAGTGGTGCGGGCTAGGTGTCATCGCGGAGAACAAGCCCAATGACGATGTCATGGATATCCTGGGATTTTTGACTTCGGAAATGGTACAAAGCCTTACGGCAGAGGCGTTGAAGGTGCAGGCCCAGGAGCTAGCGTATCTCGATGGCCAAGTCGGTGCCGAAAGAGTGCAGAAGCGGCAAAGGGGCTTGTTTTCGGAACTTGAAGGGGCGAGAAAGCCGGTTGAGTTGAGACATGTGAGGATGGCTTTTCAAAGGTTGCAAGGACGGCCGAAGAAGAGTCGAGCGTTGTTGAATGGGACAAGACTTGCGTGGACATCTGGTCTGAAGCTGGTAAGTGCGGACTTCTTGAACTGGGCGGAGGGCCTGCTAATATGACTGCAGCTATGATTGGAATGAGTTTCTGCGTGAAGCATGATAGCTTATAGCGGGTAACATGCGGTTATTTGAGGTTCTCATGAGTCTTCTTAGTTCAACGAATACACCTGAATGCTATGCTCATCAGTAATCCTCCTTGATCCGACTACAAATTGAATTCCATAAGAAAAGTCTCAAAACTTTATTGATGAAACAATAAGCAGCAGAAATAGCAAGCAAAAATAAAAATAAAAAAGTGTCTGAGAAAACAACGACGTATGAGTAGAGCGGGGAAAAATGCAAAAGATAACGTCAAGGACAGGATTCGAACCTGCGCGACCGAAGCCACTGCCTTAGCTGACATCAGAGAACTGATAGCAGGGCAGCCCATTAACCACTCTGGCACCTTGACCAATGGAACTTGATGAAAGCGGAGGCCCCAGATGTGTATATGGAGGCCGTGCGTCTGTACCCCACCTTCCCGTCCTGGAAGCTCCCTCTCATGTCATGTTTGCGCAGCAGTCTGTTGCCCAAGACAAGACTTGGGAATTATATCCGAAGACGATGCAGTAATTGCATTACCGTCCCGAAGTACTGTTTGATTTGTTTCACTGGCAAGCGTTCTCTTTCACCAAGGGGTTCCATTCAGGAAGCTGTGTGACTGCCGCAGGGACAGGAGCTCCCGTCCTCCCCCACCACGTTCGGAAGTTCCTAAGCTCCTGCCATCGCCAATTACCGGAGCTTGACCCCGCGACGTCACATGACAAATGACGTGAAGGTCTTAAAGGCCATTGAAGCTGCAGCTTCTTCCCATTCATCAACTACAAACGGCTGACCCCTCGTGAAACTTTTCGTCTTTCATCGTTTCGACCCTTTGTCCGCTCATTGGTACTTAAGAGTCCCCAAAACGAGTCGAAGCAATCCAACTTGGCCACCCGGAAGCCGGCATCCGATAAACGAAGAACACATCACGATGGTCACCACGCAACAAGTCAACCTTCCCGACGGGCGAATTCTCTCGTACCACCTTTCCAGTCAAGGTGACGAGCCCCTCGTGCTGCTGGCGAACTCGCTGTCTGCGCCATTCCGGGTCTGGGACCACGTCGCCAAGTTCCTCGCAGAGAACGGCTTCCGCACGCTTCGCTTTGACCAGCCGGGCCACGGCCAGTCGTCAGCTCCCAAGAACCTCGACACGACATTTGAGTCAATTGCCGATGATGTGTACCACCTTTTGGAGTCTCTCAAGATTGAGAAGGTATTCGCCTGGATTGGAGTCTCAATGGGCGCCGCGACCAGCTTCTACTTTGTGAACAAGTACCCCGGCATCGTGCACAAGGTGGCCATCTGCGACACCATCGCCGCATCTCCCAAGAACGCCGGTGTGGATGATCTGTTCGCGCCGCGGGCTCAGCAGGCGCGGGAGGCCGGCAACATGCAGGAACAGGTTGAGGGCACGATAGACCGGTGGTTCGGCCAGGAATGGGTCAAGGCGAACCCCGACGAGGCGGACCGGGTGCGCGCCATCATGAACCAGACCAGCGTGGACGGGTTCGCGACGTGCTGTCACGCGCTGCGGAGCGACAGCTTCGACATCCGGCCGCTGTTTGGCAAGGTGGGAGCCGGTGTCGACGAGGCGCTGCTGGTTGTTGGAGACAAGGACGCCAACCTGCCCGAGGCCATGAAGGAGATGCGGCAGAAGGTGGAGGAGGGATTTAGGGCGGCGGGCAAGGACAACAAGATTGAGCTCAAGGTGATTAAGAACGCGGGCCACGTTCCCTTTGTGGATGGTTACGACCAGTTCAAGGAGATTATTCTCGAATACCTCAAGGCTTAGTCGAGACTAGCGAGTGTATGTATCATGACTATCATGAATATTGTGGCATCTGGAGGTTGGAGGTCGCGACGGACTGCAATCAGCTTCCTGTTCCCAGCCTCTGGGGGGCTTCGGTGAGATGCCTAGCACAATTAGCACAAAATACACAGACAAAGAAGCACAACTCGCCTGTCGGTGAGGGAGCCAATGACACGATCCCGGTACCCAGACTTGGCCGATGCTCCTCACCGAGGCTCGCCGAAGCTCCGCTTTAGGCTTAGCGGTGGCTTGGAGCACCCACTCACGTCCACCGCCAGCCTCTTTTTTCCGTGGATTTCCCCCCGTCCCCAGCCCAGCCGCCGCTGCTGGTTCCCCGTCAATTCACAGTCACTGCTGGTGCTGCTTGTGCTGATCGCCCATTTCATTTGCTCCCACAGCAACCGCCCGACAACCATCACCGTCCCCGTCGGCCATCCACCTTTCCCACCACCACACACTCCACACACCACACACCACACACCACACGCACCATACACAACGCACAGCACCACCACCACCCGTGCGGACAAAGGCTCAAGCATGCGATAGAACATCTTTGACCTCGTTTCCCCCTTTCCCCGGCCACCCTCATCCTTTATATCGATCGCTGCACCCGGCTCTCCTCATCTCCATCCAGCCTGCATCAGCATTTACCGCCGGTCGCCTCTATTATTTTCTCTCCGCCCTGGTTCCATCGCTGACGTGGTGTTGCGCTCAACGCGACATTTCTCCGCCCCCGCCCGCGTCGACCTCCGAATCGACACTCGGAAAGGAGAGTCGCAGCTGTTCAATCAATCTCAACCATACAATTCGATACATTCCTACCCCTTCGACGCTGGTCTACCGCTCATTCGTCGGTTGCTGCGTCACTATCCAAGATGGCTGCGTCCGACGCTGGTGCCCAGCTGCCCAACGGCACCCCGACCGACACCAGGTCCGTTGCCGACGAGCCCACGGCGCCTCAAGACAACGATGTCCTCGCTGTGAATTCGTCCCAAGTTACCCTCCCGTCGACTGAAGTCCCCGCCTCTCCCATGGACCCAAATCAATCCTTCAAGACCGAAGTCAACGACGACCGAATGAGCTCCGCCGCCGTCATCCCGTCTTCTTTGACACCGCCTCCCTCCTCCCAGGTCGTCGCACATGCCGGCAACGGAGTTCTGCAAGCTACCTACGGCGGTTCCCAGCGCTCTGCCCTCTTCTCCCCGCCTGCTACCGGCTTCAACACGACCGTCCGCCGAGACGGCGGTCTTGGATCAGAATATGTTCCCCCGGCCCCGAAGCAGGTCCTCGATGCTACCGCCGATGAACTACGAGCCATGATGCAGACCTGCATCGCCGAACATGCCAAGTTGAAGATGGAGGCGGCCCATCACAAGCTACAATATAACCTACTTAGCCTCCAGGCTGACGAAGATGCGAAGCGGGCTGCCGTCGAGCACGAGATGACCCGCCGAGAGATCGAGGCCCTTAGGACGGCCGAGTACTCGCGACAGGCCGTACGCGAGCTCAGCGCTGCTTCGGAGTCGGCACAGATGAAGTACCTGCAGATGAAGATGTGGTACGAGGAGTCCATCGACGAGAACGAGGCCCTTTCCCGGCGAGTCAAGATGGCGAAGAAGGTCATCTCCCAGAAGGAGGAGGAGATTGTGAGCTTGACGGAGGAGCGAGACATGATGCTGAACCGCATTCGGGAAAACCGGGAGCATTTTCACATGCTGTGCAGCCCAGGTGGCATCTTCCACGGTGCCATGACGCCCAGACAGCAGCCGCAGCACCAGACGTCCGTCTCAACTCCGCAGCAGGCTCACCGCGCTACCCCCAAGCAGACCCCGCGATCTGCGCACCGCGATGCACGGGTCGATCGGGACCATGGCCCCGAGCCTATTGCGGCTCTGCTGCAGGCACTCAGCCAGGACAACAACAGCGCGCCGTCGACACCTACTACAACGGTCAGACCCGCGCCCCGCATGCCTCCCAAGCACACCCGAAACGCCCAGTCACTATCATCTCTACCTACGACGCCGCTTTCCCGCCCTCAGCGGCACGAACAGTCTGGTCTGCTGCCATCGGTCAACCTCGTGCCCCAGAGCGAGCCCCGGCATAGCTACAGTAGGGCTCAAATCATTCCTGGCACGCCGCCGCCCGCTGTGCGAGAGCCTACCCGCAAGAGCCGCGAGAGCACCATCTCAGCAGATGACAACGAGGAGCTCGCTCGCCAGGCGCTAGAGTCAGTCGCAAACTTGTCACAGGCATCACGAAATGCGTCACGCAGCTTCCGCAAGCCTCTCCCGACGGGCGAGGACGATGAGGATGTCTCAGAGAGCCAAGCTAGCCAAGCCGCCTCTGAGATGCTCCGTCGCGATCCTCGGGAGAGCTTCGAGGTGGCGTCTTCAGTAGGCTCGCGCGATGGCACCCCGGCGCCGGCAGAGAAGAGCGCAAGACTTCAGGCGAAGCTGTTTCCCGGCATCACCAAGGGTCACACGACAGCAGACAAGCGCAAGTTCAGTGGGGGTGCGCCTAACGCGCAAGAGACGCTGAAGCGGATGCGCATGAGCGGCGGCTCTGTGGAGGATCCCAAGGTCGGACTCGGGATTCAGTACAGTTACAGCTAAGGGCTGACGGCGGTTCGTGTCTTTGGGGCCGGCGGCGTTCTGTCAACTGTGTGTCTGACATCTGCCCGTCACCGTCGCGGCGGCGGACAGGCGAGGGCGCGGGCGCGGGCGCGGGCGCGGATGGTTCATCCGGTGGCTGGGAGCAGAAAAAAGCCGCTGAAGCGATGGGGCCCGCCCCCATTTGGAGCGACACTGGAAGCGGTGTGTGGGGATAGCACGGCGGCTGCGGCGTTGGACTGCAATTGCAGGGAACAACTGACGTGGCAATCTGCACATTTTATGGATACGGAAAGAGAAAAATTGCATTCCAAAATGATACCACTGGGGCAATGGCTTTGGCGTTTGAGAGATATGTACGACACGGAAGACGGAATCAACATGGGCTTCAGAATAGACAACAGCAAACAACATCAGACGAGTACTCGTTCTCTTCCATTTCCATGACGAAGCGATGTGAAGGGCACGGCTTGCCTCGAACCCCTCTTCTCTGCATCTGCAAAGTGAAAATGGACTTTATTCAGAACGATCCATAGCGGGACGCCCGAGAGGGAAAAGGCTCACTCACGACCAGGGTCACGCTCACGCGAGACGCAAAAAAAGGGAGCCCTAGGGAGAGAGATCCAGCCCAGGCCCAGCTGAAGACCCAACACCAAGCCAGACCAACGATGTTCGCCGCCGCCGCTGCTGCTGCACTGCAACTCGAACTTTGAAGAATCCACACACACGAACAGCCAGATAGCAGCAGACCAGACCAATCCATCCATCGGCGCTTCCCCTCGTGGCAGTTCGCGCCATCGTCGTGCGCAGGAACTAACCCGTTTTCTCCCTCTTGTCTCTCGCTTCCCCTCCCTTGGGCTGGCATGCGGCCCTGCCCCTCTGCCCCAAAGGCCCAGGGCCCATGGTTCATTCGCCAGACATAAGACCCTGGCCGGGGGATATGTACTTCGTCCTCTCCTTTTGATGTGCTGCGTGCTGTATGTATCCAGCGAGCGCCCCGTCCGTGCCTTTTTTCTTCGCCTCTTGTCACTGCTACAGTCTGCTTATTCGTGCTGCTGCTCGTGACTGCTGCTGCTGCTGATGCCGCTGCTGGTATTGTGTGGTTGCAAAGTCCCCTTCACCGAAGTTTAACTTGACCGCCGATCGGAAACACGCGCTTCCTTCCTGCAGGTCCCGCGACGGATTACTACGATATACTTCGCAACGCTGCGCGCACAAAGGTCGCAGTTTCGTCTCAATTATTTTGGAATTTCCTTCAGTCCGTCTTTTTGGAGGGAGGTTTTGGCAAAAGATCTCACCGAGTTCAAGCGCAGATCTTTGCCTTCCAGTCTCTCTCCATCATTCGGATTTATCTGTCAAGTCAGTGCGAAGCAGCAAGGGGTGTGTACACGCAAAGCCGAGTTTGCGGCCTTTTCACCTTAAGCCGCCGCCCCCTTGACCCTCTCTCACCGCTTCGCGAAGAGGAGTCCCAGGACCCTTGCACAACCTCACCACTCACCCCGCGCTGCTCTTGCGCCTTGCTCTCCTCATCCCGTCCCGGCCCAGGGATTCAGGAGGTGTAGCGACGAAAAGGACGACGACTTTAAACCCATTCTCCATCCCTCATCCCAACCTGCATCCTTACTTTTCACACTTAGCGGGACTTTTTGGCATCTTTTCTTTTGTCTCTCTTCTTAACGAACCAATTACTTTCACGACGACTTTTAACGATTACACGACATAACGCAGCAGCCAACGCACATCATCATGAGGGATCACCCACGCAGCCCCCGCCAGGGATCCCCCGCCCCTCAGTTCCCCCCGCGCAGCCTCTCCGACGAGCTGGGCGACTTCATGTCCTCGACGGACGACGATGAGGAGAGGGACTACGACGACAGCGAGGAGGAGGAAGAGGAGGATGACGACGACCAGAGGACCCTGGCGACGCCCATGTCGTCGCGCAAGTCGTCGCAGGACAGCTTCTTCGACGAAGACGACGAGGTGCCCGAGGAGTTCCCGCCGCTGCTGAAGCCCTTTCCCGCTAGCACGAGCATGCGCAAGTTTGCCAGGATTGACTACGCGCGCGGGGCGGGGCATCATGCGTACGCCAGCGACGACGAGGCGGAGTGCGCCACCAGCAGCAGCCGGCCCGGGACGGCGCGGTCGGTGGTGGTGCCGCCGCCGTTCCGGCGCAGCTCGACGTGTCCGGTGCTGACGCCCGACTTCCTGCAGGGCGCGGCGGATGACGTGGTCAAGCTGATGCCGGAGCAGGCGGACTTTATGAAGAAGATGGTGGAGGGGTGGCGGGAGATCCAGCGGCGGTCGAGCGTGAGCGTGCTGAACGCGGCGCCGAGCCCGCTGTCGGTGGTGTCGCCTGGGATGAAGAGGCCGAACACGGCCCCGAGCCCGTTTCACCCGCCGCCGCAGATGAACTTTTCGTCGTCGTTTCCGAGGGTGCCGGAGAGGTTGGACGAAGAGCTGGGGAGGTTGGAGGAGGAGCCTGGGAGCGCGACGGAGAGCGAGACGGAGGGTGGGTTGGAGGAGAGGATGGAGAGGGTGGAGGGGGCGATTGATGAGTTGAGGGTGATGGCGAAGGAGAGCGCTGAGAAGGCGATTGTTGGTGGGGAGGGGAACACTGAGAGATTCAGGGTTGTGGAGAGGTGTATTGATACCATCGGGAGGGTTTATGAGAAGAAGGAGAGGGGGAGGAGGAGGAGGAAATTAGGTGCAAAGTGTGTTGGGGCCCTCGTGAGGATCTGTGAGATGTTTGCGAGTGAGGGAGCCGACGGGGGCTCATATCGCTTCGAGTCCCGGCTTTTGGATGAAATTACTGAGGATACGGAAAGCGACGTGGAGGATTACGCGGACGACGAAGCTGAAGACGACTTTGTTGAGAGGTTTCCGGATTTCATCGACGGAAGCTTCTTTGGAGATGGGCCAACTGTTGTTGGTGACATGACGCTCCCACCACCAAGCCCAACAAAAGATCCTTTGGATGACCGACGGCATGCTGCACTAGTTGAGCAAGCTAGGAACGAGCTCGAAACACTGTTTGCCGAGGCGGCAGAGGCGGAGACACCGTTTGAGGAGAGGCATTCGAGGGTGGTGTACGCCGTGGAAGCATACCTGGCGAAACTGTCCGAGATGGAGGCGGCTCATGACCGGGATTTCAAATGGCATGCAGAGCTAAAGGCCTTCCACGTTGCGATGGGGTCGAGGAATATTATCGGGTCAGAACCGGGAACGGCCATGGCGCTTGTCGCAAGTCTGAGTCTCTGTTTTATACCGATTGCGACGGTGTTGTGGTACGTCACGGAACCGACGACCTCGTGGATGCTGTGGAGGATGTTGATACCTATCGGCTGCTATTTCTTGCTCCTTGCTGGGTTCTATATCGACCAGAAAGAGGCGAGGGAAGCGCTTTACGAGGAACATTTGCCTTTTGAGGCGAGGGAAATGAGGAGGCGGCATAAACGGGAGAAGGAACTGTTGCATGCTGCGCATGAAAGAGCTGTGCAAAGAGTCTATTCCCTTGAAGGGTGAGGCTCGAGGTGTAGCTGTACGACTACTTGAAAGACTATTCTGTCCAGTAACTGTCTCGCCCGTCCGTGTTGCGTTCTGTTTACTTGTCGTCTGGCACCTTTTTAACGCCCGGCGCCACAAACACATTCAGATCGATTCCTTGGGTATGTCCAACGCGGTTGCAACCATGTTCACAAACCCTGTGAGCAGCGTGCGCTGTACATTGACTACGATGTGCGTTGCCCTGCGGTCTAGTTAGCAGACTGCCTCTCCCTATTTTCCTGTAGAATCTTGCCTTGATGTTACCTCTTCGCGTGAGACCCGTGAACAGCCGGTGTGGGATGACAATAATGACGGAAATAATCGCAGCGGCTACCACCACGGGGCCGAGGACGATAAAGGCGAAGAGCATCCAAAGGTCCATCGCTCTGAGGTGGGTGCTGTGACAAGAGTCGTGCTTGCCACATAGTTCGTCATTCTTGATGCGGGTGTTGTTTCGGAGGCGAACGTACGCGCACCAGAGCAAGATTGGAATGATGAAGAAGATGACGGAGAATCCCAGGAACGACAGCCAGAACTCGAGGGCGGTGTCGCCAACAATTAGGGGATGCGTTCCGAATGCCGTCCCGTTGGCACCCCGTGGAGACTGGTGGTAGTTGTCTGGGCTCGCCATGTTGGGGAATGGTCGACGATGCGAGGTCGAGTGCTCCGGGCAAGGTGCGATGGCGTGTGCAGAAGCGATTACGGCTGCACGATACGGCAAACGGTCCGAGATGATAGAGAATAATTTGATAGACAATATGTGATACGCGGTTGTGGTTGGGCCGATGTTGAAGCAATGGTTCAAGAGAAGTGGACGGTGTACAATCGAAAGGCTGGACGTTGGAGCGTCGGAGACTCGGAGTCGGAAGGTCTGCCAAGGAAATACCTTCTAGATCATGGCAAGGACGCGCTTTTTCTTGAGGTCAGTTTCAGGAAGAAGAATCCTGCCGTGGGATAAGGTAGGTAGGTACTTCCGCTCGTCACATCGTCCTACAAGAAGGCCCGAGGGAACATTCGATGTGCAGGCGCGTTGCCTCCACGGCAGCTGCCGCAATTTCTACCTCATGGAAGGTGCAGTCGACATCAAAGACATTACGGAGTCCACGAACACGCTGATGTAATGACACGGCCGAAGCGGGGACCGCGTTCTCGGGAATGACTCCGGCGATCGCCGGCAAGCGAGTGGGGCCGGACCGGGCGATGAGGCCGAAGATGATGGGTTGCACTCCGGAATTGTGCAATACGGCACAAGCTTCCAACCGCGCGTTGGCAAAAGTTGATCTATGACTCACAAGCGTTAATGGTACTCATTAGTTGCCTGAAATCGACACACCGCCATCGTCTCGTTAGATGCCCGCACCCTTGACTTCCACAATGGATGCTGGCGCCTACGGTACCGAATCTACACTCAGGTTGGAACAACGTTGACAACGGAAAGCGCCCCAATGAATAAGGTCCAAGCGAGATTGCTTCACTGCATTCGTACTAGGAGTATTCAGTTGCAGGGTTGTTGGTGCAAAATCACCAACAGAACCAACAGCCAAGGCCACGGCTGCCTAACCTACATGAGGTCCACCTCGGTTAAGACATCGTGCCTCTAAGTTAAAAGCATCAGCACTCCCCGTCCGCTAACATCCAGCAGACTCTTTGCATTATCCTCTGCAGTGTATCGCATCTCAAATCTGTTCCGCACCTCCCTCAGAACACTCAGTGTTGGATTGTCCATACCCTTGGCCAGATCTTCAATGGGTTCCGGAATGTCCACAGACGCCTCAATGATGTTGCCCAACTCTTCAGCTTATCCTGCCGTCGGCTCCATGGAGCTTTCACCAGACAGGCATGCCCTCTACATCCGAGCCATGGAGGACCCTTCCGCCCTCAGTTTCAACGAGAAACGCCAGGTCATGGTCCGCGCACCAATCAAAGACGAAGACAACGAAGAGTCCGTCAAGCTTTTCGGCCGAAGCATCCAGAAACTCATCCAAAAAGCCCATGACGCCCCTTATGAGCTCACGCTGGAGGAATGCGAATTCATCGAGAAAACGATGAAAACGCCGCCCCGCAATGCATTCGACAGATTGACGCCTGAGCATGAGAAACTGGAGGAAGACGCCCGGGGCAAAGTCAAAGAAACAGTGGACCAGCAAGAGAGTTTAACCGAGTTTCTCGGCGTCATGATGGCTACCAACCGCGCCAACTAGCTCAGGCTTGACCGGCAGATAAAGCGCGAATGGGGCGTCGAGGCGGACATGAGAACCCGTCTTGAAGCTGCCAAGGACTTGCAGCGACCGACTTGGCTTCAGGAGATGGTCGATGCAAACATGGAACATTGGGGGTTCATCGTTTTCCGGACAGGACATGTCGAGGACTTCTACGACGAGACAAAGAGTCAGAAAGAGAAGGATGACGTCGCCTGGGCACGTTTCGAAGAAGCCTACTACACGGTCGCTACTCACGGGCTGAAGTATCAGTGGGCAAACCTAGGCGGGGACGAGCTGTCGGATGCGCACAACTCGTTGTTCATCGCGGTTCCTGAGCAACCGACCCAGACAATGGCCGACATGCGACACATTTTCCGTCAGATAAGGGCCAATGGACAGATCCCAAACGGGATCAGAACAGACTGTTTCCTGGTGGCTGACATGTCTGCAGTGCCATTCGAATGGTTGTTGGAGGAGCCCATGTCATACACAGACATCTACATTCGGCAGTTCGCTGGGACTCACTCGATGGATGTCCAAGCCGTGGACCCCGATGCCGAGGAGATAGTATCGTCTGATGGAGGGTTTGCAGGAGATATCAATGTGCCGTTGACTAGAGTGTATGACTGGTTGTACTACAGCCTGTTCGCGAAGTCGGACAGCTGGGATCAGAGGCATCATACTACAACGACACAGACTTGGACTCAGGACTTGTGGGGGGATGGTGAGGTTCCGCCTTCACATCCCAAGTATTAGCACGGATGGCTATGTACGGTTCTGCGAATCGCGGGTTCTTCAGGCTTTGACAACGACATGTAATTTACAGCCTGATACGTACTTGGATGACTTGCTTAGCATTTTGGAGGAATTCAATATGAATTTTGTCCTCACAGATGGCCTGCGGAGTTCACCTCATAGTGACGCTCTGTTGGCGGCGCCGGAGCCAAATCCTTCTGGGAGTTCGAAACCAGGATAAGTCCTTCTCATATGCTGGCAAGAATCCTCAATGATATCGTAATCAAAGTGGAAGTCGTAGAATTCCTCTGGTTTAGCTGCGCTAGTGCATCAGAAGTCGACTCTTAAAGCTTGTATCCGGGGCTACTCACTGGGGATTCTCTCAACCGGCTGAACGAACTCCGAAGCAGCCTCTCTGATCTTCTCGGCCTCATCCTGCGCTGCATTGCTGAAGATGGTGACAGCACTAGCCCTGTTCCTCCTGATGCTTTCAAACATCTCCAGCCTTTCTGGCACGTATATTGACGAAGAGATGTTGGAGAGACAGATGCCGAGAGCAACGCCGTCTTCTATTGCTTGTGCGCCGCCCTGTCCTTGGTCTTCGTATGGTCAGTGATGAATCGCTAAACCTTTTCATGGCGAGATTAGGTCTTACGTGGGAGCATTGGGTGGGCAGCGTCTCCGATGAGAATCATTCTTCCCTTTCGCCATGTTGGAATGGGAGCTCTGTAGAGCAACGGCCATTGCTTGACCTCGGTAGCCTTACTGTTATATGTCAGACGGATAAGCCGCCAGATACAATGACGACATCAACAAACTTCAGGAGAGCAATGACGCTCGGGTGAAAGTTGGAAAACGTCTCGAGCAGATGCGACTTATCAACAGGGCTGTGCCAGTCTATCGAACGTCAGTTAGATATCACTTCGGCCCCAGCAATACATACCTTCTTTAGTCGAAGTCCCAACTTCATTGTGGAAGATGCCAATGCAGTTAAGCACATGTCCGCTACCGCATTGTCAGTCAAGGGTGTCCAGTCTGGCCGTGAAGGGCACAAACTCTCGACAGGGATATGTCACTATACGCTTCCCGTCTCCTAGGAACATCCTGACGCTCCCACTTGCGTCATCGAATAGCTGGGCCGTCTCTTGATCGCCGAGAACTTCCTCCATGGGAAGTAGAAAACGGTAACAGAAGTTGTCTTGCCCAGCTGGGTATGCGGGATTCGAGGAACCTAGAACAGCCTCGACGCCGGCGCTGTGGATGCCGTCTGCCACAACTACGAGGTCTGAAGTGATTGTTGTGCCGTCGCTGAGACCAATTGCCGCGTTCTCGGGGTCCTGGGAAGTAAGTATGGAAGTCGCATATTCAGGCCATATCGCATCGCTTACATAGCTCGTAACCTCACTCCTCAATTTGATAGTCAACGGAGGACCGCCGTCAGCCGCTGTAGCCATGCGCTTCAACTCTTGATGCAAGTCGACACGATGCGCAAAGTACCATGGTGATCCATACTCATTCGCAATGACCCCAAGCTCAAGTGAGTGAACCAAGTCCAGAGTCTCGCCTTTCAACCTCTTGCTGCCCCTGGCTGGCACGAATCTCGCGCGCACAGGGTCCATGCCGAGCGCAACCAAAGGTCGTGAAGCATTGGTTTGGACATTGATTGCCGCGCCAATCTCGTTGTTCAATGCCGACTTCTCGTATATGGTGACGCAGTGCCCTGCGCGGCGGAGCGAGATTGCGGCAGTCAGGCCGGCGATGCCGCCGCCGACGATTGTCACGTCTAGCATCTCAACTGACTGGAGGTCTTGTTTCGTCTGAACGGTCCGCCGAGAATGTATCAGTCGTCGCAAGATGTTAGGTCAGGATAGCATCGAGTGTTGTAGATGGTAATAGTTGGTGGGGTTTAAGTGACAGAGAGAGGGGTAGAACGGACTGATCCTTAGAGGAAGACCCCTCAACTTTATCCCAAGTTTCCAACGTCTGCATGTGCATCTGATGTTTTGCTTCTTTAGACACTAAGATGCCGCTAGAGACATGCGTCGAGGCCGAGCGCTGGCGTTTCCCGGAGTTGCAGCTGACTAGACCAGCCACGCGCATATGCATCTACCCTCAATATGGCTGTGATCCAATAAGACCAAGGATCAGGATCGATTTCTCCGATGGCGTACTTATGAAGGCTTATTTTAAATGCTGTCATGCTCTCAAAGGCTTGTTTGTTTTGCTCAGCTCAGTCTCCACGACGCTTGTCATTGGATCGGCCTGGGCCAGCAACGGGAACCGGTGCATCAAGCTGGCTTGCATTGGACCGGACGGATCGTGGGGAAGCTCGACGGATGCCCGGGAATGAGATGGCTTAAACACTTAAACACGGTCGAACAATTGCTTTTGCAGTGTACCTGCCGGCCCGGAGCCAGGTGGCGGCTGGCGCAATTCGCATGCAGAAAAGTTCAATCGACGACGCGACAAAAGCGCCAGCTCACACGCGCGTAAGGGTGTGGATAACCAGCCTAGATCAGCAAGCTACCGGATGATAAAACCTCACCGAGCCGGCAGATATGACGTGTTGCACAAGCAAAGTCACGAATGCGTGATGAGTCATTTCTTAAGAAAGCCTGCAGATGAGGTTTTTGGCCGAGACTAAACAGAACTTAACGTTGAAAGGCCAAAAACGCCTACGTTGCGGTCGATGATTGTTAGCTAACTACTTAGACCTTGTTACTGTAGCTGTGAGTTTGCCGACAACAGCTGTAAGCTGCGGTCAGAATATCCTCTCCTGCAAGAGACTGGAGTCCCTGGCTATGTCGTGGAAAATTGGGCAAGCGAGTGAGATAGGAGGGCCGTAACCGTTCAGCGGGGGAATTATGCATATGTAGGTCTGACAGCCAAGACCTCAGAACGCCTTAAGTCCTGCCTGACTGGCTGTGTAGACGCCAGCCTGATTGAAGAAGGGAGCTGGAGGTGAGTTTGGGGGTTCAAGGTCTACCCCGAAATCTGTGCGTGAGTAGTGCGCCCTGTCTTCTTCATATCTCGCACGTTCTGTCTAGGCAGTCCTCAGGCCGCGTCGTCCATCAACAGCGATGGCGGATCCTCTATCAATCGCTGCGAGTATCGCGGGTCTTGTAGGCCTTGCCGACATTGTCTTCGCCCGCTTGGTGAAGTTCGGGCGATCTGTCAAGAATGCAGAAGAGGAGATTCGACACCTCGCTCAGGAGATCAATCTCCTTGGAGGAGCCCTGAACAGCCTCGAACGACTAGCCCAGGTCCTGAAAGACGATGCTTTCGACACAAACCTACGAATGCACAACATCGACGACTGCAGGGAGACTTTGAAAGAGATAAATAAGAAGCTGGAAAAGCTGGAGGCCACTTCTAGTTTGATGAAGCAGAAGCTCATGTGGCCATTTACCAAAGACCGTGTGAAGGAATGGCTCGACGATCTGTCCAAACACAAAGAAAACATCAACCTAGCGCTGTCCGCCGATCCCCTGGATGCCATGCTACGAGTTTTGTCCCAGGAAGGCCATCACGCCGCAGAGATTCTGGCCGAGATCAAGGAAACGCGGAAGATCACTAGTCGAATCCACCAAGACTCCGAACGACTTAAGGTCTTGAATTTCTTCTTGAAGTACAACCCACAGAAGAACTACGACATGAGCATACGCCTGCGACAGTCCGGAACCGGAATCTGGCTTCAAAAGCTCCAAGACTTTCAGCATTGGTTATCTGAACCCGGCTCTAAGTTGTGGCTCAAGGGCATCCCCGGAGCGGGCAAGACTGTACTTGCGGGCTCAATCATCGAGTCAGCTCTGAACAGGAGCACTGAAGCTATTCCGTCTGCTTTCTTCTTTTGCGATTATAAGGAAGCAGACACTCACGCGATTGAGAACATCTTGGGCGCCTTAGTTTACCAACTTTCTATTCAGAAAGAAGACGCCTATGCAATGCTTGAACGATACTACAACGAGTTACATCCCATCAACGGCCTTCCAAAACAACCCACCAGAAAGGCTCCGCAAAAGTTATTGAGAAGGATAAAAGAGTTGTTCGATCACACTTATCTCGTAGTTGATGGCCTCGACGAATGTGGTAAATCGACTGACGAAGTAGTAGAGTGTCTGTTTGACATCTCGGAGGACGCTGACAATGTTTCAATTGCCCTCCTCAGTAGAGACGAGGATGAAATTCGAAGCCGACTAGAGGGCAGCTTTACCCCTATCGAGATTGCAGCGCACAAGGAAGATATTACCGAGTATGTCACGGCTGAAATTCAGGAGAGAATTCGGTCTAGAAGGTTGCGCATAAGCAACCTACATCTCAAGGGAGAGATCCTCCAGGGGCTGATTGACGGCGCTAAGGGCATGTAAGTTCAAGTTTGTTGACCTTTAGCTTTCATCTTCTATTATTCAGGATTAACGACATAATGAAGGTTCCGATGGGTAGCCTGTCAGCTGGATCATCTTGGAGAGTGCGATTCAGATCAACAATGCCGAGACGCCCTCAAGTCGCTGCCCCCGACCCTCGACGAGACCTATGAGCGGATCCTCAGACGAGTGCCTAAGAGCAAGCAAAACCTAACGGAACTAGCTCTCAATTGCATTGCTCACGCCTCACTGAAGCTTAATCTCCACCAACTACAGGAGATACTGTCAGTTCCAGAGCCTGGAGTATCGCTTGACGCCGTGAGCGTTATTCGAGAAGAGTCTATTACCCGATATTGTAGTAGCCTCATTCGAAAGTCCACGGATGGTCTCTCTCTGGAGTTTTCTCATTTTTCAGTGCTGGAGTTTCTTGAGAAGGCCCCCTCACAACACCTAGGATTCGAGTGGATCCGTGTCTCAAAATCCCGGGCATATGCTTTGTTGGCAGTCCAGTGCCTCAAATTTATCCAGCTCCAGAATTTCTACCAACCGAAGATCGAGTTACACACGGAAGTAGACGAAATAGATTCGAGAAACCAACTTCATCCGTTGTATTCGCATGCCTCTACACGTTGGCCCGAATATGCGCGGGGAGAGTGGGAAAACGAGACGGTCTTCGACCTGGCGGTCTCCCTTTTCCACCCCTCCAAAACCTGTTACTTCACTTCGTGGGCAATTCATCTCGCCAGAGGAACCGGACCCGGTCCCAAAGGAATCGTCGAGAAAACCGTTTCGCTTTTTATCCACCCCGACTTTACACCTCTGCATATGGCAGCGGCTCTTTCCCTGCCCCGGATCTGCTGCTTCTTGATGAAACACGGGGTGAGGGTGAATCTTGAGAGTCCTATGGGTCGACCATTGCAATGTGCGGTCCAAACCCTGCCAGTTGGATACTCCCTGTGGGCAACAGGCTCCCTGAAACCCACTGGGGCTTTCGTCGTACAAGATAGCCAACAAGATCATATCGCCACTGTAGACACCATCAGGTGCCTATGCCGAGAGGGTGCACCCCTCAATCTTCAGTGCTGCAATCCATTTTCTGGCATGAGCCTGGTGCAGCTATCTCTCGACGCATTTGGAAGATCGAATACTTTTCGGGTCACGATGGCACTCATTAGAGAGGGAGCACGGCTTGAAGAGACTGACAGCCTCATCGTGCAACAACACATAGAAGACCTCGATCTTCAGGAAAACGAGGACGAAATTCGGGCATTTCTTAAATTCCTTGACAGTTGCTCTGATCAATCGACCGCACATCATTGAATGAGCGCTGTTCTATGGAAGTATGCAGTTGCTTGCAACCTCAAATTCACCAAGCACCCGACGATCATTGACACCAAGCTTTCCCTAACGAATGATGAGCTTGAGAAGCATGCAGTAGGAGCAGTCACTGTAGCAAACACTCGGGTCCTCGAAAAAATGCTTTGCGATCCACGTCTCAAAGTTGCGTCTGTTGTAGATGCCGACGGGGATTCACTGCTACATCTAGCTCTGCGTAGCTGCCGCGGAGCAGAGATAACGGCTCTACACGTAGAGGTCGTCAAAAAGCTTCTTGACGCAGGATGTGACATCAAAATGACCAACAGGAATGGAATTGACCCATTACAGAGTTGGGACTGGTCGACCGATGATATGGAAAATCCCCCTACCAGCAAGTTGGAATTATTTGATGAAGTAGCCCATTTACTCGCAGATCATGGGGCGCGCTGTGATCTTCAGGACACAGAGAAACGGACTGCCTTGCATCTCCACATATCTGAGCCCTTCCGACTGCGTGCGTTGCTCAAGTATCAGCCAACAGAGAGCGTTGAGAGAGCAATGGAGACGACAGACAATGATGGTTACACCCCATTGACTCTGTGCCTGTGGAAGATGTTGACACGGTCGGCTTCGATTCTTCTCGCTCAGCAAACCACAATCACGGCTAAGATGACTGAAAGTCCAATTGCGGCACTATCACTTTCTGTGAGGGCGGGCGACGAAAAGACCTTCGATGCTCTGCTGCAATCCGGAATCAACTTCAGTTTCAAGGACACTGAAACTCTTTTACATCACCTCGGCCCCAAAACATCATTGCATTTTGTCCGTCGACTGAAGGCTTTGTATCCAGAGCCTTCTGGACATCGCTTCAATAGCCACACGCCACTCGAATCCTACCTGATATGCTGTCTTGAAACCAGCGGAGTCAGGGACATCAATGGCTCAATCATAGACGAACTAGCCATATTGGACACGTCTGAGAGCGAGGTCAGCAAAGCCATGACGTGGGAGTGCTTCATGTCCCGAATACTGAGCAGCACCTTGCATTTGCCAAGATCATGGACTGGCATTAGCGAAGATTTGGCTGAAAAGGATGACAGGCAGGTCATCAGCGAGAACGTAAGCATCAATCTGATACGGCTTGGGTATTTGTAATCCTTCGAGTCTTGCTTCGGAAAGTCCGCAATTATTCCTCTCATGCAGCCATTCAGCACTTTGACGGAACTTTCGAAACCTTGGTCTCGATTGAAAGCTTTAGTTTCCGAAGTCCTCCGTCAGACGCAACATTGGGACTCTCTTCGGGAATTTCCCGGCATCATTCTCTTACTGAAGGTGGCAGCTCATTCATATAATTTCAGAATCGTCAAGTTGCTGCTTCAAAAGAAAGTCAGCGTTCATCAACGTGTTGATGGACTGTCTGCTCTGGAAAGCTTTGTTAAAACCCCGAAATTGGACGGTCTTATGCATACGTGTAGCGCCAAGTCAGAAGACACTGACGACGAGGAAAACTATTGCGCGAAGAGAATGCTTGATCTCCTACTCCGCCATTTCGACAAATCACGCATCAACGAGGTTATTCCAGATGGTAGTGGACTTGCGCTAATCCATTTGCCGAATGCGTGGGGTGCGGAATGGGTTATTGAGAAGATCGTGGATCATGGCGCAAATCCGAATCTCCGTGTACACAAGCATCCTTACAGACCTGCGGCCGTCTACCAATTTTTCAAACAACGGTGGTGTTCCGGATACGTCGAAACGATTCTCAAAAAAGGAGCTGATCCAACGCTGACCGACGACTTCGGGTTTGACACAGCCTTGATAGCTGCAATGTGTCGAGCAGTACCAGTATTGACTGAGGTCTACGACGATATCAAACAAGGCACCAAGACGGATTGGCACGATAAGATGGACTGGTGCAAAAAGTGTCGTCTCTCTGTCCCCTTGGAGAATATGTCCCTAACCTGCACGGGAGTCACCGCACTACATCTTGGAGCCTTGTGCCAGTCTACCGACGTGTTGTGCTTCTACAATGACCACAAACTCATGGAGGATCTTGAGGTGAGGTCTGACGAAGGCTTTACGCCGCTGCACTTCGCAGCATCACAGGGCCGCGTCAGTAATATCAAATACTTGTCCGCTCTTGGCTGCGATATCGACGCTCGTGGCAAAGATGGAAGCTCCCCCCTTCACCTTGCTGCAAGAAGCAACAAGATAGAGGCCTGTCGAGTGCTCATCAAAGCAGGATGCAAGTCGTTTGAGGATTCGGTCGGGATGACGCCCGCGCTTTATGCACACCAAGCCGGCAATGAGGATCTTGCAAATTTGCTTGACACTGTCAAGTCGGGTTCTAGCGTTGCACATGTTGAGATCGAGCGACGTCGAAAAAGATCGTTGGCCTTGGCTTTCAAGATTGCGATTGAAAAGGACGATTTGACGATGTGTAAATACTTACATGCCAAGGGGTGCGATCTCGAAACTTATCTCAACGACTGTGCTAACTGTTCACTACTGGTACAAGCCGTAAAACAAAAACGGATCGCGATCATTGAGTGGATGTTGCAGCAAAGGGTCTCAATGACCACGGCAGTGAGTGGCTCCAAGCCCGTTGAGTTAGCAATTCACCTGGTGCTCAAGGACGCCGAATTGGTGGACGTATTGCCGGCCAGTCTAGAGAACTATACCAAAAACGGAGGGAGGCTTCTAGGAGAGACCCCAAACTTGGTTTCAACAGCCGTGCGCAGCAGAAATATCAAGGGATTGGGGCTTCTTATCCAATACGTGAAGGATAATCAGAACTACTGCGGGTCAGTTTTAAAGGTTGAGTTAAGCTGTCATGCACATCGACTAACTTGCACATACAGGAAACTTTGGTCTATACATCCTGATAGAGTTATTTATTCTCTAGTGAACGAGGCTGAAACGTCAACCGGATTGACACCTCTTCACATAGGAGCAAGCTGTGGGGCTCTGGGGGCTGTCCAGGTATTACTAGAGTTCGGAGCTGATATCAACTCTGAGTCTAAGTGGCTCAATACACCGCTGTATCACGCCATCGCTCCTCCATTCAGCGACAGTGACGAAGCCGTTGCTTTGCATCTGATTCAAGGAGGTGCAGATCTCGAAAGGCGCGATGTCTGGTATGAAACTCCAGCCATAACGGCAGCGAAATTCGGGCGCAAACAGACATTGATGGCGCTGGTCAACGCAGATGTTGATATCAATGCATCAAACAACCAATTAGAATCACCAGCGCACTGCACAGCAAAAATGGGCAACGTGGTGGCGTTCGCAGACCTCATGCATCGAGGGGCAGACCCTTGTAGGGTCGATATTGTAGGGTTTTCAGCTTTCCACCACGCGATCGAAGACTCGAAATTTGTCTCGTTCCTACTAAACTCAAATTTTAGTCTTGAAGACTCCGTCTGCTTCCCGTGGCATCTATACCCCGGGAATCAGGCGGCTTGGCTAACGACTGCCTATCCGCTTTTCCGGAAGAGATACGGACTCCAAGCGCTTCAGAAGTTCGCAAATCTTGTGCCCGGCGGCGGTCAAGCACCTCTCTGCAAAGGGGCTAGACTTGGAGCAGTCCTGGTCATGGAAAACCTCCTGTAGCTTGGTGCCCCCATAGACCTCGAAGGTTGTCCTTCTGGCTCAGCCCTGATGGCAGCTTGCGAATTCGGACGAAAAGAATCGGTTGAATACCTCGTTCGTCGCGGGGCCGTACTTTCGTACAATGGAGTCAATGGTTTTCGGTCAGCAATCAAGTCGGCGAAAGGAAATAAAGAAAATTCTGAGGTGGCTGCTGGTCGATCGGTTCATTGATCAACAGAAGCTCACAGACGGTTGCGATGGTATTCCCCACGACGAAACAAATCGCGGACCTTTCTCTTGGGGTGGACCCATCCAGGCTGAGCTGGTGATCAGTGGTCGAATGGAACGACTTTGTCATCAGTCTAGTCGGGAATACTGGTCTTACCTGATGAAGGAGAAGATCAGATGGCGGGGAAAGATTCTGCCTTCGAACACACGCCGACGCACGGTATCTCACTCCAACATCGTTCCACGGGAGATTGTAAGAATCCATACCCAAGGCTACAATTCCAATGGGCATGAGGAGGCCTGGTTTTCGAAGAAGGTGCCGAAGATTCAGTCCGATGGCAGGTGCTGGTATATGTCCTACATACCTTAGACACGCCGTGAGCATGGTTGCGGTATTCCTGTCTGCGCAATGAAATCATTGTTAACGGCATCAATTCTCCGTATCCTTTCCCTACCATGTACTTCTTTGTGTGAAACAAACTCCACAAATTCTTCCTGTATCATGCAATACTACTGTAGAAACATGAGATATCGGTGTCAACATGCTAATCACCGGTATTTTCTCGCGGAGTCGCCTTGAAAATGGTATGGAAAACAAGCTTATGAAGTCATTTTGATGTTCTTGACCCTGGTACTTGCTTGCACCAAGTACCGCCTCCAACAGTTGCCCCACACCGAGTGGCTGCTCCGCGTTGACTTCAGTCGCGACGGACGGTTCAAATGATCGATGATCTCGTTCGAGGCTCGCGAGCATGACATTTCATCCTTCGGGCTCATCGTCTAGGCCAAAATATCGAACGATTGTTTATTGCGGTTGCGGAAGTTGATGTCTCAAAGACCGGAAGATAACCACGTCCCAAAGTCCCTGATACGCGTATTCGGTTGAATAGGAACATCGCACATGGCTTCACGCTTGCGGATCCGAAACCGAGGGTGCTGTACTGCACCGTCACAACATGCGCGACGAGATCTATCGAAAGATTTGAGAAACATGTTGCTACGCAGATGGCGCAGATAAATTGGTTGTATCTGAATGCAACAGCATCCGCAGAGACGACCCCGAGGACTTGCCTAAGCAGCCCCTTGTTATCACGTATCGAACGCGATCATTTAGCGAGATCAGTGCCGCCCGGGATTCGAACCTGGCGCAAGCGAGCCCCACACGGCTAAATTCCCCGTCAACGAATTCTTGTTTCTGTGGCAGCGTGCTTGTGATAGGGGTGAATCTTCTCGACGACCTGCCAAGCCGAGAGATGGAAAAGTGTGCGTCGCAGATGAGGTTTGTGATACGCGGAGTTAGAAAAGCATTAACCGCCCGTCGAGATCGTTTTCTTATCCCCGGTGTGTTGGATCGCAGCGGAGTTGACGTCGAATTCGTCGATCCCCTTTTTTAAACCTCGGCGTCGCTTTCGGGGTGTCGATGCCATCTAATGTCCCGCCAGTGTGGCGGAAATTTGGGGTTCGTCCAGCTTTATGGGACGCGACGAGTGATCTGCGACCCGTTCTTGAACGCAGCCACAGGCAAGAGCTGGCAGACCCGAGAGGGCCAATGGTCAACCCGCCTCCGTCCAATGCTCCGCCATACTTTTCCCCCGCGACGCGAGTAAGGAGCTGTCAGGGCAAGCTTGTGGCACAGTTTCCCAAACCCAGCTCAACGGCGATGAACCCCGCGGTGATCGTAATCCTCGACAGGCTATTCGTTCGTTCCACAGCTGTCATCCAGATGCCGTTCGGTAGTGAAGCGGCGGAGCCATCCCGTCTAGCGCGTATCGACCAATCCAGAGCGAGAGCGAACCCGAGACCGACTCCCTTTCACCGTGCTATGCTGGGCAGCGTGGCATTGCTAGCGACGCATGGACGCTCTCTTCATACCGGCTGCGGGCCGCGACTGCGCGGAGAGGGAACCGTCGCTTTGCTGGCCGTCGGTAATTCGAGTGAAACGCTGCGGGTGGAGTCGAGCTCGCGCGAGCAATGGGCAGAAGCAATGTCAGCGGAACGAGAGACATGGGATGGGGAGGTGTCACTTTGCACATGTTCACCTAGAGATAGGACTTCTTCTAGAACCCGAGCAAAAGGCCATGTTGCCCATGGAGCTCCAGAAGGGCAATCCCCGCCTTTAAGGCTTAGACAGCTGCTTGTCGTACTCGCTCTCGTCTGAAGTCAGGAATAAAACCAGCGCGATGGAACGCCCTACCAGACGGTTTGGGAGCTGAGGCCTCAAGCTCTTTCTCGAACACCCTTTTCACTCTTTTTGTTGCATCTCGGCCTTCAAAGACAATAGACGCATCATGGCGCTCCTCACCTTTAGTCTGGCCAACACGGTCGGCCTGGTATTTGGCCTGGTGAGTTGACTCGGGTACCCGTACCGACGATGATCGTGGTAATCTAACAAACTTTAAACCAGTTCTTCCTTTACACCTTCGGGCACATGTTCTACAACCTCTACATCCACCCACTCCGAAGATTTCCCGGTCCGTTCTGGATGCGCGCAACATGGCTTCCATTCTGTTACAAGCTGTGCACGGGTACTTTGCCCTACGATATGCTCGACCTTCATAGACAGTACGGAACGGTTGTGCGCATCGGCCCCGACGAGCTTGCGTTCCACGACGCCCGCGCATGGAAGGACATCCAGGGTCACCGCTCCAGCGGCGGCTTCGACATGGACAAGTCGCAGAAGTTCTATCGTGCCGTTCCCGGCGCCCCCTCCGATATCGTCAACGCCGGCCGTGAGGAGCACATCGCTCTCCGTCGCTCCCTGGCGCACGGTTTCAGCGAGCGCAGCATGCGTGACCAGCAGCCCATCATCAAACAGTACATCGACCTCCTCTTTCAGAGACTTCACGAGCACTGCGAGAAGGGTGCCAAGGCTCTCGACTTGGCCGCTTGGTACAACTACACCACCTTCGACATCATCGGCGACTTGGCTTTTGGCGAGGCTTTTGGCAGCTTGGACAACTCCGACTACCACCCATGGGTGAAAGCGATTTTCCAGATGGCGCGTGTCGGTACCGTCCTCCAGACCATTACCCACTACCCCTTCCTAGGAACTATCATGATGGCCTTGGTCCCTGAGAGTGTCAAGCGCGAGCAACAAAAACACGAGGACTTCACTACGGCCAAGCTGCAGCGCCGCATGGACATCGGACACGAGCGACCCGATCTTATTGAGGGCTTGTTGAAGAAGAAGGATGACTGGGTAGGTAGCGCTTCTATTGCCATGCTCACGTCATAGCTAACGCCGCAACAGGGCATGACTTTCCCCAAGTTGAGGGCCAACAGCAGTATTCTCATCATTGGTGGTTCCGAGACCACGGCCACCCTCCTTTCCGGCGTCACCTACTTCCTCTTAACCAACCCCGCAGCGATGAAGAAGCTCACCGACGAGGTTCGCTCCGCCTTTAAGGACGAGAGCGAGATCGACTTCCAATCTTCCAGCAACCTTCCCTACCTTCTTGCCTGTTTGGAGGAGGCTCTCCGCATGTACCCTCCTGTGCCCATCGGTCTGCCCCGTATCGTCCCCGCCGGAGGCGCCACCATTTGCGACGAGTTCATTCCCGAGGGAGTAAGTGCATCTCCACGCCGTCCAGAGGCTCTGACTAACCTTTACATAGACCACTGTCTCTGTCTACCAATGGGCCATGTACTACTCTGAGAAGAACTTCGTGGACCCCAGAAGCTACCACCCCGAGAGATGGCTCGGCGATCCCGCGTTCGCCAAGGACAACAAGGACGCTTTCCAGCCCTTCCACATCGGACCCCGCAACTGCATCGGTAGAAAGTGAGTAATCTCTCACGCGCAAGGCCGCTGTGAATACGGTGACTAATACTTATACGCGTTTAGCCTGGCCTACGTCGAGATGCGCATCATCCTCGCACGCATGCTCTACAACTTTGACATGAAGATTGCCGACGACAGCCTCGACTGGGTCGGCAAGCAGAAGATTTACCTGCTCTGGGAGAAGGGCCCCCTCAACGTCTACCTTACTCCCGCCAAGCGCTCTTGAGTGCGCTGTTGCGACACGTCTAGGCACGGCGGATTTTCGAAGCATAATCCAGCGAATACGCGCATGTCGTCGTTTTCGTAATCGATACATGCTTTATTAACGATGTCCGCATTGCGGTGGGTGGGATACACCGAGAGCCCGTACTGAAAGTGGGCATCATCATGAGCGTTTCCTTTATCGGGTCTGGTTTGGAATTCCTAAAGCATCGTACATACGTCTCGAGAACTATAGACCTTAGCATTTCCTAGTAAATTTAAAGCATTCCCCATAAACGAGGTTGTCATCGGGTGTACTTGACGCGCCGGAGGTTTCTTGACAGTCAAGGTTGCAACTCTCACGCCGTGGCCCAATGATAATCATGATCCGCCATCCTTGCTGAGCGGGAATGAAGCAAAGTCTAGAACACCGAGCGGACTTGTCGATTGCCGTCCTAGCTGAGCCTGGTTAAGCGCGCGCCAGCCATGCGGCTTGGGTTAGCAGTCAAGTACGTTAATAATACGGGCTGGTTGTTGCCACATCTTCGGGGTTACGATTGATTCTCTAAGCTCAGAGGTCATCCACTTTAATTACCATGAAACACCGCTCTAATTCGGGCCGTGTGCCTACGTACAGAATCATGAACTCAAAATCAGGTTGGGACTAAGTGGGAATACCTAAGACCGCAAGTTTGTTTCCTGAATGGCATGCGCATTCTAACGAACTCGCAGTTGAGCTTTTTGACCGCCATAGAGTTCTTCCATGGGGTAGGCAGAATATTAAGCAGTAACTCATCCCGCTATCCTCAGCCAAATGAAGGCATTTTTGACCAAAATAAAATCCACTTATGCCTGTCTACGTCCTTTCTTTCGTCCTCTTCCCCGAAGCCTCATAAGTCGTTGCTGGCAGGTTCTGATGTATCATTCCCAACTTCATTCGGTTCGACTTCTCCACCATCCTTGTTTTCGGCCCATTCAGACTTTTTGCAGTCCTCGAGATCGTCCTCTTGCTCTTCCTCGCGAGGGTCCCAATATGATACTTGATCCCATGGTGATGCATCAATAATCTCCTGCAAAACCTCAATGTTCTCATCGATTGACTCGAGCGCTGCTTCTACCATCTGCTCCCGAACCTGAAGCTTGATCGTCTCGTACGTTCGCAGTGAGTCCCATTGCTCCCAGTCCCTCTTTTCACTGATCAGTGACCGCAAGACCGATACAGCTCCATGGCATGTGCCATCTTCGAGATATTGGCGCGTGCGCCGTAGCCTGTTGATGTCAAGTTCCAAGCTTTGGTCTCGAAGCTTCTTGTATAGTATAACAAACGCGTCTTGCTCTGGAGCAGTAGGCCTTCGCCAATATTTCAAACACCATTCTGGCATGCGCAGGACCATGATAAAGTCATCCCACGGTGTCTTACCGAACTCATCCACCTGATATACATTCAAAAGGGGAAGTTGAATGTCTGTCAAATACTGTAATGCTTTAAGCCGGGCCTCCTTTGCTGCTAAGTGTAGCAGGTTCTGTTTCCCAAGGAGATCCGTGACCTGAGCGCCAGCTTCAATGAGACACTTCATCACCTCCGGCTGATCGTTTCGGATTGCGCGCGTCAACGGTCGTTCTTCATCATCGTTCGTCGCGTTGATGTCGGCTCCGGCTTCCAGGAGTAGACGTACTCTGGTCATTGCTCCTTGTCTAGTAAACTCTTCAGAGCTAGAAAGCCCCACGTCGTGCAAAGGAGTGTATCCCCAAAGCGACCGTGTCTTGGCCGAGGCCCCAGCAGAAAGCAACATCTGCATGATAGTCCCTGGGGGGTCTTCCGCTGATTCGCTCCGGGGATCCGCAGCGAAATGCAGTGCCGTGGCTCCAAAAGCCGAAGCGGTGGTAACCGAACATCCTGCATCTATTAGATAACTCACAACGTCAACATGCCCAGTTGTGCAAGCCAACATGAGTGGAGTAACTCCTTTGTAGTCCGGCTGATCAATTTTGCATCCCAGCCGCACAAGTTCTCTCACCGCGAGAAGGTTGCCGTTTTCGGCTGCAAGAGCCAAAGCTGTGCGGCCTTCTCGATTCCATTGGTTGATATTCCAGGGATACTTGTTGACGATTGTTTGAATGTTTTGTCTGATTTTGGTAGGTTCTTCCGCATCAACAGCTTCATGAAGTTGAGTTTGTGGTGCATCAACGAGGTCCTCGCCATACGAGGTAATAAGTCGAAGAGCCTCTGCCTTTTCGGCTGGACAATTTTGTCTCCGTAATTCTTGGTTGGCGGCAAAAAGCCAATTTCTAAGAAGCCGCTAGACGTCAGCTGCATAGATAGGTCAAGACATATGTGAAATACTCACCGATGATAGGTGTCTTTTTGTAAGTGCTCAGCCCAGAATTCTACCATAAACCCCAACGTGTCGGCAGTTCCCCAATCAATAGCGTACTATAGAAACGGTCTTATGTTAGGTATGCAAGGTCAAGACCCAGAGTTTAGGTGCTCACCATGATGACGTCCCGCCCCGTACTATCCCGATCGTCTGGATACAGGGGACCATATACAAGCATGGAATCCCTGACTGCCACTCTGTCGTGCCTTTCTATGGCTAAGAGGGTTGTAGTAATCATGGGCCCCGCTCTCACTGACCGCAAAGAGCAGCGTAGTCCGCGGAAGCTATCTATACGAGCCTGAACCAAGACAAATTGTGCGCAAAGCCAAGTGGGCAATTGATAGTCGAAGGTCGCCGAGGTGGCTGTGTTTCCTTTGCAAGTAGACTCGGTACACTCACTACTGCTTGTTAGCAGTATCCGCTGGTCATATGTCACAGATAAAGAGCCTGCCAGATTTCTTATCCAACTAGGATATCTGGCTGAGATGGGACGAGAGTCAGAGGCGTGACAGCGGCATTGGCAAGTTTGTGAACACCTCTTGGCACTCGAAAGACTTGTCTTCAAAACAACCATGTCGATTTCATTTGATACCCTGTTTGTCAATGACTGTCTACTTGCAGCTATTAGCGACAGCTGTTTTATGTTTGTTTCGACTTGTTGTCCAGGGACTGTGACGAGCTGCTGGCTTAGCTGGCTACCAAAAGCAGAAGCGGCGGACGAGGTGACCTTCTCTTTCGAAGTTGCCGCATCAAGGGCTTCAGCACATCGTGAGTCATGATGGCGGGCTGGTCGCAAAGCGAGCTTCTCAATGTGTAGCGCTACCTGTGATAGTTTCCTTCCATACCAATCGTTAGTTCGTTTGGACACGGGCTTGGATGTCAAGTGAGCGGCAACACATACATCGTGGTCTTCAAATTCATCGTAGCCAAAGCAAGCTGAAAGGCTGCCCTGGCATCATGAGCCTTGTCGCGGCACCGCTGTAGCTCCTTTTGCATCAAAAACCATCTCGTCTTTTTGGGCTTGATCTTGCCATTTTGCCCAATCTGGGTGCATATTAGACGGACTTCTTCGAGCTTGTTTGCAATATCGGTGATTTGGTTCCTGGCTATCCGGAGGTCCGGACCTTCGATGTCATTGTCGTGGATGATCATTCCTTGCGTGTTGGCGGCCTCCACAGCAGCTCGAAGACTTTCGATCTGTGCGACACGCATTCCGCATTAGTCACAATGGTTTCAAAGAGTGCCTTTGTAACAGAACACGCTCGAACGAATCTTTGGACTTGCCTCATTGTTGAGCGATGCTAGCTCGTTGCCGATTTTCGGGATCTCTTGAAGCAGGTTTATCACATGGCGACCTGCCAACAACGCTTGGCCGATAGCGATGAAGCTAGCAGCAATGCCTACGACCTCCATTTTCGAAGCAATTCGCTAATGACTTGATAGTCTCGGGGATCAGAGATATTCCTTTCGAGTTTGCGGGGTCGAAGAACTTGTCGGAAATCCGAGTCGACGACCAGCCAGAACCTCAGCCTGATCCGACACATGCTACCCGACCCCGCCGCTTCCATCGTCTGACTGTGCATAACCAGTACCAATCATGTTGGCTGAAGTCGCATGCAACGTGTTCGTCTATTACAAATGGACATGGCATTGGTGGCACATTCTAGCTGCCTTATCTAGTGGATGTGCATTGCCATGGAATCCTACTGGTTTGCTTAGCCAAGCCATTCGTCAAGCCACCGCACCAGGACCAACCGGTACACCAGTTGCTGGCGTTCAATCTTCATCAAGTGAGGACTGCTGTGTCCCATGGATTGGAAATTTACAAGCCACAAGCACTCACCAATATCTCTACGTGCGACTTCTCTAACGATCCACTACTGTTGTCCCCCACCCAGCAACTGAACCCGTCCAAGCTTGAAAAACTCAACCCTATCGCGACCCGCTTCAACTCCACAGACACGCAATCAACATCCCATTCCCAATGAATGAAATTGCACCCGCCCCCATGCATCTACCACATCTCACGATGCGCTCAACAGTGCAACAAGCCCTGATGGTCTAGCGGTATGATTCTCCCTTAGGGTTGTCTTTAAGACTCCTCCATTCTGGGAGAGGTCCCAGGTTCGATCCCTGGTTAGGGCCCATTTGTTTTTGTTTTGTCTTTGAAGTTCCAAATTTTGACTCTCGCCGATCGGGAGACCCATTGCAAGTCAGTAGCAACTGCAATATCACTGACCTGTTTCGACAATTACAGATACTTGTTGTCTCCAGCCTGGCTTTGATTGACTGTTATGTCAGCATGCACTTAGGGCGTGGTTTTGTCGTTGGCATACATCGCCCTGCGCCCTATTACATACACATCATCAATCAGCACGCCTTACGCCCTTCCCCATCCACTAAGGGCTAACCTTAGTCAAAGTTGGGATGTTGGGTGTCGTGATTGAAGTTTAGTCTTCATAAATTACACGACTGCATAAGTGAAAGCAAGCTTCGACTTTCTAACTATCTTTTGCAGGTGAAGTAGCCTAACTCCAGAACGCGACCATGCCCGAGCCACAGATCATTCGTTGGGGCATCATTGCCACTGGAGGCATCGCAAAAGCATTGTGAGCCAGTTTCTGCAGACTGGATGATGAATAGCATGCTAATCTTCTCTAACAGCGGAAAGGATCTTTCGGTCGACCCCTCCACGCGCAATGTGAAGGACATTCGCCATGAACTGGTTGCTGCCGCATCTTCGTCGTCAAAATCGAGGGCGGAATCATTTTTAAGAGAATGCGGTGCGCCAGAGCACGCAATCGCCTACTCGTCTTATTCAGAGCTCGCTCAGGATCCGAGGGTCGATGTAATCTACATCGCGACGCCCCATTCGCACCACTACCAGAACGCCATGATGTGTTTGGAGGCCGGAAAGAACGTCCTCTGTGAGAAGGCGTTCACAGTCAACGCCAAGCAAGCTCGAGCTTTGGCCGCAAAGGCCAAGGAGAAGAACCTCCTCCTGATGGAAGGGATGTGGACGCGGTACTTCCCTTTGTCCATCTACGTTCGCGAGTTGGTCACTTCGGGCCGACTTGGACCAGTTGAACGCGTCTTGGCCGAACACAGCCTACCTTACGCAGGGCTGTTCGATAATGATGATCACATCATGATCAACCCTCGTCTTGCCGGTGGAATCCTTCTAGACGGAGGGATCTACAGTTTGACTTGGGCTTTCCAGACGCTGTACCACACGCAGCCGGCCAATTCTAGACAGCGGCCTATCGTCAACAGCGCCGCTGCCAAGTATGCCCCCACAGGTGTTGACGCGATGACGACTATTCTTCTGGAGTTTCCTCGGAGCCAAGAGAACGGTGGCACGGCACATGCAGTTGCCTCAACGTCTTTGGGGTTGTCTAACGACGCTGTAGCAGGCGCAAACGATGTGATCGTGCCCAATATTCGGATTCAAGGTCCTAAGGGAGAAATCCAAGTGTTTCCCCCTGCCTACAGACCCACTCGCACGAGGCTTGTTCTGAAAGATGGCACGATAGAAGACAAGCAATGGCCGCAACCGGGACCGGGAGTTGGCAGCGGATGGTACAACGGGTATGGCTTAACGACTCACCCGGAGGGCGAAGGTCACGGTCTCTTTTGGGAAGCTGATGATGCCGGAAGGGCTCTAATCGAAGGAAGAAGTGAAGGAAGCTTTGTAGGGCTTGATGAAAGCATCTTGATTATGGAAATTATGGACGAAGTCCGGGATTCCGCTGGTCTGAGGTATCCTGAGGAGATTGAAACCACCAATTTTCCTACTCAGATCTAAGTGGCATTCATTGATCGATATTGAGAACTACAAGTTTAGTCGGTACATCTTTTGGGATTGGAATCATGCATAAGCACATTTTCAAGTTGTGACGGGACCACCTTTGCTGTCCGTATGCTCAGGTATGCTGAGCCTACATCAGACCTCGCGGAAGCTTTGCGGCTTAATTTAGGCAAACCGGGCTTTCTGGCCGCAAGGGGCGTTTGTGCACGACGAATGGAGCTCACCATCATCTCACATAGCTCGCAGTTGTTTGTTGTCTGTCGAGCGCACACTCCACTTTCAGATCCATGAACTCCAGCATCCCCTGACTGCGTAATCACACTGTAAGGTAGTCCGTCATGGCACCACTCGAACGGGATCCTCTCATTTCCATTCATCCTAAGCGAGTTTGTACGAGCAGAACACATGCAGGGCAGGAGAAATCCACAAGTGGCTTCTTAGCTGAAGGAACTAAGACTTGATAGTCAAGAAGTACCTTAGTCAAGAAATATCTCAGACTCAAAACAAGGCACGTACAACATCCGGCGCACCCAGCCAAACCTCCTCACACCACTGCAAGGTTACATGGCGACGTGCATCGCCAAAACTTCACGACATGCAGTGTGAGTATACGTAACGTAAGGAGGCACACTATCCCTCGAACATGTGCACAAAACAGTTCGAAGAGATATTCGTTGCAATCAGTATATCAGCTATCATTCACCCAGCCTTAAGCTTCCCTAGTTTCAGTGCTGTCACCTCTGTCTGCCTAGCCATCGCCGCATTCGGCATCATTGATCACTTCGGGAAACCATGTTCATCCATCTTTCTATTCTATTTGTGTGGCTTCTATATGTCGCAGAGGCTTTCCAAGACAACGCTCAAAGTCACACCTTTGGTCATTTCAGTACTTCGTCAAGCCCGGCCCCGCACCCGACCTGCCAGGATGGGTTAGGCTTCTGTAGCTCGTCAGAGTGGTTCCCTAGCCAGAACATCACCCAAGTAGGGCGGTGGCTTCTCGAAATTTCTGACGAGTTAGCAGATATCTCAACCTCCAGGAACGACGATCTCCGCCACAGCTGAGACCGCGCGGCGAAATGAAACACTGCATTCGACAAACGGCATTTCCTCTGCCACTTTGTCACCAATCAGCATTTCTAAAGGGCCTATCTGGAGCAACAGCACAAATTCATCAACTTCCCAGACTCTCTCGTCGTCGAAACCCGTTGAGAATCACTCAAGAGGTAATCGGACATTATCTGCCTCGACAAAGATCACCTGAATCGGAAGTTCCAGCGTCGGCATCAGCAGAACATTGGCCTCAAAAGACTCGGCCTCCAGTCGAATATTGAGGACAAGTAGTCTGATTCACACCTTCTCGATACCTCGTAGCAGTCAAACGCCTCCATCATCTCCGACCGCCACTCAAAACAACACCGCTTCCTCTCTGCTTCAAACTTCGAATACCGAAGTGCCTGGAAGCAAGTGGACCGTTCCTTGGGTTGACCCTCCCACTACAACTTCATCCTCGGCGCATTGGACAGATAAAGCTGAATCTACAATCACCACAACACCCCCCGGAGCATCCTTTCTGACTCTTTCCGACCTCACCGTTACAACGCCGATTATTATCACCACAACGCTACCCGGTAGCACCGAAGCAACGATTGTGCCAGGTGAGATGAATCCGCCGCCCTTTGGCCAATGCATGTTTGATTGCCTAATGCTTCGCAGTCATTGTCAAGAAAGAGAAAAAGACGAAAGAAGGCGGCGGAGACGACAATGATTTCATCTTAATCCCATTCATATGTCTCGGGTGCTTTCCTGGAGGATTTCCTCCCAAGATCAGCATAGAGTTCAAGCTGCCTGAGTTCTGTATCAAGATTTTGTGGTTCGAGGTCGGGAATTGCCCTAGTGACGATGGCAAGAAAGGGGGAGAAGACGGCGGCGGAGACAAAGGGGGAGACGACAGCAACGACGATGACGACGATGACGACGACGATGATGATGATGACGAAGACAAGTCATCCTCAGAATCCTCAGCGTCATCTTCAACATCGAGCTCTTCTTGCACAGACATCGTCACTGCGACCCACCGGACAGTGTATTGCTCTGTAACCCAAGGTCAGTCATCGCTCTGGTTTCCCCAAAATTTCAGTCTGTTGGAATAGTACGCTGATGCATTTTCATCTCCCAGACATTCGCGGAGGCGAGAACGCAAAGGCAACTGCCGTTACTACGTGTCTCAGCAGTATCCAGACCGAGATTACGGGCTGCAGCGTGCTCAACTCGGTCACCACAGTAACCACGACAAGGACTGGCAGCGAAAAGCCATACCCGACATGCGGCCCGGATGTTTGCGGTGAGGACTGTCCGGCGCCAGGTGCGACATCTACCAGCAACCCAACCTCCACTAGCCAACCACCTCTACCGCTCCTGAAACGAGGCGATCCTGCTAATGGCGAATGGCGTGGCCCTGAAGACTACCAACTTGGTTACGACGAGTTTATGCCAGAGCAGATCAGGGAAGCTCGCAACGCCGCGACGGACCCTAACCCAGGCCCTGGCGGCTACAAACCTAAGCTTTTGAGAGTTCCGCCCTCCCATATGGACCCAGTCCACAATTTCAAAGTCTCGACTCAATGGGTATCTTTCAAAGACAATGTGGAGACATTAGCCATTGAGGGACTTTGGGGCTGTACGGCAGTGGTTGTTGTCTCTAATAGAGGTGCTTGGGTAAGCTACTTTTCGGAGACATTGATGGGAAGAAACAACCTGAATGATTTCAGGTCCGCGCTCGCTGACCATCGTCTCGGGTCTGGTGAGGGTGATCCAATGCGAAAGTGGAATGAGTACGGTATCGAAAACCTTATGAACGACCCAGGGGCCGGGGACCATGGGGTGATTTTCGGCGATGAGAACAATGATGACGAAAACATTGCGAGCCTCAACATACAGGCCTTCATCATCACGCCACGCCCGAGATGTAGCTACTACAACGACGACGGTAGTCCACGGACAGATCGCTTTCTTCAGAATCCCAATCACTTCAATATGCAGATATTATATCCACTCCACGTCGACTGGATCAGACAAGACTTGGACAGTGTGTTCCAGAACAGGCTTACACATTGGGTTACAACTCTTGACTATCCTACACCAATGCTTCTCTGGTCAGATTGGAAGGGATACCAGCAGAATCACTTGACACTTCAGGATACAGTCAACATACTGAAGGATGTTAACTGTGAAAAGGCCCGCGGGAAAACAATTGTTCAGTACAAACCAGCAGAGTCATGTAATGGAAGGGCTGAATGGCGTATCTTCTCAGATACCATGAGGCAACAGGGTGAATCCCGGTGGGTTCCAGAAGATGGTCAGGTATGGAAAGGTGGAAGGGCTGCTGACGAAATGGATTTGGATCCCGACCAACCGGGCCTTGCCCGCAGAAAGGTCTGCCCACGTCCTAGCCTGACTACCTCCTCATGTTCCGTCACTGTCACTGCCACGCATCAGACAGTGTTTTGTTCCGTATCTAAAGGTAAGTTCGGAGAGACTTCTTGCATCAAAACAAGAGCATTCACTGACTTATTTATCCCAGCCGTGGCTGTTGGAAATGCCACCCAAACGACAGCTACGACAACATGCTTGAGCAGCGCATACACCACCGTCACAGGTTGTAGCGTCGCCAACTCAGTCGTCACAACCACAGTCGCAACCACGCAGACCTCCAGCGCAAGGGCTTTACCTACATGCGGGCCAGATTCCTGCGGTAGTTGCCAGCCGTTGCACTTGATACCACCACAAGAGCCGCCACAAGAGTCTTCCGATGAACCCATGCAGCAAAGTGTTCCTCGGCCGCTTGCGAAACGGGGGGATACAGCCTACGGCTTCTGGCAAGACATTCACGATTCTCACAGTGGCTATCGCCAATAGATGCCGGCGCAAATTCGACAAGCACGTTTGGCGTCGCAAAATCCCTTCCCAGCAGAACCAGGAGCATTCAGGCCCACACTTCTTAAGGCAATGCCTGAAGGATTTGACTTGCCGGTATCCACGAAATTTGTGCTTTTCAAAGACAAGCCCGAGACTCTCGCCATCGAAGGACTCTGGGGCAGCACAGTCATTCTTGTGGTATCCAATCGAGGTGCCTGGGCCGCTTACTTTTGGGAAAGAACGATGTACGATGAACAAGAAATGACACGAGCTCTAGACGAGTGGCGACATGGTACTGGAGAAGACGAAGAAATGTTTCAGTACAACGAACGTGGCCTCGACCAGCTGACCGATTATGAGCGGGATGGAGACGTGGGTGTTATGTTTGGCAACCCGGCAGACGAAGATGTTGACCATTTGAACATCAAGGCCTTCATCTTCGCGCCTCGACGCAAGCCGGTATATCGAAACCCCGACGGCTCGTCAACAGGTGATCTCAGCAATGAACACTTCGCAGCGGGCGCTGTAGATCCCGACTTTGAGGATAGCGTGGAACTCATTATCAGACCTTCAAAGAAAGTTTAACGGCGAAATCGAGATTAATATCGTCGACTATCCCAGACCAACGCTTACACTCGCGGACTACGATTGGTGGATGGGTCTCCCTGACGATGTGGCAATGTCCGATCGGTTTCTTGTTCCTGTCATCAAGACCCTAATGGACGATGTCTGTAGGGTTCATCGAGGCAAGGTGATTCTCCAGTATCAGCCCTCGAGATTCGCCTGCCAAGGTCTTACAGCGAAGTGGAGAGTATTTGCGGATGTCTATGGACAGGTTTCGATGGGGGAATGGCTGCCAGAAGAGGGTCAACGCTGGCAAGGCGCAGACCCGCCAGCTGAGGGGGGAGCGGCTCAAAAGAGACAAGTCTGCTCCATGCCGACGATCATGTCTTCGTCCAACGCTTCTATAATGACTACCACGTCCAGAAGTGTGCAAGGGGGGTCTGTGACACCTTTTCCGTCAAGTTCACGATTGTCGCCGAACGGTACTTGGTCATTTACTTTGCCAGCCAACACGTCAATCCCGATGACAAGACTGCTCTCAACAAGCTTCAGCTCACTTTCAACGATAAAATCGAACACAACATCAACACCACGTTCCAGCACACTCTCGATCAACAGCACTCTGTTTTCTTCGATCACATCAAATGCGACATCTATAACACGGTCCAGTACACCCTCGATGAACAGTACTGCACTTTCCACCATGATATCGAACACGACCACAGTTCCACGGCTCGGCACAACGTTGTTGAACGGCACTTCTTCGTCTGTGATATCGATCAAAACAACATCCAAGATGGTGACAAGCAAGCCCTCGTCGACAACGTCAACAACATCCTCATCCACTCCCAAGAAAACAACGACACCAATTCCTGAGAAGTTCAGATGCCTAATGGATCAAGACTGCCCTGAGTGCGGAGGAGACAAAGCCAAGCAATGTACACTGATTGTGATGCCAGGCATAGATCTGACCAAAGACAGCAAACCCTTCCTGTGCGCTTGTCTTCCCAAGAGTCTGAGCAAATCTCCAACGCCTACTCCACCTGCAAAAACAACCTCGGCACCTCCAGTTCAGTGGACTGGGTCCTGCAATGAGAAAGGTGGGAGATTCGAGAAAGACAGGGCCAAAGAGATTGTTGAAAAGTTCTGCGAAGTCGCGTTCGAAAATGAGTGGAGCGACGAGTGGTTCGCTGAGAACAGCAGGACCACCTTCAACAAGGACATCATATTTTATAGCGAACATGACCAACAGGTGTGGAGAGAAGATTTCGAGTTCGTCATCAAGGTCAGCATTCAGTCGCACAAACAGAATGAACCGCAAGGCGAAGGCTCGGACCTCAATAAAGCCTTGAAAAGGCTCCGAAAGGACGTTTCCGTCTGCGAGGAGGAGTTTGGTCATCTGATCAAAGATTGTAAGTTGAGGCCTCATTACCCAACCTCCATTGATACTCACAGTCTACTAACATAATACAAGGTGAATGGGTTGGGAAAGGCCCCAACCGTCTGTCTCTTCCCGCGGGAGGAAGTCGCTCTAGCCTATGCATGGTATGGGAGCTATATGCAGATATAGATGATTGAGGACAGGTGGTTTAAGACTGACTTACAAGAGAAGCGCCGTATTTAAGTGGTCTGTCAATAAATGCTTTGCTTCTTCTTTCCGCATAGTTTTCGTTCATCTCTTCTTCACCTTTTAGCCTTTGCAAGTCGAAAAAGAGCGACTTAATTCATTCTCGAAGATGGCATCGTTTGGAGGAATTGAGATATTAGTCCTTATTAATATGCCTGATAAAATGTTTTTGAGCCTGGTAATCCGCGCAAACGCGGTTGTGAAAATCCAACGTGTTGTTCAGAAGTGGTTCAATGTTACTTGACGCGATTCTTTTATTCGACGACGTCGCTAAATACAATCGGCGCTGAACACACTTATGAAAGGGCGCACTGCTTCTTACAGCGAGAAGCCCAAACCGCCAGTCACCATTACAACGGCTGCAGTCTGTCCCTTTCAACTCCACGTGGTTATGTCACGTAGTTCAGTGACTTACGTAAACCCGCTGGTTATTTCGATTCTGGGGAACGTGATCTATCCCACCGGGGAAGCTTACTGAGTAAGAAGAATCCCCGAGATTAGAATCCGCTGGGCTTGAAGCTTGATGATAATCAAATCGATCCAATCAATCGGCAGGGACTAAAAACAAGCGGTGACCGTGAGATCCAAGGCAATGGCACCTCACAGGGATCAGCTTGCCGGCTCACATGTAAACAGATGAACTGCATGCTGATCGAGGAAAGATAAGACGAGCAGAATACATTCACGTAACGAGAAGAAGCGCTCGCGACTCATGAAGGCCTTCCACAATCAGCTAGATCCACTTGCCATACAGCGGCCCGCTCAGCATGCAATGTCGGCACTCGATGAAAGCTGGAGACACAAGCTTTTTGACACTGACCACCTGGTATGATGAGCTAGGACTTATAATTGGATTGAAATGAGAGGCAGGTAGATCGTGAGTGGGAATCCGTGAGTATTCACCCAACCCAAGCCATGCTGAGGTGATTGGGCATCCAAAAATCGCGACTGATCGTTTAGGTCAGTGAGTCGGACCCCTCATTACTCCCCGCGTTGATATGGAGATCGATACATGTTCAGCTTAGTTCAGCCGGGGTAGCCATGTCGCTGTGCGCAGTCGCTGCCAAGCCCTGACTCGCGATGGAGACAACCGATAACACATGGGCCCCTATCAAAGGCGCGCCCATTTCATAACTGAACGGTCGCCCTCTTCCCCGCGAAGTCGCGTTTTGTTTGCCAGCGTTGTCATTTTCTCATAAAAGCATTCCTTATTGCAAAATGACGCCGGGACGACAAGTGCAAACGACCATCAACTACTTTGATGACCCTGGGGTGCCTTTGGTGCCCATGATCATTGGAGGGTAAGACAGCAAATGCCAAATGAAACTTTATTGAGGCTAACTCGGCACGATAAGTCCGACTCCTGGAAAGCCCCAGCCCAAGGTTGCCATCCCTACAACCATCACCGATGTCACCGGGAAGGAGGACGAGTTCACGCTTGATGTCCAAGGCTTTCACTATGTGAAGCACGAAAGTCAAGTAACCAACTGGGATGACGATGAGGAGATCAAGCGAGTGAACTATCCTGAGATGGAGAAGCTATGCTGGAAAGTGCTGCAGGAGACCGATGACCTGTAAGCCATGCTCCTTTGCCTGACCCTGTCAATGTCGGTGTTGCATGTATTAAGCTTTCGGCTCACACATCTAGCCCCAAACCCTCCGAGGTGCACATCTTGACGCACATCATCCGCCGCGGTCCCAAGGATAACGAGGGTCCTAAGGGCCCGGCACCGCTGTACGGTGTCCATGTCGACCAGTCGTTTAATGCAGCTGAGGGAGTCGCCCAAAGATGGCTTGGCGACAGAGCCGCAGACCTTCTCAAGAAGCCGCGTTACCAAATCATCAACGTAAGACCAATCCCAAACCGGCTTGCCTATCTTGGACTAACAGGAAGCAGATGTGGCGCCCAATTCGTCCCATCACTCGGGATCCTTTCGCCGTCTCTGACGCGCGGTCCATCCCCGACTCAGACCTGGTCTTCGTGCCCGTGCGCTTCCCGGATCACGATACGGAGGCTGTTGAGGTGCGGCCGCCGACGGACTCTCCTCACAAGTGGTACTTCAAGGACAAGCAACACACCGATGATGTGCTCTTCTTCAAGCAGGTTGACTCGAGCAAGAAGCCTGGAGTTCCTAGGAGAGTTCCTCACTGCGCATTCAAGGACACTGAGCTTCCCGAAGGAGAGGGAGAACCGAGAGTGAGTATCGAGGTTAGAGCGTTTGTGTTTTACGACGAAGAATGATAAACGAGAACGAAGAATTCCAACAAACACCTTGAAAGGGGCATTGTTCCAAGCTCCAGTGCCTCAAGTCCATCGACCTGTCTCAAAGCAAGCCAGAGACTTGGCCTCTTGACCAGGGGATGTAAAACCAACAAGCGAAATAAGGTGAATGTGATTAGCCCGCGTATATCTGCTGCGTCAATAGTCGTCCCACTTGGCGTCCGGTTCCGGCAACCCTAGGACACTATGAGCTTGAGATGAGATGGACTTATCCGCGCCGCTCACGTCGCACGATGTAAAATGACAACACAGCTCTTGAAGAGTTATTTTGCAATCGCGTAAATGTGTCCTGATTGCTGGCGCGGTTTGCGTGTGAGTTGTCTGACGTGCCGCGCCCAGGCATGGATCCGCTCTTACCAACAACTTCGTCAAAAGTGGAAGTAGTACTAGGTTCCTGCTCATACCAGAAGAGTATAATGCACTCCTTGAAGGTATAAGTATTGCTTAGCCTTGTAAACAAGTAAAACGGCCTTACGAATCGTGAGGAAGTCGAATTAAAATCGATTCAATATCTGGGGCAAGCTCTCTTTCACGGGGCACCTGGCCGATGCCGCGGGCAACAAACACTCGGTAGTTGTAGTACATCTAAGTTATGGCATATCGTGGCGCCTTGTTTGTATTATGGCTATGCACTCTAACAAATTCCATCTTTCTCCGTAGCTCATCGTTCTCCTCCATCCCCGGCTGGAGGCACCCCCTACGCGCTACACATCAATCATGCGGTTGGATTATTTTGGTCAAGAGCATAACCCAAGAATGCAAGCTGCAGACCGTCTACTCGTCATCGTTGATGTCGATGACGGTCTTCTTCCACTGGCGGGCAGGGATCTTGCGCTTGAACATGATGTCGATCTCGCGAACGGAGCGTCCCTTCATCTCAGGGATGTAGAAGTATGCAAGGACGAAACAGACGAAACCGGTGGCACCCCAGACGTAACCGCACCTGCCGCCCAAGTCGACACCCTATTTTTATCATTAGTACGCTGCGGTACTTCGGGAAGAGGAGGGAGTAAGCTTACGGTCGTGTTAAGCATGTAAGTTGAGAGGAAGATGCAAGGAATGTTCACAACATAGTAAGCGGCACGTCCAATACCGGTCGTCAAGGGACGGAGGCGAATAGCCGATGTCTCCGCGATGATGACCCAGGAGGCGGGAGCAGGACCCAGTGTGAAACCGACAGACACGATGAGACCGAGAGATGCCATCGCCAAAGATGACGCATCAGAGCGCTCAAAGGATCCGGCAATACCAAGCGCAACCAGGAAGACGACATTAATCAAAGAGCCCCAGACGTAGATAGTTCGGCGGCCGAGGTAAGTCGTCAGAATCCAGGAAAGCATGACGAAAATGGTTTGCAGAGCGGAAGTGATAAGACCCAGAGCGAAGGCAAGTTGAGAGCCGATACCGGCCTCTGCTCACACGTCAGTGTAAATTTTCATCGTTAAAGAAATTCAAAGTAACTCACGTCTGAAGAAGTAAACGGCTTGATTGGCAATAAGGTTACCCGTAAGGTTCTGCGCCGCATAGACACCACAAACAATGAGGGTGCGGTATGTGTCAACGCCTCGGAACAGCTCCAGATAGGTAGGGTCTTTGACGGTCTTCTCGAGGTCAATAGTGCGGCGCATCATGGCAATGGATTCTTCGGCATTGGTGCCCGAAGCACGACCCAGGCGTCGAACCGACTTCGCAGCTTCTTCGAGGCGTCCCTTACGAACCAACCACCAAGGTGACTCCGGGGCAATGAAGAGGAGGATAGCGAGAGGGGTGGGGAACATCCATTGAAGGGCAATCGGGACCCTGGGTTGGTTTTGTTCAGCAGACGGATTTAATCAAGAGAGTAAAAGAGGTACGAACCTGTAGGCACTGGGGTCCATCTTGCTCTCGTAGACGTAGCAAACACCACCCACGATAATGGCGCCAATAGCCCAGAACATCTGCAGCATCTGGGTCGCAGGGGCTCTCAGTCTCATGGGGACGATCTCACTGCAGTACGCAGGGGCGTTGGCGATGAAAATGCCCCAGGGGACACCCTCCAGAAGCTGGCTGACAAACATGACAGCGAGCGAGTTGGCGAAGTAGAAAACAAAGATGAAGGCGTTCAAGAACATGAGACCAGTGATTGTGGCCCAGCGGTATCCGATCTTGCTGGTGATGGGACCGGCGATGCAGACACCAATGATGGCGCCAAGAGGACCGCCCATCTGGAGCGCAGACTGCCACGATGCCTCGATCTGCCATTCACCATCCTTGTCTTTGACACCGAATGTTTGCTTGAACTCGTCCATGGCGACGAAAGCGCCCATGAGGAAGACGCAGTAGGACTCCATAATCTATCCGTGATTGTCAGCTGCAGCTCCCCAAAAGCGGACGCGTGGATAGAAGGTCGGGTAGCTTACAATGGTCGTGGACATGATGAAAGCCCACATGGAGGCCATGGGGTAGAGCTTCACGGCCTCCAACACTCCCATGTTGAACTCCGCCTGCTCGGCCTCAATGGCGTCCGCCTTGTAGTCCGCGGGCTTCGACTTCTCGTCGAGATCGGCGCCATGGTTGATCTCGTCGGCATAAGCCTCAATCTTGGCGGGATCGCCGCTGGGCGACTTGGAGTCGACGGTGTTGCTCATGTTGGAGATCGGAGGTGTTGGTTGGCCGGGTCTGAGGAGAGAGAGCAGAAGAGGAGAGGGAAGAAAGGGAGCTGGCGATGGGCAACCTGTTATTAAAGGTCTTGTCTCACTCGTCCATGTCCAGTCCCCTCGCTTACCCAGACCAGTCTTCTTCCCAGCCAATACAGACGAGGCAACTGGGATGTCAATCCCACACGCGCAATCTGGGCAACCCCAAAATCCCCAGCGCCGCTAGCCCCGGCTCCCCGCAATGCCCAAAACGTCCCACAAAACCCCAGAGTGTCACCCGCCTTTTTCTAGCGCCGGATATCGGGTCTTGATACAACGAGCTCGGTGGAGAAATCTGTTGTGCGGCGACGCGCTCCAATGGGGACGGCGTCAGGGGGTTGAAAGCGGCGCAGCCCGTCGATTGGTTCGTCGCGTCGTATTAATGCGCGGGCACATTACTGGCCCGGCAACTCCAACTTCATAAAGGGCCGAGTTGGGGTAAATCGCGGGGGTGTTGTCGGCCCTGGATGGCCCGCGTGTTGGAACAATGGCAGCTCTCACTGCCATGTGACCCGCGACTAATTACTGCTGAGTCTGTTCTTATTCACTGCTAGGACGCAAATGGCAGCTAATCCCGTCCCTAGGGACATGCAGACAGGGGGATCCCGTTCCCAGGAATGAAGAGCGTAGGACAATCCTGTTCCCATGAACATGAAGGAGGGGTAGGGTTCCTGTCCCCCGGATTCAGGTCGCTGGAACTAGTGCCCTTCCTGGGAACGAGGAGGACGGGTGAAATCTAGAAAACGCGAAAGCTGCTGGGCCGCATGGCTTTTAACAGCTCGCACAGAAGGTCATTGTTGGTCCACATGCGCTCCGGCAATCGGTCGATCTCGGTCCGACAACTTCACGACTCAGCACTGTTGGTAGAGAGAACACACCACATGGCAAGCCAAGGGTGGCATTGCAGATGTCAGATGCTTGTGTGGGCTCGGCGTGCGTCGTTTTAGCCGCGTTCATGGAAGCTTGTCATGTTTCATTTGTTGTTTTGAGACAACAAGTTCCAATTGCCTGTTTACCTACCTACCTACAGAGACCAGCCACGATAGAGGGTCTGTTGAAAAGAAATTTGGACGTACCTATACCTGTGTGGTTTCCAGCGCTTTGGGACGAATGTCGTAGCGTGAAGTAACTCACTCAACTCACCTTTTTCCTACAACCCTTCCAACTGTAGTCTTTTGAAAAACTGTTTGGAACCTTCCACTTCACCAGCTTCTGACATTTTATCAACCTCCTCCAGTGACGTCTCATCTTCCCGTATCCATCGGGACCTCAAACGAAGTTTATCAATAAACTCGTTCCATCCCGGTTGCCGTGATGTTGTTGACAACGAGAAGTCCTTCGAGTAGGACATTTTTTCGCAAGTGATGTTTCTCCAACCGTCCGATATTCCTGAAGCCTCTCGAAGGATGTACTTGGTTTGGAAGTATGCCGCATCGTTGAATGGAAACCCGTCAGCCATAGTCGAAGACGCGCGGAGGATCCTTGTCAGATCAGTTAGATACGTTCTGCTCGACAAAAGCCACTGGTTCTCAGATGTGATGCAGGTTCGCGAACCAAGATATCCTCCGTGTCCATGTAACACCAAGTTTTGGATCTTGCAAATCCACGTTGGCGTTGACGGTGGACAATTGCACGATTCCTTCTTCAGGCAAAGGACAATGTAATCGACGGACCAGCTGATCCGGAAGTATTTTCGAGGGGGGCTGTCGTCTGACACTTCAGAGTCAATATCTATGTCGGTGCTGAACGACTCACTGATCCGAGTCTTAGGGCGAATCCGTTGAGCCACGAACGCTGACTCATGATTAATGGCCGTGTCGATCAGCTCGTAGTACCGCCGCGATGATTCGTGAACATGCAACCTCCAAGAATTCCGTCGGTTGCGCATATGAGTTCCATCCCTCAATGACCCAAAGGAGAATCTGTCGACGGCTGTTGAAGAACTCCCCTCACGAAGATCGAATTTTCGCGGTTCCAGGTAGAACTCTGTCCACACCATACACCGAATCTCCGGAGGGAGAGACCTGAAGTAGGTGAAAGAAGTAAGCGTCTTTGAAGAGTCCATGGTTGGTGGAGCTTGGGATACCGAAATAGCCATTATGAGATTAACAATCGCAGATTATTTGGTGTCGATAAATCTCAAGACACGCATGGAAGACTGAAAGCTTTTATAGCCCCATTTCTTTTTCACAAGTTCCCACAAAGTCCAACAAGCTTTGGTACATCTATGGACACCGGCAAAGTACATCACCTTGAAGGTCTAAGGTTCCGCCCGGTTGAGTCACTCGGCAGAGGCCTGGCGCCCCTCAAATTCGGCACCTACCATCAAGGTCACGCGACCTGGAGCCAGGCATCCTTTCAGGACTTTTCAGCTGAAGTAGGCAATGGGAGCTCACCTGCACTCTAATCTTGGACATGATGCGATTAAGAGCAGGTTTTAATCTAGCAGGATTGAAACTCTGCGGACATACGGAATACGGAATACATAATACTGCTAAGCATACTCGGCACGCATCTTTATGGAAGCAGTTTGATAAATAGCCCACCTCAATCCCTTAGTAGATGGGAAGAAGCTGGACAACACTGCAGCCTAGAAGTGGTCTTTGGCCAGCTCGAAAGAAGCTCAGAGCGACAGCATTCTCCCTCTTGCATGCCATGAATCCGCCGTTGGGACTGGCCTCTTTTGGGTAACCCAGGCCATCCGCTGTGACAATAACCCCATGGGTGCCACCCGAGCAACTCAACTCCACAGTGTTTGGGCTCGGTACTGTCGCGGTACCACCAGGGGTAATGACCATGCCGGCAGAAGGGGAAGACTCGTCACCGAGATGGGCAACGCCAACCGTGTCGTCATTGGTGCGGAAGATGGATCCTTGACCGGCCGGTGCAAGAACGATTTCGGCCAGGCAATCGGCTTTGGAGACGTAGCTGAGCTCTTGGCCCTGAACATCGGGACCGAACTCCGGCGGGAGGTCGGGGTAGGTCATGTTGGCCCAGAGGTGGAAGCCGTTAGGAATATCGGCTCTTCTGACGGGGACGTGGGCCGCCGTCACGGCGGCGACGATGACCGTGGCTTGGATGAAAATTTTCATAATCATTTAAGAATGATTTAAGCTGAACGGCAATGAAACTTCAATCTAGTAGGAGCTGCTTGGTGTCAACGTTTATTATTCTGCGTTGATTTAATGAGGTAATTTCTCCTCTTCGACTCGAAACCCGGTCTTCTTATACCGATCCCTTTCTGAGTGCAACGTTTCTCAAAGCGGCAGCGTCAAGTCCCTGGGCGTTCCAACAACACGTCATACACGCGAATTCAGTTCTTCAATTACCTAACAATTTCGCAGGGCTCATACAATGACAGGCTCGTTCTTAAATTGCTTATGATCGCCCACAAAGGATTGATGCTGTTCCCCTAAACGTCGTTCAGCATTCAGGCACCGCCAGATAGTGTTAAGCGGGCCGCCTCCTACCTCGGATCCTTCGAGCAAGCCGTCTTACGTGCAGATAGTTAAGATGCAGTCTCGAATCACGGCTGATGGTAGTGACTGACTGCTGATCCGAGGTTCAGCGGGGCTATAGCTTAGGTGATACGAGTCCGAGTAAACTTTGCCTTCTACAGCAGGAGGGCTTCTTGACATCAGACTGTCAATGCATCTATCAATCTCCAGAACATTCCAGAATCCCACTTAGCACAATGTTCTTTTGTTAAATCTCTCTATGAGGTCTCAGTCTTCTTCTACTTTAGCAGTTGAGGAGAAGCCTATCACCTGCGCGATTGATCATGGCTGGTTGTCAGATGTTTTGCTTCGACATGTCGCTTATGCTTAGCCTGCAGGGAACAGTCCGAATGTCTCGTATTTCTAATGGAGCAAGACATGCATTCGGACCTATTTCGAAATAGAATACAGCTGGATGTTGCTGACGTAGGAACATTACTCGGACTCGGGAAGATGCGGTGAGCCCACCGTAGGCCTGTCATGGGTGACTTCAGACGAAGCTTGCTTTGAGTGTAGTGAGGTGAGATGGCAGAACCTAATCGACATCAAAACTCTGTGTGTGTTATTAGACGAACACCAGACCTTTTGATACATGTGCCCTAAATTTACCAGAAAGTTTCTCCTTGGTTAAGCTGGGATTGAGATTTCATAGAACACTTGCACTTTGTAACGACTACGAGAATCCCGAATCAAGATGAAGTTGACGACTCCAAGATACGGGTTCTGGTGGCCTTTTGAACTGGACTGGAGGCATAAAACCTCTTCTTGTTATCACTCTGGTACGACCAATAGTATAGTATATTGAAACTTTAGTCGATTGAAATTTCGGTAGGTGGGATATTGATGTGTGAGAAACTTCGGCCTGCAGCTCAGTCTTAGCGATCATTGGGAAGGGCGCCGCAGCTTCTGGTCAGCGCTAAGATGCCAAATTTCAATTAAGGTACCTAATCTACATGGATCAACACCCATAAGTTCGCAATTCACTTCAGCTGAGAATCCCATAATCCAGAAATTATCAAGTAAGTCCGACACGGCCAATCTTATGTGAAATACTTCTAGAAAAGTGTGGGCTACGCTTCTAACCGTTGCTCAAAATGGGATGTCTACTAGGGAAACAATCCCCACTTCCACGAGGCGGAGCGCTATATCAGCATATTGTGGAACCAAGCAATATCGACAAGAGCGAGCTGCGCACAAGAGCATCTCAAAGAGTGCTAACTGTAGCGAGAGAAGTTCAGAGGAGTAGGCCTCGAGAATAGAAGATAAAAGGACGGCTTCTCCTGCTGGATATCTAGTTCTTGTTTCCAATCATCCTCAGTAACAACACAATCAACACTCCAATCGCATCACTACAACCAATACTATCAAAAGTTCACACTACCATCCTAAACAAGACTCTTAACTTATTACTATACAACATATCCCCAAACCCTATCCATCAAAATGCAGCTCACTAACCTCATCCTCACCTTCGCCGCTACTGCCTCCGCCATCGACGTCTACTTCCACTCCCAGAACGACTGCAACGGCGCCTCCCGCCGCTGGAACAACGTCAATCCGGGGACCTGCATCAACGCCGGCGCCGGCACGGGGCAAATTCCCTCCATCGCGTGGCGCGGCGTCCCGACCAACTGGCGCATCACCTACTACGGCACACACAACCAGCAGTGCACCAACATCAAGACTACGCATATCAAGTCCAACGTCGTGTGGACGTGCATGTCAGGTGGCTACTGGGGTGCGCGGTACCAGTTTACGAGCAAGAAGCGGGCGATTGGGATGGAGGAGGAGGTGTGCTTGAAGGGCGAGGGTGAATGTGAGGGGAGCTTGGGCCCCGCGGATGAGATTGTTGCGGAGGATGGGACGGTTTGGGAGCTGAAGGGGCTGAGTGAGGAGGAGATTGAGGAGTTGTATGGGAAGGTGGTGGATGGGAGCGAGATTCCTAAGGAGTTTGAGGTTCGTCGCCGCAACGTTGGGGCTTGACAACTTCAGCCGCAAGTACGCCACTGTCGGAAGGATCATCATGTATGGCGGTTTCATCACCCCCACCCCCGAGGCTCAGAAATGCCAAAATGCCTTGGGCAAAGTATGTTCTAGATCTAGAGGCAATGAATCAACCACAATCCACCCGATCTATCTCTCTCTTTCCCGCCATCTTGAAATCCACCACGCGATTACCATAATGTCTGTTTGCAATACCACTGATTAATGTCTCCACGTTGAATCGTTTACAATGTCCCATAGACCTTTATCGCAAACGGCGAGAGCCTGAAAACGGGAGTAGCCATTACGGGGTTCTAGGGGAATCTAGTGATAAAGACTGGGTTTCATGGTCTTCACACCAGCTAATGTGACATGCTCCCGTGTCGCTCCTGGCCGATCGAAGGTTTCAACCTTAAGATAGGCATCTTCAACAGCCCAGACAGCAGAGCGATCGCCGGTATTGTCAATTAGTCGTACTAGCCCCGAGGATGTGGTTGAGAGGGGCTGAGACGCGGGTGGTTTGTATACGTCAGAAACGCTGCAAAATGAGCCGCAAGCGTTGCTTTAGAGAGCGGGGCTGGGCTCGGATGAGCATGGAAGAAGGTGTCAGTCGCCGATAAACCATCTCTGATCGTCGATTTCCTGGATTGAGATGTCGACAGACCGCTGAGCCGCCATTGTTGAGAACGACGGCATCAGAATCAATCTTCAGAACGCTAATGGAGACAATGGAAACATATCCGTTTGAACCATATCCATTTGAACGTTGCAACTCGTGGGTATCGAAGCGCAACGAAGCTTAAAGGATGTACAGCTTCCCCTACCTCTCAGTCGGGATGACGGGTGGCTGGAAGATGCGGTCAAGCTGGGTACGCATTGGGCTGGTCCAAGGGGATTGGCCAGTAAATGAGGAGCAAGTGTCCAAAGTAATCCCATTGGCGGGATAGCTGAGGCTTGCCAAAAGATACCTAACTCATCCTAGGTTACCATCGCTGCTGGTGACACTTAGTAGCTATTAACGAAAGCAGTGGTTCCAGACTTTGACATGTTTTTATTCTGTATTCTCTCAGCTCTGTATGACGCATTCGACATGGTTGTGATAACAACCAAGTCATGTGTTGATAATATCTCCTCAGGCCCCTCGCACATAGGAAGCCAATGGACGAGCTACCAGACCTGAACTCTGGAGTCGAGGTCAGGACAACCTCTGCAAGGACACAGACGGCCGCTGTACGAGAGACCAACGAAATTGGAAAATAGTAGATGCGACAGACGCAAACTCGCTTAACCCCAATCAGTACGGCATCAACAACGTTCTACGGTTTTCGTAGTCCGAGAGTCAGAATGATCCACAGATGTTCAATTCTTCAACTATCTAATCAGAATGATCACTACCGAGTATTGGGTCCAGTGCGATGGATCTAGCTCTGGGTGGGGAAAGAGAGTCGGCTGTGATCGACGTACTTCGGCGCCACGGTTCCACGTGCTATCTGCTTGCTCCGGTTTTTGTAAGCTGCTGAATGATCAGTGGCACATATTGCGCTGGTTCGTGAACCCTGTGGTGGCATTTTCAGGATCGGAGGAAATCTAGTCATCGAATGGGAGCTCGGAAGAAGGGTGGAAGTAAGGATCCATCACGCAGGCGACGATTCCCGGAGCTGGACTTTGCGGTCCCGCCTATGTCCGGCATCCCTCCGGCACGGCGTCCCCTCCTCAGCGGCGCCGACATTTTTATCGGATCACGGCATCACCAACGCCGTGCTGTTTGAAATCTGATCTGCAACGTGCAGGTACCTTAAATGACTTTCGGATCTTCCCTTATGCTCGGCGCTGTCGGTCGAAGGTGAGAGGTATCCGGAGGAAGGCATCCATGGCACAAATGTGAAGAAAAGTCCAACTGTCATCATCGAACCGGCGGATCGAGTCAAACGTTTGATGATTTGCATGATGTTAGTTAGCGCATGGCCAGCACAAGCTGATAAATCCACGTGAAAAGGGCTCCACGAGATCAAAATCAAGCTCACGGAAATCCCACCGGCGTGCATTTTTAAAGATCTTTGGCTTGATAAGGCCAGCCAATCTCGGTGCAGGGAGACGAGTCGACGGCCCCTTTCTCCCTCGTCGCGGTGGAGTTTTCGGCGCCGAAGTCTGTTCGTGATACTATGAGAGCCCACGTGGGGTACCTCAAGCCTAAATTTTCGGTGTAAGTGACATGTTCGGCCTCGGCGGTTGTGAGTGCGCCGCCCGCCGAAAGGATCCAGTCCACCTCCTGAGTCCCGGACCCGTTTCGACCAACAACAATCAATCACAGCGGGGGCAGCCGCGCAAATTCGCTACGCGAGGCGAGATATGCAGCTGGGCTTGGTCAGATTCAGATCCATTCGGTGCTATCGGAAACCGATTGGATTGCTTTTCGTCACAATGGGGTGTCTGTTTGCCTGAGATCTGGGTGTTTGTTTTGTCAATTGGACATGGGATAGGGGGCGGTGGGCCGTTAGGCACACCTGGACTGGTCCGATGGAGATTCACGGCGCGGACCTACCATCTGGAACGTGGGACCGCTGACGCCTTTGATTCTTTTTTCCAATCTTGCCTGTCCGTTTGGGCTGGACTACTTATTCGCCCCTGTCCCATTTGGATCTCGAATTCCAGGGACCTTGTTCTACAGACAATTCCGCAGTCAAAGAGAAGCTCACTTGGACCAACGTCTTCAAGCTATTGTGAACACAGAGAACAACTCCAGACACACAACATGTCGAATCGACAACACATCTCGTCCCCCGCGGACTCCCAGACAACCGTCGCAGACCCGCAGCCCTTCATGCCCGACACCAAGGCCGACCACAACCCAGACAGGACAGACTACGAGTCCGAAGGCCAGCAATCGACTCTCAACCAAGCCGCGGCGGATCCGGAGAAGGGACACGGAGGCCCTCCCGTGAAGCCGTCGTACCCCGGAAGCGATGCGCCAGATGGCGGAGCCACCGCATGGCTTGTTGTTCTCGGAGCGTGGTGTACTAGTTTCTGCAGTTTTGGATGGGTGAACAGTACGTTGCATCGCGTGGAACCTTGCATTGAGCCTCATTCTTGGGCTTGTGGCTTTTGAATACTAACGTGTGGCTTGGTGTAGGTGTCGGCGCTTTTCAGGAGTATTATCAGAATGACTTGTTGAGCAACTACTCCCCGAGCACAATTTCATGGATCCCTTCGCTACAGATCTTCTTCATGATGGCCATGGTAAGTCTTTGACTCTTTCATGTCGCTTGCATTGTTTTGTTCGCTGACTTGGAGACCACAGGGTCCTGTCATTGGCACACTCTACGACAACTACGGCCCTCGATGGCTCATTTTCGGCGGCACGATTCTCCACGTGTTCGGCCTCATGATGACCTCCCTCGCAACCCAGTACTACCAGATCCTCCTCGCTCAGGGAATCTGCTCTGCCATTGGTGTCTCCGCCATCTTCCAACCCGCGATGAACACCATCCACGGCTGGTTCAACATCAAGCGCGGCGCCGCTTTCGGCCTTCTCTCTACCGGCTCCTCCATCGGCGGCATCGTCTTCCCGATCATGGTCACGAGGCTCATCAAGCAGGTCGGATATCCCTGGGCCATGCGCACCTGCGCCTTCATGATTTTGGGGCTGCTCATCATTGCCAACTTGACGGTCCGCGCGTACCACCCCCCACGTCCGCAGAAGGTCACCAAGGAGATGCTCCTGCGTCCGTTCAAGGAGTTCGAGTTCGTTTGTGTCGTCATTGGTTTCTTCCTATTCACATACGGCATCTTTGTCCCGATCAACTACATCCAGGTGCAGGCCCTCGAGGCAGGCATGAGCCCGGACTTGGCGCAGTACCTCGTCGCTATCCTCAACGCTGGATCCTTGTTTGGACGTATCTTCTCGGGCATTCTTGGTGACAAGATTGGAAAGTACAACATCTTCGTGGTGGTCTGCTACTTGACCAGTATCTGGATGTTGGCGCTCTGGATCCCGGCGAACTCGGATGGCGCGCTGATTGCTTTCGCCGTGCTGTTTGGTTTCTGCTCGGGCGCGTACGTGTCGCTGATTGCGCCGCTGGTAGCAGCCATCTCGCCGTTCCAGGAGATTGGGTTCCGAACGGGAATCACCTTCTTGACGAACTCCATCGGAGGACTGACGACGAACCCGATCAACGGTGCGATCCTGGCAGGACCCGGCGGTTGGGTCGGTATCAAGGTGTTTTCTGGCGTCTTCTGCATTGCGGGGACAACATTCATTTTGATTGCCAGGATGAAGAGGACCGGCTGGAAGGTATTTGTTGCTTTCTAAATAACGGGAGAAACGGCTGGAAGTTTGGTATCGACGAAGCACGCACGCATATGGAGAGGACTCAGCATCAACATTGGCATTGCATTATAGACATCTCCCATCTTGTACTTTATACCCTCACTTATTCCTAATCATGGCGTGGAAAAAGACCTCTGTCTGAGGCTAGCCGCTAGTTTGTCAATATAGAAGGCATCTTGAGTTGTCATATATGATTTTTGATACCTCGAATAGCTGTGAGAACAGAACGTCCAAACTTCACAGTAAAAGCATGTCTCTATTCCCATTGGCTCAATTCATTGCCCGTTTTCCTTCATGTCAAGATAAGTCCGTGTTGCAGCTTCAATGAAGGCTCCGTTCCTAGTAGAAGTATAATCCAACAACCCTTTGTTGACTAAATCCGTGTCGCTCACCAATTTGCTAAAATGGGTGCGTTCCGGTTTCCAACGCTAGAATCCCTCATTCCGTGCTGTCTGAGTTCAGTGAATGCAGATAAACAGCATAGAGTTGACGAGAATGAATATCAATCACTCGTCGTTCTTCATATGATAACGTGGTTCATCATTGAGCGGGACACCATCATCGACCGGGACACTTTTTCCACTCCCTTCGCTATCTAGCTTCAACGCGTATTTTCTTCCACAAAATAATGCCTAACGCCTCACAAGAAAGCAGAATTATTCTAGCAA